ATCGAATTTTAAAATAATAGTAAATTCTATTGACAAACTTTGTAAGGATCTTTAAACAGTTGCTGTAAAAAATCAGCAAACAAGATGAAGAAATCGGGTTGTACCATTATACGTGAGTTATTATCGATATCATGACCTGCAAAAGCGATTTAAGCTTTCTTGAATGTTCGGGAAGAATTTCTGGAAGGATAGAAATCCTTTTCTTACTAAAAGTCCCATTCGCTCTACTATTTTGCACCCTTTATTTATATACGGATTATTGTCACATGGAAGAAGTAGGTCCACGATTTGAAATGAGCCCCATTAGGCTTTTTCGGTCATTTTTGTTTGTTTAAATGTGTTCGCATATTCCAGCTGAACCACAATGTAGGACCTGGAGTTGAAAGGTAGATGTCAGTTAACACCCTATTTCGCACTTATTTCATTTTTTTGGTGAACAATTGTATATAGTGAAAAATTATTCTTTATTTTGTTCACAAAAAATCCACTGAATTCAATATGATAATACAAATTGAAAAAAATTGACAAAAGGAGAATAACAAATTGAAAAAATCTTCAATCTCGCAACTGTTAAAAAAAAAAATTAAAATTCAATTCCATTGAAATTTTTTTTTCGATATTTTCCCGATTTGACAATTTTTGCAATGAGATCTCTTTTTCGTCATTTTTTAGAGATTTTGAAAAAGTAATTATCTTTTAACTTTGGTGTGATCGCGTTAACTTATTTCGATATCATCTATTCCGTTTCACAACCACATAACTACACTTCCATGTAACCCGCCATCAATTTCAGTTCTCAAGAATTCAAGTCAATTAAATAAATTGATATTAATATTCGAATTCAAAAATAAAATATAAAAAACATTAAAAATGTACATTAGATAAAAGTAAGTCAAAATGGGAAAAATCATGCAAAATGAAACATTACTATTGTACATTTCAAAAGTCAAAATCAAAATGTTATATATCACATTTTTACGCGATTTTTTTTGGATATTATCCTTTTCAGATAGCAGACAATTCCGAATTTGTATGAATCATTAAAATCAGTTCAGTGGTTCTTAAGTTATAAGCGTAGTAAATAACACAACTTTCTTTTATATATATAGATGTATAGATAGATTAAAAAGTAGGCGTGGTCAGTTCCTCAGCCCCCAAACAAATACTTAGGGTTGGAGGGAAGGTCAACAGTATCTCGTGTAATAATTTTTAACCAATATCTTCATTATTTGGGAAATATAAGGATTTTAGATAAATCGAAATTGTGGGCGTAAAAAGAGGCGTGGTCAATATTTTTTTTTCTTTAAAAACCTAACTTGGGGTATGACGAACGTTTGTACAAAAAATTATGCAAATCGGTCCAGCCGTTTTCAACTGATTTCATTACCAACGAACAACAATTGATTTTTATGTATATAGATATGTACTGTTGTATGTAGGGGTAGTAAAAAAAATCCAAAGTCCAGATAGTCCAGTCCAATTACCGCATAAATATTAACCTCGGGAATGTTTATATTCGATTCAAAGGCTAAATGAATTTTAAACAAATAAACTGTTCATAAAAGATTAACCTAGGGCACGTTTCTATTTGATTTAAAGGGTAAATAAATGCTAAACAAAAAAACCGTTCAAAATCATTAAAAAAAATTGAACAACATTTTTATATTTTTTCTAATCCTAAACTTTTTTTATTTTGTATTATTATTCCCAAAATTTCGGACAATTTTAAAACGCTTAATGAATTAACATTAAATCACAATTATTATTGTTTTCTAGCTTAGAATACAATAAATCAACCGTTTATCGTATGTTAAAAGTTATGACTAAGGCCAACACCAACATGCTTGTTAGTTTGACCATCAAGAGGACCACCGAAATTCTTCGGCACACCACCAGTCAAATCCAAACTTGTAGCCCGATCGGCAGATTTCCACAAATTAGCTTTCCCTGTAACATCGACGGTGTTCATATTCAACTGGGGTAAGCCAGTCAGCTCCTCCACAACTATTTGATGAAATAGAACCACCAAATTGGGCATTGACAGCTGCCAATACGGTCTAAACGACAATGATACAAATAGACTTTGAGAACATGTTATTCATCTTACTTCGTGCTTTCTTCTGAAATGAATTAAAGGCTTTTGCTTGGCTCTTAAATCAAACAAAGTATTTATAGCAATGTTCAAGTTGTGTCTGATTCTGTGTTATCAATATTTTTGTTTTTGTACAACAATAACTATACGTCATTATGCCATAGGCATAGCTTCGTTGTCATTTGTCTTTGATGAACACAAAAAAGTTTATGGGATTCACATCTGCTATCGCGGAAGACTTTTAATTTAGCAGGGAATTCACTCTGGCTACGACTAATTGAGGCTTGAGATTATACATTTTTAATGTTTGCATTCTTTTCGGCTGATAACAGATGTTTCAAAAAATTTGTGGGATTTTCCAAATGATTAGATCGGTGCTATTTGCATTTTGAATTCAAATGAATTCCTGATATCATTTCATAAGCGAAGATAGTTATCTGTTATAGAAATTTTATTTAGTTTATTTCAAAAAATTGTTTTGGTCTGTTCCAGAACAACATGACCGTTTTTCTCCTTATTATATCGAAAAAATTAAAGAATCTAGAAGCAAATACATCAAATTTTGGTGATTACCTCCCAGAGTTGCTTCGCTTAGCCGAAAATGGTGAACTGCCGAATTTGGTTTTCTCCGATGGGAAAACATTCGTTGTCCATCAGATTTAAACGAACAAAATGATCGTGTTTACTTGCCAAAGAGGTCAGCTGAAAATGTGCACATTCGGTTGGCCTACAGAACTCAAACGATGGGGTAGGCCGCCATAACAGCCGATGGTCTCTCTCCGCTCGCATTAATCGACCGTGGCATCAGAATTTTGGAGGAAGGCACGCAAACATTTTGGCCGCAGACCTTGGACATTCCAAAAGGACTCAGCACCATCGCACTCAGCACGCGCAACCAAAGAATGGTTACAAAATGAGGTTCCTCGCTTCATTTCCAGCGCTCAATGGCCATTAAAATCTCCGCATACCAATCCGTTGGACTATTGTGTCTTGAATATTTTGGAAAGCAAGGTTGGCACTAAAAACACGAAAGTGTTGATCTCCACAGGCAAGCGCTTCGTGGGAATGGACGAAAAAACCGCAGAGCAACATTCGGGCTGCGTGTGGCGGTTTCATTGGCCGTTTGAAGGCCATAATTCGTGCCAATGGTGACCAATTCGAACAAATCTAAATTTATCCTAAAATTTGATGCTATTTCCTACATTTTTTACATTTTTACTGGTTTTACTTATGAATTTATTGCTTTTCAGCCGCGACTTCTGTCCTGCATTCATTCAATAACATTTAAAAAAATATATAAAAATTATGGCGTTTGACTTTGTTGCAGTTTTTTTTTATCTCACCCTGTATGTAATATCAGACCGAATTGGGAGGATTTTTGCACATTCTACCGAATTTTTCCAGTTAGAGAAACTTGGATTCCAATATCTACTGCTCCGATATATATTGTAAATAAAAAAAAAGTTAGATAGAGGTACAAATATATTCATATATTCTGCCCCGCCCGCCTTTTGCTATTTCTTTACTGGTTTTACTTATGAATTTATTGCTTTTCAGCCGCGACTTCTGTCCTGCTTTCATTCAATAAAATTTAAAAAAATATATATAAATTATGGCGTTTGACTTTGTTGCAGTTTTTTTATCAGGGAGAATTTTTGCACATTCTACCGAATTTTTCCATTTAGAGAATCTTGGATTCCAATATCTACTGCTCCGATATATATTGTAAATAAAAAAGAAGTTAGATAGAGGTACAAATGCATGCCTCAAATTTGGTAGAAATCGATTCAGAATTAGATATACCTACAATATATTACTTCAATCTATTTCCAAATTAAAAAATAAACGTGACGTAGGGTATCATACAATCTGAATCCCAATCCTGAGTGTGCTGTCATATCCTTTAGTCAATAATTGAGTTATAATTTCAAACATCCGACTTTTTATATCCTCCACCATTCATAGTTTGAAGAGTATATTAAGTTCGTCATTCCGTTTGTAACTCATCGGAATAATAATTTTTTATTAATAATTTTTTTCAGCATGAAATTCTAAGACGATTTAGCCCTGTCCGTCGCTCCGCCTGTTGTAATCACGCTAGAGTCAAAACGAATTAAGATAGAAAACTAAAATATTGCACACATCAGTCTTTTGTCTGCAGACAGCTCAAGTTCGAAGATGGGCTATATCGGCCGACGATATCATTTAAACCCCATATAAAGGTTACCACGAAATTTGGTGTTTTATGATAGCCAAATTTTTCAATCATATTGTCTGAAAATCCGCCCATTAAGTTCTTTCTAAGTGCTTTACCCCCTGGAAGAGAATTGTATATATAGGTCCACGTATAGCCCCAATACAAAAGTAGCCCCCGATATTCAGTGTTGTGATGATTTTAGGGACATTATTCGCCAGAGTTATTCAAAAAAAATTCCGTATTTAAAGTTCCTAATGGGTACTACGGTCTATAACAAAAAATTGTCTATGCAGGTCCTGGTCTTCGTATAGCACTCATATATCCGTACCTCCCTATATTCGGTGTTTTGACGTTTTAAGGTACAATATTCACAGGAATTGTTTCAAATTTCCTATTTGAAGTTCCTATTAGGTACTACAGCCTGTGACATGAAATTATCTATGCAGGTCCAAATCTTATTATAGCCCTCTTAAATCTGTGCCCCCCTATATTCGGTATTTTGATGATTTTAGCTACATTATTCACAAGAATTTTTCAAGGTTCGTATTTTAATGTGGTAATAGCTTATGACAAAAATTGTCTATGCAGGTCTACTTCGTCGTATAGACCCTTATATAATCGTTACATTCGGTATTTTTAAGCTTTTAAAAGATTTGTTAACGGATTTTATTGTTTTTGAAAATTATATATCTTGCAAAATCTTAGAATTTATTTTACTCAATTAAATAATATTATCTTTTCATATATTAATTATATCTAAAGCTCCTAAAATTAAAAATCATGACTTAAACCAACGCCTATATGTTTGTTCGTTTGCCCATCCAGAGGACCACCGAAATTTTTAGACACACCACCAGTCAAATCCAAACTAGTTGCCCGATCGGCAGATTTCCACAAATTAGCTTTGCCGGTAACATCGACGGTGTTCATATTCAATTGGGGTATGCGAGAAGCCGTCACCGATGCTCCATGTCCATTAGCGTGATTGTAATCAAGACCACCACCAACGGTATTGAATTTAAAACCATTATCTAAATTGGTGCGACTATGAAAAGCATTGGCATCCAATTTGTGCTTATCATTTTGAAAAAGATTTGCGTTAAGCTTCTGTGAAAATGTCGACCCAAAGTTATCTGTTCTGGAATGCGATAATGAACCTCCAAAGCGATCACTGCAATATTAGAGATATTGTTCAATTCTTATCTTTGATATATTGAAAATTGAAGTTTATGAAAAAACTTACGCATTTCCAGATAAAAATGCTCCTCTCGTCACAGGTCCACCTAAAGTATTACCACTGGCAAATACACCACCACCAACATTTCTTTTGCTGTCTCCAAACTGATGACCCAGCCGGGCAAATACATCTGCTCCACCACGGCTGTTTGATGTAATCGAACCACCAAACTGAGCGTTTACAACAGCCAAAGTCGCTAAAACGACAATAATTCCAATAGATTTAGAGAACATGTTATATTTCTTGCTTTCTTTTAGAGTGACTTGAAGGCTTCTGATTTGCTTTTAAACCAAGCGCAGTATTTATATAAACGTCTGTTGTGTGTGCGAATCTTCGCTGATGTATTTTTTGCAAGCTTCTTCCGAGTTTTTGTGTGTTTTGATAAAGACAAAAAACTATGTGGGATTCACAACAGCTGTCGTCGCAATATTTTGATTCAGTAGGGAATTCACACCAACTTTGACTCTAGTATTTTTTTTTTTTTGGTATTTTGAATAATACTTTTTGATTGGTAACTGTGGGGATTTCCAGAAAACTTAAGTTTTGAGACTTTTTCTTGATGGAAAGCTGTAAAAGAATTTGTCGAAGAGCATAGTTTGTAAAAAATAAAGTTAATTACTACACTGACTGTCTTATCAACGTTCAGGCGCAACAGTTGTAGACAGAACCTTAATTTTTTTTTAAATCAAAGTAAGCAAATTGTTCGTTCGGTTGAAATAAGGGGGAGGGAAGTTCGGAAATTTATACTTTAAAATTACTAAAAGCTTCAAAAATTCCAAAATACTCAAGACACAATAGTCCAATGGGTTGGTATCCTGAGATTTTAGTGGCTATTGTGCGCTGGAAATGAAGCGTGGAACCTCATTTTGTAACCACTCTTGAGTGGCGCGTGCTGTGTCCTATTGGTCTGCCCTGTCCAAGGACGGCGGCTAAAATGTTTGCGTCCCCAAAACTTTAATACGCCACCCAGAATATTTTCACGATAATATTCGGTATTTATTCTGATGCCACGGTCGATTAATATGAGCGGAGAGCTACCATGTTATGGCGGCCCACACCATCACCATAGCCGGCGCTTGAGTTCTGGTGGCCAACCGAAGGTACACATTTTCAGCTGACCTCTTTGGCAAGTAAACACGATCATTTTGTTTGTTTACAAACTGCTGGACAACGAATGTTTTATCATCGGAGAAAACCAAATTCGGCAGTTCACCACTTTCGGCCAAGCGAAGCAACTCTTTGGATCTTTTAAATATTTTCTCTCTATTTTCTTGCACTTTTTGGAATTAGGCAATGGCTTTTAACAGCTGTCGGGTGAGTGGCTTAGAAATGACAGCAGTCTGAAGTTGGTTGCAGTTTTTTCATGTTACCCTTAATTTACTCTGTGGGGTATAAAATGCATATTTCGAGGTGCTACAAAGAGAATGACAAACTTAATATACCCTCCATACCATGGTGGAGGGTATAAAAAGGAGAGATTTTCGGAAATTAATACTTTAAAAGAACGGAATGTGCTAACTATTATTTTGCCTAAATGTCTTCCTTAGTTTACAGAACATTGCGAATGAAAAGTACTAAGAGCTGCTGTTGAATATCATTTTCTGAAATTTGTATTTAAAGTAACGAAATTATTAAAAGTTATTAAAAAGGGACCCTTAGGATGGAACAAAGCACAATATGGTATAACATTGTTATTAAGTGATTGACAATAGCTGTAATTACGGAAATTTGCATTAGGGTTGCTCTCTTTATAGATACTTACGATAAGGCGCATTGTTAGAAAGGCGAAAAGCAAAAGATGTTTAATCTTCAATATTCTGGTTAAGCGGCTAGGAAAATATAAAACTTTGAAATTTTATATGTGGGTAATTTTTATATCTTCGTCCATATTTCTAAAGAGGGTAAATATAATTTAATACGCCCAAAACGTGCTTCGTCGAAACAAAGACCCTAGGTGTTTTTGGAACAAATCCGTTTCATTTGGAGTAGATCTAGGGATGTCCATCGGTAAGCTGGCTTGTGCGCATAACTCTCGAAGGGAATATCCGATTAGGACCAAACTTAGGACATCGTAATATTGTTATCAAACTTAGGTCGAGTTCGGCCCACTCCTTCTGGTACCTCCCCCATAAAAGGTATAAAATTTTACAGAAAATATATAAACTTCTAGAAAAAGAAGGGATGGACCAATTTTGACCAAACTTTACAAGTCTCAAAGGTTTTATCAGTGTTAGGTAAGGTACAAAATTTGAATATATCGACCCACTCTATCAAGTATCGTCTCACTTCACAGAGGGTTACAATTTAGAATAATTAGAACTCTTTAAATATGTGAAATAGGAGTGCGATTGTCTTCAAATTTGGCACATCTCAATATTTTTTTATCAACACAAGATCTGGTATTAAGAACAGATAGAAAGGACTACCCCTTTTCGTCCTCCCCCACAACGGGTCAACCTTTTGAATAACCATAATGCTCATAAAGGGCCATGTAAGCATTCGATTCTTTCGATTCGAGATGGCATATCCTAATATTTGTCCCAACACACGACCTGGTATGGAGATGGGATACATCCTCCTACTCCTTCTGGTACATCCTCCATAACGGGTCAACATTTTGAGAAATTATAAATACTAAAAAATGTGAAATATCTTATAATGTGCCACATGTCAGCGATTCTTTCAAAATTTGCTATTTCTTAATATCCCTAAGCCAGGGATCTGATGTAAACAATGAATCCATGGGAGTTTGTTACGGATTCTACCTCTGGTATCAGATCATTGGCTGTGTAGGCCCACGCTTAACTATAGCCCCCATATAGCAGTACCTCCCGATATTCATTATTTTGATGATTCTGGCCACATTTTCCGCCGTATTTGTCTAAAAATTGGTATTTGTGGTTCATAATAGGTTCTAGTTCCAGTGAAGAACATTGAATTTGTAGGTGCCTTTGGATGTGCCTTTGGATGTTCGCTATTTGAACGATTTAAGCCACATTTTCTAACAGCTTCACCCACTTTATTGTTTTTTAACAGCATTAAATGCAATATCCAACGAACTTTTAAGATGATGATCTTAGTATTTTTTTATTTGTTGGATGTTATATTCGTCCAGCTTAATTTCGTTTTTTATTACATATTTTTGTATTCTATTGCAATCAAAAAATTTTTAATCTTCAATTTCTACTTAATTCTATAATTTCAAAATAAAACAATAATATTCTAAAACTTTCTAAACTAGAATTAATCATTTTTTTCCTATTTTAAAAATTATGACTAAGGCCGACACCAACATGTTTGTTAGTTTGACCATCAAGGGGACCACCGAAATTCTTCGACACACCACCAGTCAAATCCAAACTAGTAGCCCGATCGGCAGATTTCCACAAATTAGCTTTGCCGGTTACATCGACGGTGTTCATATTCAATTGGGGTATGCGAGAAGCCGTCACCGATGCTCCATGTCCATTGGCATGATTGTAATCGAGACCACCACCAACGGTATTGAATTTGAAACCATTGTCTAGATGAGTGCGACTATGAAAAGCATTGGCATCTAATTTGTGTTTATCGTTTTGGAAAAGATTGGCATTAAGGTTCTGGGAAAATGTCGATCCAAATTTATCTGTTCTGGAATGAGATAGTGATCCACCAAAGCGATCTCTGCAAATAGGTGATATGGATATATTATTACTTTTATTTCTTATGAGATTGCGATTCAAAAGAAACTTACGCATTTCCCGATAAAAATGCTCCTCTGGTTACAGGTCCACCTAAAGTATTACCACTGGCAAATACACCACCTCCAAAATTTCTTTTGTTGTCTCCAAACTGATGACCCAGCCGGGCAAAAACATCCGCTCCTCCACGACTATTTGATGTAATCGAACCACCAAATTGGGCATTGACAACAGCCAGTGTGGCTAAAACAACGATGATAGCAATAGACTTTGTAAACATGTTGCTTTATTTCTTCTTTCTCTCACGATGAACTGAAGACGTGTGCTTGTTTTAAAATCAAGCTCAGTATTTATATGAGCGACAGCTGTGTGCTTGGGAATTGTTATCTTTAATTAAATTTTTCCGGCGATTGATATGGTCAGCGACGTCATCGGTATTTGTCATTCCACACAATTTGTGGGAATCACAGCATCTATTGCTCTATCTGTTATATTTTGTAGGGGGTTTACTCAATAATTCTGTATTATTTTCTTCTCTTTTGATAATAAATTGTGCAAAAAAGGGGTATTCTATTCCCGCTGTTTTTGAGAATTACTGCAGCATCTTCACATCGACATCGAATACTATTTTGCATCTCTCGTTAAATAGTTGGCAAGATTCAAATCAATATCTAAAACAAAATATTTCGCGATTGTCGACATTTGGAGGCGCTCCGTTTGTCTGCCCGAATACCCAATGTGACCTAACATGGTTTTACCAAATTTAACCCGAATTTTGAGATCGGTAATATCGAAAATCTCCTAAAATATTTTAAGTATTAAAAAATAGATTTGACAGATAAATGGAATATTGTAATATTTATATCTGACATAGGGCAATGTTGGAGAAAATATTTTATATATATCCATTATGGTATAACCCTCAACCATCGAAGGTATATATAATTTGTAATGCAATTTGAAACACCTCTAAAAATTCGTCGTAGACTCTGTCTCTGTGTTGAAATACATTCACATTATTTGTAGTAGAGCTTTGAAAATAAATGATATGTGTCCACGTTTTAATTTAGCCTCTAATAACGACATCTCCTGATATTCGGTATTGTGATGATGTTAGCCACATTTTTCCAGGGAATCGGTTTGGAATTAGGAGTTTGTAATGAGTTCAACATTGGCCACATTGTTTCACAACTTTTATACCCTCCATTATATTATGGAGGGTATATTAAGTTTGTCATTCATTTTGTAAGACCTCGAAATATACATTTTAGACCCCACAAAGTATACATATATTCTTGATCAGCATAAAATTCTATGTCGATTTAGCATTTAATTGATTGGTTAGCATGCCAATGCAAAAAGGTCTATTTGTATAAGGTGGAATGTATGTAAGAAACGTTAATATTGAGAACTGACATTCAAATTATCGCTGCCAAAATAATTAAATAAAATATATAATTGCGTTTGATCTAAATACCATAACCATTGTTTTATTATACCCTACACCACAAGGTGGTCAGGGTATTATGTCTTTGTGCATTTGTTTGTAACAGGCAGAAGGAAACGAGATAGACCCATAGTTCCTTTTGATGATCTGCATAGAATCACATTCTGAGTCGATTTATGCATGTCCGTCCGTCTGTCCATGTATTTTTGTAAACAAAGTACAGGTCACATTTATTGCCCGATCCAGATGAAATTTTGCAAAGATCTTTTGTTTGGCCCTAGGACGAACCCTATGCTTCAGATATAGCTTCCATATATATTATTTATCCGATTTGTTATATTTGTTACCCACAACAGTAATATGCACTCCGTAACAACGATATTCAGGGAAATATATCAAATACAGCTCAGAAATATCTTTGCCAAATTTTATCGAGATCGGTTCAGATTTGGATATAGCTCCCATATATATCTTTATCCGATTTCAAATTAATTGTGCACCAAATGGCAATACAATTCCGAATTTAAAAGATACAAATGCTTCGGCATATTTAGTCCTTTTAACTTTAAATTATAATTATAATAATAGCGTTTATGATTGAATTCTCCCATAAAAACTTTTAATTGTTATGCGGAGCTCTACTTAATTAGAAAAGTGGTGTAGGGTATCATAAAGTCGGCCCCGCCCGACTTGAAGACTTTCTTTACTGGTTTTTCCATTAAAGTTGTAATATATCTATACTAGCTGGCCCGATCCGCGTTGTTGGCCCGTAGTTTTTGTCTATTATGCATATTTGTCAAAGCAAAATTATTCACAGATATGACTGATATAAGTGTTCAGGTACTGGTCGATTAAAAGTGTTTTAAAATACCTGTACCCATATTTAAGCCGTGGGCTTAAATATTTAAACCGTGGACTTCAAATGTGTGGATGTGCTATACGAATAAAGTATAAAAAGTGTATATCAATCTTATGCCAATTTAAGGGATCAAATTAATTTTTAGTATGGTAAAAATCGTAGCAACATTCCAGTCAAATGAGAAGTAATTTGGAATTTAGTGTATTTTGTACACCTCTTAATTGAGGGCTGAATGATTTAAGAATAGCCAAAGTTAATTACTTTTTTTAACCCATTAGCACCTCAGATTGTGCATTAGAGTCCCCCTAACCATGTCGGTCTGTTTGTCCGCCAAATGGTGGACTTGAGGGGGTACTATTATATGGAGAAATTTCTAAAATTTGGAGATATGTTGAAATTTTTGTGTAATATTTCCACCCCAAATTCCCATTTTTAGCCAAATCCTTTGAAATCTGCTAAAATCAGGAGGTACCTTCAAATGGGCACTACTCCGAAACATCGACCTACATTGAAAACTTTCTTCTACCCCTTATAATATGACAAATTTTGGTATAAATATTTTTAGACCAAATTCCGTCACACATTCCTAGCTTCATTGAAATTTGGCATACAGGGTGAGATGAAAAAACTGCAAGCAATTTCAGACTGCTGTTATTTCTCAGCCACTCGTCCGACAGCTGTTAAAATTACTTCAGTGACAGGTCATTATATTGTATACAAGCGTACAAAAGATTTGTCTATATAGGTCCACAATAGCGTATATCCCTCCATATATGGGCACCTTGCGATGTTAGGTATTTTGAAGATTTTAACAGAATTTTCAATGGATTTAATTTTTTGAAAATTTTCTAATTCGTTCCAAATGGTGGAGGGTATTCAAAGTTCGGCCCGGCTAACTTACTGCTTTTTTACTTGTTATTTTTACTTTCTTAAAAGTGAATTAAAGACCTAATTTAAAACTGGAAACATAATTACGTTTTGTTTATTTTTGTAAAAGTTACAGGACATATATTGTCTTTGCGATTTTAGTTGCTTTAGTTTTGGCCACCAGTGTATATGTATTCTACATTTTGCAATATCAGGAAACATGAAATGTACGACTATTTTTCGCTGCTGTTCTTTAGCAAAAAAAGTTTCTACACCATCGCCGTTGGCCTACTTCTTTCATGTCGTAATAATCCGTCTAATAAGAACTCAAAATGCAAAATTCATTGCGACTGCAATCAGAGAAGATGGCTCAGAAGGGCTGGCCTATTGTTTTCAAAGATGTCCACAATATATTTATGGGTTGAAATGGACTAACAACCAAAAATGTTCCTGCAGCCGTTATAAAGATCACAAATAGAAGGACACGAAATGACCACTACTTCTGTGTGAAAAAACACAAACGTTTCCATTTTACCGAAACGCATACAGAAAGAGGCGAACTTCTGGCTTCTGATGCTGATTTCGTTGACGAATATAGCCAAATATCGTAGACAAGAAAATCATATAGATGAGTCTTACTTTGGAGATACAAAGGGGTCTCTTGCATTTGGATTGCAAAATATTTGGGGGGTTCAAATGGATCAAAAAACGAAAAATTTTCCTGATCACACAATTGAAGCTAATCGACACGCCCGAGAAGAGAGATAAGGAAAGGGAAGAATACTAGCATTTTGGATGATCATTGGATTATATTGTGATGTGTAAAAAGGACCACAACAACAAACAGCACGACGGAGTGCGTAAATATTGGGCGAATATCCCTGGTCAAAATGCTAATGGTAATATCTGGGCAGTGCTCTATGACTCATTTCATAAGCGAAATTTTCCGAAATGAATTAGGACATAAAGGGGCTTCTAAAATATTGAAGTGTTGTAGGATATCACATGGTCGGCCGCCAGACTATAGCCTTTGCTTACTTTTTTTTATAATAATTTCGGCAAGTTTTGGTAACTTAAATTCTTAGTAAGATGAAACTATCCTTCCAAAAATTGTCAAGGTAGGTCCATATTTTCATGTATACGCCATGAAATACCTATATCAAATTTTATCGAGATCGGTCCCGTTTTGGATTTAGTTTTCAAATATATCATCATCCGATTTCATATCTGACGGAAATCAATAATAATGCAAAGCGGCTCTGCCCGATCCTTCCTTACAATTAAATTAATGTGCTATATTTTGTAAGGTTTCTAACTCTCAAATTAAAATCTGTGGCTGAAAAGTAGGATCAGGATCTTCAAAACTGACCAGCGCAGCTATATAAAACAACATCCATTGAGAATATAAAAAGCTTAATTAAACTCCAAATATTATTGATGTACAGTGCATATTACTAATGCATTACGATTTTAACACCAAAACGCATAAAACACAGATATGATAGCTATTAAGCCTTAACCGGTTTTAACCAAATTTGAAATATATGATTTCTAGGCTGAATTTGGTCAAATGTGCCAAAATCCCATTCTTTTGGACTGATATTAAGAATTTGGTACACAAAAGCCTAAAATAGGATAAAGATATATATGGGGCCTATATCTAAACTTGGTCTCTATAAAATTTGGAAGATGTATTTCTGAGTTGTATGAAATATCTGGTACCAAATATCGTTGTTTTTAAGTGCTTATTGCGCATGTGGATGACTTTAAGATCAAATCGGATGAAACATATATACGGGGTGAGATAAAAAAAAACAGCAACAATGTCAAACGTCATAATTTTTACATTTTTTTAAATTTTATTGAATGAAAGCAAAAAATGTCGGAAAAAGCATCAAATTTTAGAATAAGTTTAGATTTGTATGAATTGGTTACCTTTGGCACAAATTATGGCCGTCACACGTTGCCCAAATGTTGCTCTGCCGTATTTTGTCCTATTCCCGGTGAAGCGCTTGCTTGAGGTGACCGACACTCAGGTATTTGTTAGTGCCAACTGTGCTTTCCAAAATACTCCAGACACAATAGGATTGGTATCCGGAGATTCTGATGCCACGGTCGATTAATACGAGCGGAGAGCGACCATCGGCTGTTATGGCGGGCCACACTATCACCATGGCCGGCGCTTGAGTTCTGGTGGCCAACAGAAGGTGCACATTTTCAGCTGACCTCTTTGGAAAGTAAAACGATAATTTTGTTTGTTTACAAACTGGTGGACACGAATGTTTTCTCATCGTAGAAAACCAAATTCGGCAGTTCACCACTTTCGGCCAAGGGAAGCAATTCTTTAGCTCTTTTGAGTCTATTTTCTTTCTGTGGCGGTGTAAGTTCTTACACTTTTTTATTTTCAATGGCTTTAACCCAAGCTAATGTTTCAATACTTGCCGAATGGAATATTGCGCTATGTTCAGCCCACGAGCCATTTTTCGGCCACTGCGGCTTGGGTTTCGATCAAGTCGCTTCTTTACTTTTCGAACCATTTCTGCTGATGTTGTTGTTTTCTTCCGTCCACTTCCTTAACGTCGGGCTAAGCTACCAGTATCACGGTAACGCGCGATGGTACGAGACACAAAAGATTTATTCACATTTAAATGCTGGAGTGCTCTAACGATAGCCACTTGCGGTTTTCCAGTCAAATATAAAGAAATCAGATGATGAAACAGCTGTCGGACGAGTGGCTTAGAAATTACAGCAGTCTGAATTTGGTTGCAGTTTTTTCATCTCACCCTGTATGAGGGCTATTGGTATATCTAAACCAATATTCACCAAAATTGCCAGACACGTTTTTAAGTTAAACTTGGCCGTGTGTGCAAAATTTCATCTTTTCATTTTATCCGGACACATTTACGCACAGTACGCATTTGGTGCACTATAACAACAAGTATGAAATCGTATCACTCTATATATTGCAGCTTTATCTAAATCTGAACCGATATTCAGCAAAAACTGGGACACATATTTCTGGTGTGAAAATAGCCCTGTATTCTAAAATTCATCCGATTCGCACTGGTATTACATATTTGATGCTCAATATTTATTAATTCGAAAAGCACTTCATATGGAAGCTTTATCCAAACATATTTCTGGTTTAAATATGACCTGCTTATTTAGTGCACAATTCTTATGAAATCGGGGAGCTTTATCCAAATACGGAAGGACATCCATAAATCGAATCGGAGGATTCTATGAGGATCCTGAAACGTAACTATGTCTCTGTCTCGTCTCCTTCTTCACTGGGTGTAGGGTATAACAACACATTAATTTCGTATGGATTAAAGAGGCTCCAACTTAGAACATTATAATATTTACAACCAAATACCTATAATGCACATACCACTTGAGACTTGACCTACAAACGATGGGAAATTTAAATATGAAATTCTAGAGGTTACATCAAAATTTACCAAACTTTCCACGTCCTTTTATTACCACGTCTATTCCGTTCTTCAAATGTTTACATTTACAAGAATAATAAATATCGTCTAATTTCCATACAAATCTTTCGGAACTAAAAATAAGCAATCGCTTGGTGGTGTATTTGCCTATTCGTCAGCATTTTTAATGTCTTAAAATAAAATATTTGATGCTATTTGGTTGTACAAATATATTAATGATCGCATAGTGTGGTATATACCTGATAATTTCAATTTATTTTATTTTATTTAGAATATATCCAATACGGATGAGATTGGAAAATGCAATTGTTTTTGCAAATCAGCCATTATTAACTGATTTGGATTCAAAATCGCTTTGTAAGTTTAAGATCAACACGTTTATCCATTTGACCATCAAGGGGACCTCCGGAATGCTTAGATATGGTACCCGTCAAGTCTAAGGTGGTACTTTTATCTTGGGACTTTAATAAATTTACTTTTCCTTGCACGTCCACTGTGTTCACGTTCAATTGGGGTATACGTGAAACGGTTACAGAAGCTCCATGACCCTTTGCGGTATTGTAATCGATTCCACCACCAACTCTGTTAAAATTGAAGCCATTGTCCAAGTTTGTGCGACTATGAAAGGCAATAGCATCCAGTTGGTGTTTATCGTTTTTCAAAAGATTAGCTTGAACGTTTTGTTCCAAAGTTGATCCATAATTATCCGTCTTAGATTTTGATATCGATGCTGAAAAGCCATTCCTGGAAAAAATAATAATTATTTGTAATATTAAGGTAGTAATAATTCTAGAGTACATATATTACATATTAGCGGCCACGAATCCCCCTCGGGTTAAGCCACCACCCGCAGTATTTCCACCAGCATATACACCTCCACCAAAATTTGCAGTATTGCTTCCAAACTGACGACCAAAATTCATATTATAATCTTGACCACCACGACTATTAGAAGTAAGAGAACCCCAAACTTGAGCCTGGGTTACTGCTAAGCCAGCCACCAAAAATATTACTCCAAACGAGAGCATGGACATTATGTTATTTTTCGAGTTGCTTATTTTTCTTAATGGCATGACTTCACAAGCTGTGCAGTATTTATAGGAATAAGTTTCTGCAACTGTATCGTTCATTGCGGGATTTTTTCCACTGCAAAGATGATAAGAAGGACCTAATTAATGTTGCTGATAGAAACAAATTCATATGATATTGTCGGGACTTTACAATCAAATTATTGTGTGTGTGGCATCAATTGTTTTTACAGCTTATGGTAAGAAACCAATATGAGCATATGAGTTACTTCTCTGCTTTGACGGGCATAGCTGTTTGCTATCACAGGCATCCATAGGTTAAGGATGGTTGAAGTCTAGTATATAATGGATAGCGATCCAAATGAAATAGTCTTGGTTTAAAAAAATTGTATATGTAACAGATTTATATAATATACTAGCTGAACCCGGCGCGCTTCGCTACCCCTTTTGATTTTATATGCATTCAAAATTTTATTTACGAATATATGTTGGTTAAAAAAAAAAAAAATAAAATAAAAATTAAAAAAAAATTATTGCACTACTTTAATGCGTAAATAACCAAAAGCAGTAACATGACATACATACACGAAGGGTTTGTCCTTCGGATTTATTTATTTCATAGCAAATATCAAGCGTGCAGTAAACTGCAATCTTTTGAAGTTAAGTGGCATTTCTATTGCAATTAGTGAATTCGAGATAACAACATACTTCGCCGTAATAATCGTATTTCAAATCAATTGTTGTGTTGTTTTTTAGTGTTAGCCTAAGGCGTTGTGGGTCAATGGTTCTTATTAAAATCATATCCCAATCTGATCCGATTTAAATATAATTTAAAAAAAATACTTTTACACCAAACTCCGCCACACCTTTCATATTTCATTGAAATTAGTGCGTCAAATATGTGAAATCGGCCGATAATATATATATGGGAGCTATATCCAAATCTTAACTAATTTCCAATTAATTTGTCACATTTATTATTGTAACCAAATTCCGCCACACATTCTGAATTTCTTTAGTATCGGTCATATATATCATGTTTGGTGCATAACATGTATGAAATCGGCCGAAATATATATATATATATATATATATATGTTAGCTATATCCAAACCTCAACTGATTTCAATATAATTTGGCAATTTTTTCTGGTGCCAGATTTTGTCTCTCTCGCTTTGGGTGCATCAAATATGTGAAATCGGCTGAGTATACATATGGGAGCTATAATCAAATCTGAGCGTATTTGAATATAATTTGTCAAACTTATTTTTGTACCAAATTTAGCCACTCATGCCGAATTTCATTGGGATCGGAAATACGTATCGTGTTTTGTGCATCAAATATGTGAAATCGGCGGAAAATATATATGGGAGCTATATCCAAATCTGAACCGATTTTAATATAATTTGACTAATTTATTTTCTAATCAAAATCCCGTTACATATTCCAAATTTCTTTGGAATCGAACATACATACCGTGTATGGTGCATAAAATACATGAAATCGGTCGAAAATATATATGAGAGCTATATCCAAATCTGAACCGATTTTAATATAATTTGACAAATGTATATTTGTTTTAATTTCCGCTACACATTCCAAATTTCATTGAAATTAGAGATACATAGCGTGTTTGGTGCATCAAATACATGAAATCGGTCGAAAATATATATGGGAGCTATATCCAAATCTGAACCGATTTCAATTTAATTTGACAAATTCATTTTGGCTCCCAATTCCGTTACTTATTTTAAATTTCATTACAATTGGAAATAAATATCGTGTTTGGTCCACCAAATATATGAAATCGGCCGAAAATATATATGGGAGCTATATCCAAATCAGAACCGATTTCAATATAATTTGACAAATTTATTTTCGGATTAAATCCCGTCACACATTCCAAATTTCATTGGAATCGAACATTCATATTGTGTTTAAGGCATCAAATGAACGAAATCGGTCGAAAATATATATGGGAGCTATATCCAAATCTGAACCGATTACAATATAATTTGGCAAACTTATTTTTGTTCCAAATTCCGTTACGTATTCCAAATTTGGAGACTGTATCTTCAACCAATCAATAGATATGTGCATATAAAATCTAAATTTTTGGGAGGTACCTCCGATTCTGATGCTATATCTCCAGTTCCAAGTGGAAATTCAAAAATGTATATAGCCTATGTTACTTTCAGGCGATGTTGCAGTATATATGGAAATTTTCAGGAAAATCTATTCAGCGGTTTTCGAGTCCATAAATTACAAACAAACAAACAAACATACAAACATTTTCCTCTTTTATAGATATAGATACTATATATACTATCCCGACGGGTATCGCTACACCAACTACAACTTACTACTTAGTCATTGTTATATATTCCACCTTAGCTTGTAGCAAATAATGTAGGTACTATATGGAGGTTTTAGACGCCGGATCCGTTCTCGTTTTTGTAATTTTCGGTTTTTAAGTGAATTTGAAATGCCAACCAACCAACCAAAATAAATTGAAGGTTGCTTTTATTGCCTGATTGAGATGAAATTTTCCACTAATCATTTTTTGTGGATCAAGGAAATTGGTGGTAATCGGATCAGTTTGGATATAATTTCCATATATAGTGTCGGCCGACTTTATAAGTTTGTGCCCCAAAGGCGTAATATCAAATGTGAATGCATTTTAGCACACACGGCCAGGTTCAGTCCAGAAGTATGTATGGCAAATTTGGTGAATATTGGTCAAGATTTATATAAATAGCTTCCATATATATTTTTGTCGATTTCAATTTTATTGATATAGACTTCGGCACACCCTATCGAATTCATTCCGGAGACAAGTACTTATAATTTGGTGAAAATCGGCTCAGATATAGCTATATATACTATATATATGTTTCATCCGATTTGGGGTTTAAGTCCCCGACATTCGTAATATGCACTCCCGAAACAGTGGTATTTGGTACTTGATTTCAGAAACGGCATCAGAAAAAATCGATATCGGCTTAGATATATCTTTATATATATCATTATTTGATTTGACGTATTGCGCACCAAAAATTTAATATCAGCCCAAATAGAATGGATTTCAGCACATATGACCTAATTCAGCCAAGAAGCGAGTGTAAAAGAATCTCTTCAGATATAGCTATATCTTACATATATTTGTTTCAGTCGTTTTTCTATCTAGTCACCCAAATCCGTATAATACACTCCATAACAAGGATTTCCGATATAGGATATTGGGTAAGGTATGTATCTTACATTTTCCAAGTTTTGTCGAGATAGGTTCAGATTTAGATATACCTTCCACATATATTTCCCTTCGGCTATTTTCGCATTCAAATAATGCGATTAAATTAAAACTTCTTTAATTCTTTTATATTAACTGAGTTTTTTAATACTACAAAGTCATGCATATGTGTTTCTGCTATCTGGGACTTTCACACTGTTTTTTATACCCTCTGCCATACATAGTATGGAGTTTAACTCATCAAAATAATAATTTTAGACACAACGAAGTGTTTATATTCTTGATCAGCGTAAAATGTTAAGACCATTTACCCATTTTTGCACAGATCAGTCTTTTGTCTGCAGGCAGGTCAAGTTCGAAGATGGGCTATATCGATGTACGATATCGTATAGGCGCCATATAACGGTACCCCCGATATTCGATATTTTAATGATTGTAGTCAAATTTCTAAATGAAATTGTTTGTTCTAAGCACTTTACCCCCTGGAAGAGAAAAGTCTATATAGGTCCACGATATCGTATAGCACACATTCAACCTTACCCCTCGATATCCGATATTTTCAGGGACATTATTCACAGGAGTTGTTTCAAATTTAGTATTTAGGGTTCGTAATGGGAATTGTCTTTACAGGTCCAGGTCTTCGCAGAAGCACCCTATATTCAGTGTTTTGACGATTTTAAGTACAATATTCACCGAAATTGTTTGAAATTTTGTATTTGAAGTTTCTAACAAGTACTACAGCCTGTGACAGAACTTCAGACTGCTGTAACTTCTAAACCACTCGTCCGACAGCTGTTAAAATTATTCCAGTGACAGCTCATTATATTGTTTACAAGCGCACAAAAGCAATTTGGTGAGAATTTTCCAGAAAATAAGCGTGATAGTGTGATTTATTTATATTTGGCTTGAAAACCACAAGTGACTATCGTTAGAGCACTCCAGCATTTAAATGTGAATAAATCGTTTGTGCTTCATACCATCGCTCGTTACCGTGACGGTTATTCGAAAAAATACAGTACAGTACAGAAGAAACATTCGTATACATCTATACAGTACCCAATATATTGCTTAGCATTGACAACAACCCAAGAAAGCTAAGTTCCTTCGTAAAGCTTTAATTAAAATTTTTGATTAACCCTACCTTCATAATATGTGTCACTGTGTAGCTTCAGACGTAAATACATGTAGGGTATATTTTGAATCAAAAGAACAAAGAAATTTAGTTTAACATCACCCAAAAGTTTCAAATGGAAAGCCTGCTGATGACTTATTAAAAAGTTGTCTTCTTTTTATACCCTCGACCTTGGAAAGGAGGGTATATTAACTTTGTCATTCCGTTTGTAACATGTCTAAATATTCATCATATATTCATAATCAGCATAAAATTCTAAGACGATATTACGATGTCCGTCTGTCTTTCTCTCTGTTGAAATCACGATACAGCCCACATTTTTTGACGTAGAGCGTCAAAATTTAGCAGAACAATTTGCATTATACCTAGGATTAAAAATGAGATATATCGGTCCACGTTTTTGGCATAGCCCCCATATAACGGTACCTTTCAATATTCGGTTATTTGTTGATTTTTGCCACATTTTTCCAGGGATTTGTCTAAAAATTGGTATTTGTAGGGTACAATGATTCCTAGCTTATGTGTCGAAACATTGTATGTATAAGTCCACGTTTTGGTATAGCCCCCATACAATGGTACCTCCCGATATTCGGTATTTTGGTGAATTTTGCCACATTTTTTTCACGAATTTGTCTAAAAATTGGAATTTGTTGGCCATGATGAGTTCTAGCTTATGTGGTGAAACAATGTGGGTACAGGCCCACGTTTTGGTATTTCTCCTATGTAACGTTACCTCCCGATATTCGGTATTTTGATGATTTTTCCCATATTTTCCACGAATTTGTCTAAAAATTGGTATTTGTGGATCATAATGGGTTCTGGCTTGTTTGGCAAAACATTGCATGTATAGATCCACATTTCGAAATTGCCTCCATATAACGGAACCTCCCGATATTCGGTGTTTTGATGATTTTTGCACATTTTTTAATGGATTGGTCCAGAAATTGGTATCTGTAGTTCGTAAAGGGTTGTAGCTCCTGTTGCAAAACATTTTACGTGAAGGTCCATGTTTTGGTATATCCCCATTTAACGGTACCTTCCGATATCCGATAGTTTGATAAAAGTTAGTATTTTTAGTTCATAATGGGTTCAAGCCCGGGGGCAGAACATTGAATATTTAGTTCCACATTTTCATACAACGCACACATAACGATACCCACTGATATTCGGTATTTTGATAATCCTAGTCCCATTTACCCACATAATTGATCCAAATTTGGTATTTAAAAGATTTGATAGATGACAATTCTTGAAGGTTCCCGTTTTGGAATGGCTCGCACACTTTACGGGTTTTTGATAAGTTTAACTGCATTATGCAAACGATCTTACTGGTATATGAAGTTTATTGTAAACATGATTGAATTCAGATACTTTTATATAAAAATGTTTCCTTAACCCTACGGAGGAGGGTATTAAAATGTTTAATGTTAATGTTTTTTTACTTGTTTTAAGTAATGATATCATAGTTTGTACTAAAGTTTTTTTTTTTAGTTACATAAAAATATCATAGCGATATGATCGACATGGCTTTTACAATTAAGAATCAGCTAAGAGTTTGGGAAACTCTTTTTTCTAAAGAAAAAAGTAGACAAAATAGTTTACGTCAATTTCAATAAATTATAGGATATAAGACAACAGGTTTTTTTTATATAAAAACCATTTACCATTTTATCATTTATATTGTAAATACTTTGTCTAAGAAAGTTTAGGCCGCATTGAAATTGCACAAAATCTCGTTAATGGAATGTGTCATAAAACACGACGAATTCAATCAAGAAATTACAGGATGAGATAAAAAAAAACTGCAACAAAGTCAATCGTCATAATTTTTGCATTTTTTTTTATTAATTTTATTGAATGAAAGCAAAAAATTTCGGAAATAGCATCAAAATTTATAATAAGTTTAGATTTGTTCGAATGTTGCTCTGCGGTATTTTGTTCCATTCCAGGCGAAGCGCTTGCTTGATGTGATCTACACTTTGGTACGTTTTTGTGCTAACCTCGCTTTCCCAAATACTCCAGACACAATAGTCCAATGAATTGGTATCCAGTGATTTTGGTGGCCATTGTTCTCCGGAAATGAGGTTCCTCTCATTTTGTAACCATTCTTGTGTGAATTTTCCAGAAAATAAGTTATTCGCGATGGAATTCCAGCGTGATTTCTTTATATTTGGCTGGAAAACCTCAAGTGGCTATCGTTAGAGCACTCCAGCATTTAAATGTGAACAAATCTTTTGTGTCTCGTAACATCGCTCGTTACCGTGATACTGGTAGCGTAGCCCGACGTCAAGGAAGTGGACCGAAGAAAACAGCAACTTCAGAAGAAATGGTTCGAAAAGTGTAGAATTGACTTGATCGAAACCCACGCCGCAGTGGCCGAAAAATGGCTCGTAGGCTGAACATAGCGCAATATTCCATTCGCCAAATATTGAAAAATGAGCTCGGAGTAAAGCCACTGAAATTCCAAAAAGTGCATGAACTTACACCGCAACAGAAAGAAAATAGACTCAAAAGAGCTAAAGAGTTGCTTCGCTTCGATGAGAAAATATTCGTTGTCCAGCAGTTTGTAAACAAACAAAATGATCGTGTTTACTTGCCAAAGAGGTCAGCTGAAAATGTACACCTTCGCTTGGCCATCAGAACTCAAGCGCCGGCCATGGCGATGGTGTGGGCCGCCATTACAGCCGATGGTCGCTCTCCGCTCGTATTATTCGACCGTGGCATCAGAATAAATGCCGAATATTACAGCAAAAAATGAATAAATGTAAAAATTATGGCGTTTGACTTTGTTGCATTTTTTTTTATCTCGCCCTGTAAATAAACTACTTTAATTTTTTTTAAATTTCTTCACCTATGTATTCATTTTAATAATTATTTATCAAATGATAATCCCATGTACATAAACAAAAATATCACTATATTGATTTTATTGTTAATATTGTATTTTTTATTAAATTTTGTATACATGTGTAGACAAACACAATCGAAGCAAATGTACATTTCACATTTTTTCAAAACAAGAATTGAGTGAACTGACACGTTTTTGTACTCAACATGATTAAAAACTCGTGAAAGCTTCAGTAAATCACAGATCTTCAAATAATAGAATCATTCATAAACAACGCTGCAAGACGACGTATCAATGTATTTGCATTGTCCGATTCAATGTTTATCAAAATCACATTCATAATTCTAGCACTGCATCATTTTCAATGTGGTAATTATTTTTCGTGAAATAAAATGAAAACTAATATTGAAAAAGAACATATCTTAATATTACAGTGGCATCGTCTCCTGAGGCTCAACAAGTTACAGAGAAAATTCCGACAGAATGTAAATTTCCCGACAATTCAAATGGAAATTGTGTGCCCTTAGAAAATTGTGCAGCCGCCATAACGGGGAAAGATGCAACAGAATGCTACCGCCACAATAATAATACCTATGTTTGTTGCAAATATAACTTGTGGAGTGAATATAAACCTAGAAAACTAACTGATGGTAAGTAAAATAGACGATAATTTTGCCATATGCAGCAGTTAGTGATGTTGGAAGTATAGAAAAGCTGTAATTATGAATTTCTACCTATACAGAAGCAAATATTTCGTTGTAGCGGAGTTCATAGGAACACTAGCATCGTTATAAGTTATTCGCGATTCACGTTAATGTTGTTTTTACTCTTTGCTAGGGAGATATATACATGCTGCATACATATGAATATAGCATAACTTTTAAAATATTAGAATTCAGGTGTTGTTTAATATTATAGAAGTCAGATAAACAGTGCTGCCCATTGCTAACAATGTCAAGAACACCAACTTTTGCTTCGGTTCAGATTTCCAATTCTATTTTATAGCTTGATCACTTTTGACTTAACCCTGAACTTCTTCAAAGATAGAATATTTTGCTGATATGATTTTTCTTCGCAGCATTGCTTAGTGGTATAATTTTGAAAAAATAAGAAACATTGTCTTCATTGAAAATTAATTTCATATACATTTTGACTTTTTTATACCCTCCACCATACATATTATGGAGGGTATACTAAGTCCGATATTCTGACTGTAACTCATCGAAATAATAATTAGCCACATTTTTAATGGAATTGTTTGAAAATCCACACAAGGATTTCTTTCTTAGTACTTTAAAACCTGAAAGAAAATTGATTACATCGGTCTACTATATCGTATAGCCCCTATACAACGGTGGCCCCCGATATTCGGTATTTTGGCGATTTTAGCCACATTTTCTTTCTGACTACTTTAAAACCTGAAAGAAAATTGTCTATATAGGTCTACGATATCGTATAACCCCCATAAAACGGTACCCCCGATATTCGGTATTATAGCGGTTATATTCGATATTTTTATGATTTTGACAGAATTTTTAGCGTATGTTATATTTTTAAAAATTGTATTCAAAGTTCAGCCCAGCCGAACTTACTGTTTTTTTACTTGATACATATCATATTTACACACTGTGGTGCAGGTTGTTATGTTTATGTATTTTTTTTTTTGTTTTTTGTTTTTTTTTTTGCAATATTCTGTACCTTCGGTTATTTTAATTAAATCTATTAAAAGCGTGTCTAAAATCAGCAAAAAAGGAATATGGGGAGGTACATTATGGGGATATGGAGGCATGTTATCATGTTATCTTTTTGAAAATTTCCGAATTCGCACCAAATAGGGGAGGGTATTCAAAGTTCAGCCCAGCCGAACTTACTGCTTTTTTACTTGTTACGTCTCATTTATACACTTTTGTTTATGTATTTTTATACCCTACACAACAAGGTGGTCAGGGTATTATGTCTTTGTGCATTTGTTTGTAACAGGCAAAAGGAAACAAGATAGACCCATAGTTCCTTTTGATGATCTGCATAGAATCACATTCTGAGTCGATTTATGCATGCCCGTCCGACTGTCGATGCATTTTTGTAAACAAAGTTAAGGTCGCATTTATTGCCCGATCCAGATGAAAATTTGCACAGATCATTTGTTTGGCCCAAGGACGAACCCTATTGATATTGGAGATAATCGGTCAAAATTTAGATATAGCTCCCATATATATATATCTTCGTCCGATTTGCTCTTTTGTGTACCAAACGTGTAATATCAGCCCGAAATGTATGGAATTTTGCCTAAATTAGGCCTAGAAATAAGTATGCCGAATTTGATCGAAATCGGTTCAGATATAGCTATAGCTCCCATATATATTGTTCATCCGATTTGTTATTTTTGTCCTTCGCTGCCGTAATATGCACTCTGCAACAACAATATTTGGAGAAATATATCAAATACAACTCAGTAATACATTTGCTAAATTTTATCGAGATCTGTACTGATTTGGATATAGCTCCCATATATAACTTCGTCCGATTTACTTTTTATTGTGCACCCAACGTCTAATATTTGTCCAAATGGGATGGAATTTGGCACTTAAGACCGAATTGAGTCTAGAAGCTAGTATGTCAAATTTGGTGAAGATCGGTTCAGATATAGCTATAGCTCCCATATATAGTGTTCATTCGATTTGTTATATTTGTTACCCACAGCCTTAATATGCACTCCGTAACAACGATATTCAGGGAAATATATCAAATACCGCTCAGAAATATCTTTGCCAAATTTTATCGATATCGGTTTTGATTTGGATATAGCTCCCATATATATCTTTATCCGATTTCAAATTAATTGTGAACCAAATGGGCAATACAAGTCCGAATTTGAAAGATACAAATGCTTCGGCATATTGAGTCTTTTGAACTTTAAATTATAATTATAATCATATCGTGTATGATTGAATTCTCCCATAAAAGCATTTAATTGTTATGTGGAGCTCTACTAAACTAGCAAAGTGATTTAGGGTATCATAAAGTCGGCCCAGCCCGACTTTAAGACTTTCTTTACTTGCTTTTTTGTAATATTCTGTACCTTCGGTTATTTTAATTAAATATATTAAATTTGTGTCTAAAATCATCAAAAAAGGAATATGGGGAGATATATTATGGGGATATGGAAGCTATACGAAAACGTGTGCCAACACGTCTCATTTACGAAATTAAACTATCTCAATTGTCCCCTTCTATCTCAATGACGAATATCGTTTAATTGACTAAGACTTTTACGCAGATCTGGAGTATATATACTGACATGGGTATTTCGAGGAGTTACAAATGGAACGACAAAGTTAATATACAATACTACAGGGTGAGATAAAAAAACTGCAATAAAGTCAAACGCCATAATTTTTACATTTTTTTTTTTAAATTTTGTTGAATGAAAGCAAAAAATGTCGGATTTACCATTTAATTATAATACAAGTTTAGTTTTGTTCGAATTGAGGACATTTGGCACGAATTATGGCCTTCAGACGGCCAATGAAACCGCCACACTCTGTCCAAATGTTGCTCTGCGGTATTTTGGCATATTCCCGGCGAAGCGCTTACTTGAGGTGATGGAAACTTTGGTATTTTTTAGTGCCAACCTTGCTGTCCAAAATACTCCTGACACAATAGTCCAACGTATTGGTATCTGGAGATTTTGGTGGCCATTGTGCGCTGGAAATGAAGCGAAGAACCTTGTTTTGTAACCATTCTAGGGTGGCGCGTGCTGAGTGCGATGGTGATGAGTCCTGTCGAAATGTCCAAGATCTGCGGCCAAAATGTTTGCGTGCCCAAGGCTTTAATACAACCTCCAGAATATTTGCGCGATAATATTCTGATGCCACGAGCAGAGAGCGACCATCGGCTGTTATGGCGGCCTACACCATCACCATGGCCGTCGCTTGAGTTCTTGTGGCCAACCGAGGGTCCACATTTTCAGCTGACCTCTTTGCCAAGTAAACACGATCACTTTGTTTACAAACTGCTGGACAACGAATGTTTTCTCATCGGAGAAAATCAAATTCGGCAGTTCACCACTTTCGCCCAAGCAAAGCAACTCTTCAGCTCTTTTGAGTCTATTTTCGTTCTGTTGCGGTGTAAGTTCTTGCACTTTTTGGATTTTCAATGGCTTTATGTTCAGCTCACGAGCCATTTATCGGCCACTGCGACGGGGGTTTCGATCAAGTCGCTTCTTTACTTTTCGAACCAATTCTGCTGATGTTGCTGTTTTCGTTTGGCTACGCTACCAGTATCACGGTAACGAGATTTATTCTCATTTCAATGCTGGAGTGCTCTAACGATAGCCACTTGTGGTTTTCCAGCCAAATATAAGGAAATCACACTATCACGTTTGAATTCCATCAGGAATAACTTTTTTTCTGGAAGATTCTCACCAAAATGCATTTGTACGCTTGTAAAGAATATAATGAGCTGTCACTGGAATAATTTTAACGGCTGTCGGACGAGTGGCTTAGAAATGACAGCAGTCTGAATTTGGTTGCAGTTTTTTTTTAATTTTGCCGGAAATTGACTTTAGCACTTAAAACGTTCACGATTGAATGACAAATTTGGTATATAACTAAAATATAAAGAGGGCTATAACTTTGCTTCGAATGGACCGAAATTGTGACATGCAAAAATCAGGCGTAGATTAAGTTTATATTTAGTTGTTTTGCGATCAACTCCGAAATTATAGAGTAATTTTCTAACCATAGCCCTGATCTAATGTAAAATTTCGCGAGCATCGGAAATTAAATTCGACCTTTAGATTGATTAAAACTTAACATGGACGGATACACAAACTTAAATTGAATTGACACATAACAATTAAAAGTTTTTATGGGAGAATTCAATCATACACGATATGATTATAATTATAATTTAAAGTTCAAAAGACTCAATATGCCGAAGCATTTGTATCTTTCTAATTCGGACTTGTTTTGCCCATTTGGTTCACAATTAATTTGAAATCGGATAAAGATATATATGGGAGCTATATCCAAATCAAAACCGATCTCGATAAAATTTGGCGAAGATATTTCTGAGCTGTATTTGATATATTTCCCAAAATATTGTTGTTACAGACTGCATATTACGGCTGCGGAGGACAAAACTAACAAATCGAATGAACAATATATATGGGAGCAATGGCTTTATCTGAACCGATTTCGATCAAATTTGGCATACTTATTTTCAGGCCTAATTTGGTTGTATGTGCAAAATTCCATACTGTTGTTACACGTTTGGTGCACAATAAAAAGTCCTTGGGTCAAACAAATGTGCAAAATTTCATCCGGATAGGGCAATAAATGCGAACTGTACCTTGTTTACAAAAATACATGGACAGACGGATGGACGGAAAGACGGACGTACATGCATAAATCGACTCAGAATGTGATTCTAGGCAGATCATCGAAAGGAACAATAGGTCTATCTCGTTTCCTTTTGCCTGTTACAAACAAATGCACAAAGACATAATACCCTGACCACCTTGTGGCGTAGGGTATAAAAACAGTTACATAATTAGACGTAGCTCACATATTTAATAACTCAAATTTTGTAATGCATATTGATCTACTTTTAAGAGCTTTTAAAAATATTGCGGATTATGTTATGTTAAATATTTAATTAAGTATTTTATTTTTCCAAGGATGTGGCGTACCGATAGTAAATATTATACGGGGCTTACTCACCAAGGAAAAGGAATTTCCTTACATGGTAGGTTAGAATCCTCTGATTGCTAAAAGTGATTACTATTTTCTTTATTTCATTTAAAAGGCCGCGTTGGGTTGGGAGTCAACATTTTTCGATGAACCCTTCGAGTATAAATGCGGTGGAGTTTTAATAACACCAACTTATGTTCTAACAGCCGCTCATTGTGCTCGTCTAAATGGGTAATACACAGAAATTCCAAAAATAGTAATTAAAGCTTTTAATATTTTCATTTCCCCTGTAAAAAACTAGGCAAGCACCTTCTGTCGTTTTGGTGGGTGGTAATAATTTAAAAGACACTATCAATAAACCGATTAACATTGCTGAAATTATTGTTTATCCTGACTACAAACGAAACGAATCATATCATGATATAGCGCTAATAAAACTTGAGCAATATGTAATAGAAACCTCAGCCTGTATTTGGAGTCTGTATGCGATGGACAAAGTAAATTTGACAGCAATTGGTTATGGAACTACACAATTCGGTATATTCATTAATTTCTTAAAGAATTAAGTTAATAAATTAAATTAGTTTCTATTTCTAGCGGGTCCCACTTCTGACAGCTTGCTGAAAACTTATTTATCGGTTGTGCCAAATAAACAGTGTTCAACCCATTTTAGAGATGAAGCAACTTTGCCTAGGGGCCTACACGAAAGTCAATTTTGTGCCCAGGATTTTGAGAGAAACAGCGATACATGCCAGGTAGTATTCCGCATTACAGTTGGTGTTTAATGAATTCCAAATTTCTTTTACTTTTCAGGGTGATTCGGGTGGTCCATTAATTATGAATTCAATTAATCCCCAAGGATTTAATACGCCATTTGTTGTAGGGATTACTTCGTTCGGCCGAGGTTGTGCCTTGGAAATACCTGGAGTATATACAAGAGTTTCGGAATATGTCGACTGGATAGATAATGTGGTATATAATAAAACCCGAGCCGTTTAAATTTTAAGTGATTGTGTGTTTGTTTAAATTTCTACGAGTTTTAAATGTTCAATATAGACATTCGCATGTTTATAATATAGGAACTTAATTATATTTTAATTTCTTTTATTTTATTAAGGTTCCACGCAATGTAAATATAGGTATATTAGATTTCCTTTAAAATAATGCTGCTGTAATTTAGTAAAAAAATTCAAATGGTTCATTTGAAAAACATTTTACATACAGCAGTTGTGAACGTATCAGTGGTTTCTGGCTACAGATATACCTTCTCGTCCTATGACCGTATAAAAAATAACGTTAAAATATAAAGTGTAATTTTTAACAACTATAGTAGGGTTTAAAAGACATAAAATTCAGAAAAAAATCATGAAGTCTTTAATTCAACTGATATACAGCGTGAGATGAAAAAAAGTCAACCAACTTCAGACTGCTGTCATTTCTAAGCCATCCGTTCGACAGCTGTTAAAATTATTCCAGTGACAGCTCATTATTTTGCTTACAAGCGTACGAAAGCATTTTGGTGAAAATTTTCCAGAAAAACAGTTATTCGTGAAGGAATTCAAGCGTGATAGTGTGATTTCTTTATATTTGGCTGGAAAACCACAAGTGGCCATCGTTAGAGTACTCAATCATTTAAATGTGAATAAATCTTTTGTGTCTCGTAACGTCGCTCGTTACCGTAATACTGGTAGCGTAGCCTGACGTCAAGGAAGTGGACGGACGAAAACAGCAGCATCAGCAGAAATGGTTCAAAAGGGCTAAAGAGTTGCTTCGCTTGACCGAAAGTGGTGAACTGCCGAAGTTGGTTTTCTCCGATTAGACAACATTCGTTGTCCAGCAGTTTGTAAACAAACAAAATGATCGTGTTTACTTGTCAAAGAGGTCAGCCACCAGAACTCAAGCTCCGGCCATGGTGATGGTGTGGGCCGCCATAACAGCCGATGGTCGCTCTCCGCTCGTTTTAATCGACCGTGGCATCAGAATAAATGCCGAATATTATGGATAAAATATTCTGGAGGGAGTATTAAAGCCTTGGACATGCAAACATTTTGGCCGCAAACTTTGGACATTCCAACACGACAGGACAACAACACTCAGCACGCGCCACCCAAGAATGTGTACAAAATGAGGTTCCTCGCTTCATTTTCAGTGCACAATGGCGATCAAAGTACCCGGATACCAATCCGTTAGACTATTGTGTCTGGAGTATTTTGGAAAGCAAGGTTGGCACTAAAAAATACCAAAGTGTCGATTACCTCAAGCAAGCGCTTCGTCGGGAATGGCCAAGATACCACATAACAACATTCGGGCAGCGTGTGACGGTTCTTCTCTTCACAGTTACGTTTCGATTTTCAGAATCTTTTAAAAAGTATGGTTCAACCCGAAACGCGTCGCATAGTGGTGAGTGTGTGATAGTGTCTATCTGGCTTTCCCTTTCACTGCAAATTTCAGATCATTAAGCTCGTCTCGAAAGAGAAAACAAACACATAAATCATAAAACATATGATCTTCGCCTTAACAAGGCAAAACTCAAAAATTCAGCCGAGCCTGGCTGTGGGATTTGAACCGCGGACCTCGGTGTGCAGCCAACTAGAAGTTGCCGTCTCTACGTTCAGAGCCATTAACCCGTCTTCCTAAAGCAGCACTAAAACAAGTGTATGCATTGGAAGCAATGTAGCTGTTGTGGACAAAAAATCCATCACTACAAAAACAAAACTTTGCTGTGAAAAAGATCTGCCAATAGAACTTGAGTCGAACCTGGAGAGTTTCTAGTGTATAATTCGAATATGCTAATTTGCAATAAGTTCGAAATATATACTACTTTCCAGAGAACGGCCCTTGTAAGCTATCATCCACACCAAATATGCCTGATGAGCCGCTTAACCAACGGCGAAACGCGTCGTATAGTGGTGAGTGTGTGATAGTGTCTATCTGGCTTTCCTTTTCACTGCAAATTTCAGATCATTAAGCTCGTCTCGAAAGAGAAAAGAAACACAGAAAACTCTTTTGTTTACGTACCCATCGAACCAAAAATGAGCTTCGTCCCTGAACGCGATGAACTTTCTATACAGAGCACGGACTCTGATAATTAAATTTTATTATTGCCTACATTGATCGTTTTTAAAATGATTCATTGTTAAATTATGGACCAAATTTTTTTGGTTGTTTTCCCCAGATATGGTTTAAAATTTTCTTTAAAGAAAATAATCGCAAGTCAAAATAATCTAATTTGTCATATAGTTCTACTGTGGTGCCCGGAATACATTAAAAGTCTGAATCCTCACTAAAACCATGTTTGGTTTAACGCCATATTTCATGACATAGATTATTCTTCATCCAATTTCAAAATAAGTCCCCAAAGAACAAAGTAATAAGGAAAAAGCATGGAACAATGAATTCAAGGTAGGGCAGAAATACCATATGATTTAATTTTTTTTGTTATTTTTCTGGCTTAATATGTCAACTTCATTTGCTTATGTGTGTGTCTTCTTTTCAATAATAAAAAAAATTGTTCAGAAAATTGTCAAATTCGGGTGTTTTCAAAATGCTTATTGCAACGAATGCATCGACAAAATCTACAGTTTTTGTCGCGAAATAAACCATAATAGATATATAGAACATGATTTGGAAAATAAATTTTGACCTTTCATTCAGTTTTTGGGTTTTAAATTATTTATTCAAAATCAATGCAATAAGGTGTTTGCTTTTTTATTGTTTTGATAGTAATTCTGAAATTACAAGCCAAACAGGTAAACCTCTATACTTGCAATTTTTTCAAAGTTAGCCTACCTTGTCTTCATTGTACCATGGTACAAAGGGCTGTAAAACAAACAAATAAAAATGCATTAAGTTTGGCCGTCCAGAACCTTTAATACCCTCCACCATTAGGTACCTAGATAATTAATGTTCTGCCACCAGATCTAAAACCCATTATGAACTACAAATACGAATTTTTAGACAAATCCGTGGAAAATGCTGCAAAATCATCAAAATACCGAATATTGGGAGGTACTGTTATATAGGGGCTATACGAAAATGTGGACCTATACATACAATGTTCCGCCACAGAAGCTAAAACCCATTACGAACTACAAATACTACCTTTTAAACAGATCCGTGGAAAAATATCCGAAAAATCGTCAAAATGTCGGGAGGTTCATTTATATGGGGCAAAATGAAAACGTGGACATATATATACAATGATCCGCCACCGATGCTAGAACCCATTTCGAACTATGAATGTCAATTTCCGTAACAAAATGTAACATATCAAAGTATGGAATATCGGGCGGTATCATTATATGGGGCTAAAGAAAAATGTGGACCTATATGTACAATGTGCCAATGTTCCGGAGGTGAAACTCATTACGAACTACAAATACCATTTTTTGAGACAAATCCGTGGAAAATGATGCAAAATCATCAAAATACCGAATATTGGGAGGTACTTTTATATGGGGCTATACGAAAATGTGGACCTATACATACAATGTTCAGCCACAGAAGCTAAAACCTATTACAAACTACAAATACTGCCTTTTAAACAGATCCGTGGAAAAATATCCGAAAAATCGTCAAAATGTCGGGAGGTTCATTTATATGGGGCAAAATGAAAAAGTGGACATATATATGCAATGATCCGCCACCGATGCTAGAACCCATTTCGAACTATGAATGTCAATTTCCGTAACAAAATGTAACATATCAAAGTATGGAATATCGGGCGGTATCATTATATGGGGCTAAAGAAAAATGTGGACCTATATGTACAATGTGCCAATGTTCCGGAGGTGAAACTCATTACGAACTACAAATACCATTTTTTGAGACAAATCCGTGGAAAATGATGCAAAATCATCAAAATACCGAATATTGGGAGGTACTTTTATATGGGGCTATACGAAAATGTGGACCTATACATACAATGTTCAGCCACAGAAGCTAAAACCTATTACAAACTACAAATACTGCCTTTTAAACAGATCCGTGGAAAAATATCCGAAAAATCGTCAAAATGTCGGGAGGTTCATTTATATGGGGCAAAATGAAAACGTGGACATATATATACAATGATCCGCCACCGATGCTAGAACCCATTTCGAACTATGAATGTCAATTTCCGTAACAAAATGTAACATATCAAAGTATGGAATATCGGGCGGTATCATTATATGGGGCTAAAGAAAAATGTGGACCTATATGTACAATGTGCCAATGTTCCGGAGGTGAAACTCATTACGAACTACAAATACCATTTTTTTAGACAAATCCGTGGAAAAGTGTGGCAAAAATCATCAAAATACTAAATATCGGGATGTACCGTTATATGGGGCCTATTCCGAAACACCGACCGAAATTATCAAAATACGGAATATCGGGAGGTACCGGTAAAGGTAAAGTATTGTCACCCCATGCCAAAATGAAGACAAGGTATCCTAAGTTTGAAACAATTGCAAGTATAGCGGTCTACTGTCTGGCTTGTAATGCAAGATTTACTATCAAAACAATCAAAAAACCAAAAAACTTGTTGCATTGATTTTCAATAAATAATTGAAAACCTCAAAAACTGAATGAAAGGTCAAACTTTATTTTCAAAATCATGTTCTATATATCTCTAAAGGTTTATTTCGCTACAAAAACTGTAGATTTTGTCGATGCATACGTTGCAATAAGTATTTTACACACATAAACAAAAAAAAGTTGGCATGCTCGTATATAGCGAAGAAAATAAACAAGTTAAAAAGCAGTAAGTTCGGCCGGGCCGAACTTTGAATACCTTCCACCATTTGGAACGAATTTATAAGTTTTCAAAAAATAAAATCCTTAACAAATTCTGTTAAAATTTAAACAAGTAAAAAAGCAGTAAGTTCTATGTCTGCGTGTAAAGTACTCACAAGGAACTCCTTGCATGGATTTTCAGATAATTCCATTGGAAAAGTGGCTAAAATCATCAAAATACCGAATATAGGGGAGTACCGCTATACGGGGGATATACGATATTGTGGACCTATATAGACAATTCCGTTTCAGGGGTAAAGTGCTCACAAAGAACTCCGTGTGGGGATTTTCAGACAATACGATTGGAAAATGTGGCTAAAATCATAAAAATACCGAATATCGCGGGGTACCGTTATATGGGAGCTATACGTTATAGTAAACCTATATAGAGAATTCTCTGTCGGGGGGTAAAGTGCTCACAAAGAACCCCTTGTGTACAAAGAACCCCATTCGGTTGAAAAATATGGCTAAAAACATCAAAATACCGAATATCGGGAGGTACCGTTATATGGGGGATATACGATATCGTGGACCTGTATAGACATTTCTCTCTCAGGGGGTGAAGTACTCACAAGGAACCACTTGTGTTGATTTTAAGACAATTCCATTGAAAAGCGTGGCTAACATCATCAAATACCGAATATCAGGGGTTACAGTTATATGGGGGATATACGATATCGTGGACCTATATAGACAATTCTTTTTGGGGAGGTAAAATGCCCACAAGGGACTCCTTTTGTGTAATTACAGACAATTCCATTGAAAAATATGGCTAAAATCATGAAAATACCGAATATCGGGGGGTTCCGTTATATGGGGGATATACGATATTGTGGACCTATATAGATAATTTTCTGCCGAGCTATAAAGTACCCATAAGGAACTCCTTGTGTGGATTTTCAGACAATTCCATAGAAAAATGTGGGTAAAATCATCAAAATACCGAATATCGGGGGGTACCTTTATATGGGGGCTATACGATATTGTGGACCTATATAAATAATTCTCTGCCGAGGTATAAAGTACCCACAAGGAACTTCTTGTGTGGATTTTCAGACAATTCCATTGAAAAATGTGGCTAACATCATCAAAATACCGAATATCGGGGGTACCGTTATATGGGGGCTATACGATATCGTGGACCGATATAGCCCATCTTCGAACTTGACCTGCCTGCAGACAAAAGAGAGATCTGTGCAAAATTTTAGCTTCCTATCTTAATTCGTTTAGCGTGATTACAACAGACGGACAGGGCTAAATCGTCTTAGAATTTTACGCTGTTTCGTTCTCTAATTTTCGAATAATAGCAACTTAAACTAATTTGCTCATTTCCAATTTATTGGTAGATGTTGCACGTAAATGGTCTTCCAAAGACCTATAATCTCTCAGAAGTGGCAAAAGATTAGCATTTATTATTGGTTTTTGACTGAAACGCATCTATATGAGATACAGACATTTGACTATATTCTTCATCGAAATCAGCGTTAACGAAATAGTCAGAAGTGCGTCATTCCTGTATTTGTGAATTCTCCAAAAAGTCACTGGAATGGACATTTTCGTATTTTGTCTACAAAAGTTGGCAAACCCCTTCACACATTGAATATTTTTGGATGGCCATCCAAAACTGCTTGGCTTTTGCAATATCCGGTAAGCCCCATTCAAATGTGCGTGAGGATCGGGCGAACTTTACGACCTGCTGACAATTTTGCAGTTTTTTGGTCCATTTCAACCCCTAAATATATGGCGATCATCTCCAAAAAGAGTAGGTTTCTATTCTGACCCTCCCCCATGCAAAATTTTGTAAGGATCGGACCATAAATGCGATCTGTATATGATATCCTGATATCTCAACTACTTAGTTTTGTTAGCTGTAGAAATATTACCAAATGTTTAATTCAAAATGAAAATATGACAAAATTGAAAAAAATATGAGAAAATATTACAAAATTAATATTTTCATCTTTAGAGAGATATTTTTATGCGATTTTTTTAGACGTATTTTCTTTCTTGTCAAGAGGCCATTCTGAATTAATGAGAACTGTCGGAATCAGTTCAGCCGTTCTCGACATAGGCGATCTTTCAAGCATATCTTCTTTGATAGACATATATATCGCACATATTTTGCTATATATCCGATTTTTTGGATGTTAACATCAATATAAAGATCAAAAGTAACCTTGCCATGGCTTTGTGATTTCGCCGGGATTTAAAATATTCGCTGTTTAATGAAAAATTTTGAATTTTTTCAACACAAAAGATATGGTCTAGTTTACCCGCTAAATATTATCCGATGACCACCCAAATTGGTAGGCTTCTTCCGCACCCTAAACTCTAGCTACATGCGAAATTCCGCGTCGATTGGTCTATAATTGCGACCTGTATAGCTACTGCAAAATCCGACATTTTTTCAGTATTTGGTCCATTTCAACCCCTAAACATTTGGCGATCATCTCCAAAAGAAATAGGCTTCTTTTCTGACCCTAACCCCACCTTCGTGCAAAATTTCGTTAGGATCGAACTATAATTGCGACCTGTAGCGTGATTACAAATTAACATGGACAGGCGGACAGACGGACGGACGGACATACATAGGTAGATCGATTCAGCTCGGCGAGCTAGAAAGATCCATATATACTTTCCTATATGGGAAACCAATATTTCGAGGTGTTACATAAATTCTGGCCCAATCAAACTTATAATACCTCCAACACATAGTGTTGTAGGGTATAATTACAATTATATGGTATTATATCCCCACCTTTATTTTATTGTACCATGAGTCTCCCCAAAAGCTGTAAATATTTAAATTTCAATAATTTACATTTCGAAAGAATTTGAAAATTTTCAAAATCATTTTGTTTATTATTCAAAACAATACATACACATACAAAAACTGTATTAATTATTTGACTTACAAGACCACCAAACGAATCAATTATATTCTGCTGATTGCTTTGCCCTACCTTAATTTCATTGTACCATGGTTTCTCCGCGTTATAACATTTTCTTTTTTCAAAGTTTCATAGAACAAGAATTTATATAAAAAATCTCATAATTTGTCTAGTCTATACATTTATTGTGCGATTTTTATATTAAACTTTGGGAATCCATATGTTCTCAAGACAATACGTGACACGACAACGATTTTATTTTTTATTGCCTTAGCGCCGGAAGTAACCAAGTTCTCAATTATTCAAGTTCTCAATTATTCCATTCTCGTTTTTTTTTTGTTCTACCCTTATCATTTCATTCATCTCTCTTCTTTGTTTTTATGCCCTCCACAATACTATGGATGGTATATTAACTTTGTCATTCCGTTTGTAACTCCTTAAAATACTCAAGTCAGAACCAACAAAGCGTAATATTCTAAGTCGATTTAGCGATGTCCGCCTGTCTGTCCGTCTGTCTGTTGTAATCACGCTATCTATCGAACGAATTGAGATAGAAGGCTAAAATTTTGCTCACAAGTTTATTTTGCCAGTAAGCAGGTTATGTTCGTAAATGGACATTATAGGTCCACGTTTTCATATAGCCCCCATATAACGGTACCTCGCGATATTCGGTATTTTGATGATTTTAGCAACATTATTCACCGGAATTGTTTCAAATTTGGTATTTGAAGTTAGTAGTGTTCACTACAGCCTATGACAAAAAATTTCGTATGCAGGTCCACGTCTTCATATAGCCACCATGTAACGGTATCACCCAATATTCGATATTTTGATGATTTTAGCGTCATTATTCACCGGAGTATTTTCAAATTGCGCATTTAGAGTTCGTAATGGGTGCTACAGTCTGTGACAAAAAATTGTCTATGCAGGTCCAGGTCTTCGTATAGCTCCAATATAACGGTACCTGCCGATATTCGGTATTTTGATGATTTTATCTACATTATTCCCCGTTTATTTTAAGTTTCGAATTTGAATATGATAATACCTATGACAAACAAAGCCTATGTAGGTCCACGTCGTATAGACCCCAATATAACGGCTATATTCTGTATTTTTAAGATTTTAACAGAATTTTTAACGGTTTTTATTTTTTTTAAATTTCAAAATTCATTCCAAATGGTAGAGGGTATTTAAAGTTCGGCCCGGCTGGACTTACTGATTTTCAACTCGTTATTTTATGTATTTTATGTTTGTCAATGCCCAGGTATCATTGAATACGAATGACTAAATGTGTCAACAATAAACATTCTGAGACAAGATACCAGGAAGATAACATCGGCCTGTCGGCATATTCGATTGTCATTTAAAAAAACCAAATCCCTTCTATAAAATGGTCATGATAAAAATGTATTTGTTGTTGGTTCTTTATTTCCAATGTGGTGAGTAGAAAAGATTTTACAGAAATTTATTTATATTGTTTTTCATTCATTATTTCCATTTGTAGTGCCGTCTTCAGCCACAAAATTTCCCACGAAGTGTTGGCTTTCTCGCAGGACCGTCGGTACATGCATCAAATTACTTGATTGTCCAGCAGCCATAACTGGAAAATCTTTCCGTTCATGTTACACGGTAAGGGGTGAACTGTACGTGTGTTGTAAGAAAATTCTATGGGGAGACATGAGACCAAGGCGCATAACTGGAGGTAAATCTATATATATAAATGAAAGTTGTGTTAGTTACTACGCTTATAACTTAAGAACCGCTGGACTGATTTTAACGATTCACACAAATTCGGAGTTGTCTGCTCTCCGAAAAGGATAATATCCAAAAAAATCGCGTAAAAATGTGATATATTAACATTTTCATTTTGACTTTTGAAATGTACAATAGTAATGTTTTATTTTGCATGATTTTTTTCATTTTGACTTACTTTTTTCTAATGTACATTTGTAGTGTTTTTTATATTTTATTTTTGAATTCGAATATTAATACCAATTTATTTAATTGAATTGATTTCTTGAGAACTGAAATTGATGGCGTGTTACATGGAGGTTTAGTACCGAATTATGTGGTGGCGAAACGGAATAGATGATACCGAAATAATTTAACGCCGTCACACCAAAGTTAAAAGATAATTACTTTTTCAAAATCGCTAAAAAATCACGAAAAAAGAGATCTCATTGCAACAATTCGAAAAAAAATTCCAATGGAATTGAATTTTAAAATAAAATTTACATTCTATTGACAAACTTTGTAAGGATCTTTAAACAGTTGCTGTAAAAAGTCAGCGAACAAGTTGAAGATTTTTTTTTTTTCAATTTGTAATATCATATTGAATTCAGTGGATTTTTTGTGAACAAAATAAAGAACAATTTTTCACTATATACAATTTTTCACCAAAAAAATGAAATAAGTGCGAAATACGATGGTAACTGACATCTACCTTTCAACTCCAGAACCTACATCGTGCTTCAGCTGGAAGATGCGCAGACATTTAAACAAACAAAAATGACCGAAAAAGACTAATGAGGCTTATTTCAAAGCGTGGCCCTGCTTCTTTCATGTGACAATAATCCGTCCAATGAGAGCTCAAAATGCAAAAAATTTTGGGGGTACAATCAGTAAAATACCAAAAATAAAAGGGTGCAAAATAGTAGAGCGAATGAGACTTTTAGTAAGAAAAGGATTTCTATTCTTCTAAAAATTCTTCCTGAACATTTAAGATTAAGATCATAAATAACCATCGTATGATTTAAGCCATTTTTGGAGTCTTCGCCACTTTCTTCTATTTTTGGCCCTTATTTGGCATCTTTGTTTCTAAGGGGGTAGAGAACTTCTTCGAAGTAGGGCCCATATTGGTCTTGACGACCAAAAAATTGTATTTATGCTACCCTGGGGTAAGGAACCATCGTACAGATAATTGCCACATAGAAATTTATTCATGTGAAGTCCCCACATTGGAGTATCCCCAAGTCCACTTTCACATTTAATGTGTGGTCAGAAAAGAACAATTTATATTCTTTTGAATTTGTAACCCCCAAGAGAATATTGGTTGGGAACGTAGATTTGGGATATACATCTACATGAAATAAATTGTGAAAACATGAACAAATTACAAATGTAAGAAAGTATGAAAAATATGGACTTTATGGGGTCTCCAATTTACAATTTAAATGACAAATAAAATTAGTTCCCATATTACGGTAATGGGTGTAAAACAGTAATTATATTTGAAATCAGTCTGACCTCAATTATGAGGTGGATAAAACTAATCTTACTTATTTAAATCACGTGATATTTTTTCACTTTGACATGCTATGTTGTTCTGTTATATTTTCGATTTGGTCTCTATTTGTCATCTTGGATTATATGGGGTGAAGAAAGTTTTCAATGTAGGTCGATGTTTCGCATTTTACCATATTTCAAAGTATTTGGCTAAAAAGGTGTATTTAAACAAAAATTTCAACATATCTACAAATTTTAGAATTTTCTCCATGTAATAGAACCCCCTCAAGTCCACCTTTTGGCGGACAAACAAACCGACATGGTTAGGGGGACTTATGAGGACTTTAATGCACAATCTGAGGTGCTAATGGTTTTAAAAAAGTAATTAACTTTGGCTATTCTTAAATCAATTAGCCCTCAATTATGAGGTGCTCATTTGACTTAAAATAAAAAACTAATCGACCAGTACGTGAACATTTATAACATTCATATCTTTGAATAATTATGCTTTGACAAATATGCATAATAGACAAAAACTACCGACCGGCAACGCGGACCGGGCCAGCTAGTTATACATATTTATGAGACTAAACGAAATTTTATACTCTTCCATTTTAAACAAATATTAAATTTAAATTTCGTATTAATTAATACAAAATATCGAGAACCAGACACACGCATTGTTTTTTCCCTACATCACTTGATGGAGTGGGTAAAATTATGTAACACCTCGAAATAGCAGTCCAAGACGTAGGAAACTGTGTATAGATCTTCCAATCTCGCCAAACTGAGTCGATCTAGCTATTTATTTCCGTCCGTCTGTCCATGTTAAATTGTAATCACGCTACAGGTGGCAATTATGGGCTTATTCTCACGACCCATATCACGGAGGTGGGGTTAAGCTCAGAATAGAACCATATTGCTTTTGGAGATGATCGCCAAATGTTGTGTGGGGTTGAATTTAGCATGGGGCTAGACATATACCAGAGGGTAACATATACCATAACTTTTATGTAAAAAAAATATGAAAATTTTAGCTAAACCGCAAATATTTTTAATCCCAGTGAAATCACAAATACATTACTGATAGCCAAGATATCGGGTACATTGCACAATATGTACAATCTATATGTTCAGGAAATTGATGTTAGTTATTCCGCTTATGAGCCAAGAACCGCAGGACTGAGTTTGACAATTCTCACCAATTCGGAATGGTCCCTTGCCAGAAAAGGATAATATCTAAGAAAACCGTGAAAAAAGGCCCATAAAAAATTATTCCGCTTATAAGACAAGAACCGCAGGACTAATTTTGACAATTCTCACCAATTCGGAATGGTCCCTTGCCAGAAATCTAAAAAAACGGTGAAAAAAATATGCCAATAAAAAGTGAATAATTTTTGTTAATTTTTTTATCGCAAGTGATTTTTTTATGTTTGGCTTACAATTTTGATTTGTGATATTTGTAATAGTTTTTACACCCTACAACACTGTGTTGAGGGTATTATATTCAGCTCGCAATTGTTGCTCGATTCTCATGAAATTTAGCATGAAGGTGACGTTAGTAACAGAATAAAAGCCAATTGCTTTTGGACATGATCACAAAATATGTAGGGATTAAAATAGACCAACAACAGAAAAATTCCTTGATTTTTAAGTTGCTCTACAGGTTGCAATCAAAGCAACCAAATGACGAGTAATTTAGCTGGACTGATTCCGACAACTCTCAATAAATAAAGGAATATTTATACCCTACAATACAATGTATTGGGGGTATTGTAAGTTTAATTGGGCCAAAAATTATGTAACACCTCGAAATATTGGTTTCCCACATATAAGTATATAGGGAATATATGGATCTTCAAATCTCGCCGAGCTGAGTCGATCTAGCTATGTATGTCCGTCAGTCCCTCTGTCCATGTTAATTTGTAATCACGCTACAGGTCGCAATTATGGCCCGATCCTTACGAAATATAAAATGGATGGGGTTTAAATCAGAATATAAGCCTGTTGCGTTTGGAGATGATCTCATATTATATAGGGAAACTGAAAAATAGGAAAACTGAAAAATTTCTTGATTTTGCAATAGCTCTACAGGTCGCAATTATAGAACAATCGACGCGGAAGTTATCATTGGGCTAGAGCTTAGGGCAGGGCAGAAGCCTTCCAATTTTGATGGTCATCGGGTAATATTTAGTGGTACAAATAGATCAGAACATTTGTGTTGAATAAAAGCCAAATTTTTCATTAATTTAATTAATGGTCAATTCTGAGTGTAACATAGATGCCGATAATAAATTTATCGGATATATATAGCGAAATACAAACAGTCTTTACATACAAAGATTTTGACAAATTTTGTCGATTCAGAATACACAAAATCGAAAAAAGGTGTCAATAATGATGTTAATATAGATTTTGTAGTATTTTGTGATATTTTTTTATTTTTTTATGTTTTTTATCGCATGCGATTTTTTCAATGTGACTTATAATATTGAAGTGTATATTTTGTATTATTATGTTTATATACAGATTCAAATTATCGTCCGATCTTCACGAAAATTTTACTATTACTTTCAAAGATGTCCGCAATATGTTTAGGGGTTGATATGGACCAGCTTAAAATGTTCCTGATTTTGCAGCCGTTATAAAGGTCTCAAATATAAACCAAAGGACACTAAATCTCGCATGAAGTTAGAGTTTAGGACAGCGGGTACAATGGACCACTACTTTTGTGTGAAAAAATACCAAGATTACTTACAGGCGGTATCCAAAATACACAAAAGGCGAACTTCTGGCTATTTTATGCTGATAAGTTGACGAATATAGCCAAAAATCGTAGACAAGCAAATCGTATAGATGAGTATAAAGTTGGAGATACAGAGGAGCCTCTTGCTTTTGGAGATGATCGCAAAATATTTAGGGGTTCAAATGAACCAAAAACAGAAAAAAAAATTCTTGTCACACAATTCAAGCCAATCGACACGCCTGAGAAGAGAGTTAAGGACAGGGAAAAATTCTAGCATTTTGAATGACCAGTGGATTATATTTAGCTGAAAAATGGACCACAACAACTAACAGCACGACGGAGTGCGTAAATATTGGACAAATGTCCCTGGTCAAAATTCTAAGGGTAATTAATATCTTGGCAGTGCACCGTGACATAATTTCAAAAGCGAAATCTTCTAAAATGGATTTGGACACAAGGGTACTTCTAACATATTGTAGTGTTGTGGGGTATCACATGGTCGGCCCCGCACGGCTATAGCCTTCGCTTACTTGTTTTTGTTATATATTAATATTTTTTTTATTTTTTGTCATGTTTTTAATCGCATGAGATTTCTATTCGATGACAATATTATATTGTACATTTTGTAATATTTTTTCACCTTACAACACTATGTGTTAGGGGTATTATATTCAGGCCGCATTTATCGTCCGATCGATGTTCCATGACCATAGAGTTAAGTTCAGAATTGAATCATATTGTTTTTGAAGATGTAAATTTAAGACTTAAAATGGACCAAAAAACTAACATTTTCTGATTTTGCAGTCATTCTACAGGTCACAATTAACCTTTAAATAACGAGATGGTGGTAAATTGTACCCTTTCTTCGCATTTTTCTTAAATTCTCTTTTCTATTGTGCCTTGTTAAAGTAGCTGTTTTGTTTAAATAAAAAAATGTTATTTTAATTATTGTAATTTAAAATATATAAGCTTATATTTATAAAACAAAAAAAAAATATTAAAATTTCACCTCCATAGTTTATGGTTGAAGGCACGGAAGAGAGCGTAAATATTGGGCAAGTGCCCCCGGTCCAAAATCAATCGTAAAATTTGCGCAGTTCTGTATGGCATTATTTCAAAAAGGAAATTTAACATAATTAATTTGGACCTAAAGAGATTCCAACATATTATAGTGTTGTAGGGTATCACATGGTCGCCCCGCATGGCTATAACCTCCATTTTCCAATTAAGTATTCCATTATTTTGAGGGATACGTTCATTCTTGTCTAAGGAGTTTAAGAACTTCAGAAACTTTATAATAAATCGTGATCACATAGGAATCACATAGTTGTCCTCTACCAATCTGAGACTTTGCTTACTTACTTATTTGTTTATCTTTTCTTCGACGTAGGTAGCATTTCGTTTGTCATTCTCTTTGCAACTAACTTAGGAACATATATATTTTCAAATTTGCGTCTATTGTCTAATCACTCAATAAACCTTAAGAACATTTTAACAACGTTTTCCATCAAAATTAGTTATAATTTAGTACTTTGAGTTCCAATTGAAAATTTCAACTTAGCACATAAAAATTCGAAATCAGTTTAAGTTTTTGTATGTAATGGTTCTTCGGATTAAGGTCTTTTCAAAGTTTTGATGCCTGTTTTCAACGTCAATAACTATAAGTTTTCCAAAGATTTCCAAATCGGTTTACGATTACAGGCTTGGACATATTCTAAAATAGAAATGACTACAGTTTGATGTTGGAATTTCCCAATAACCATCAGATCCATATTCAAGAATATTTAACTAACTTGAAGATCGTCAGAAAAATGAATGTGTGTAATATCAGCCCAAATTGGATGGGTGTTTGCAAAACCGACCGAATTCAGACTAGAAGAAAGAGTATCAAATTTGGGTAAAGATATAGCTATATCTCCCATAAATTTGTTTCATTCGATGTGACATGAGACATTTGAAGATATTCATAGCAAAATTTTTCGAGATTAGTTCTGATTTGGATTAATTTTATTATTATTTTTAATTTTATGGACCCATTCGACACTTTGGTATTTTTTGGTGCCAACCTAGCTCTCTAAAATACTCCAGACACATTAGTCCAACGGATTGGTATTCGGAGATTTTTGTGTCCATTGTGCGCTCGATGAATCTCATTTTGTGAAGCGATGAATCTCATTTTGTAACCATTCTTGGGTGGCGCGTGCTGAGTGCGATGCTGCTGAGTCCGGTTGGAATGTCCAAGGTCTGCGGCCAAAATGTTTGGGTGGCCAAGGCTTTAATACACCATCCAGAATATTTTCGCGGTAATATTCGGCGGCCTCACAACATCACCATGGTGGGCGCTTAAGTTCTGATAGCCAACCGAAGGTGCACATTTTCAGCTGACCTCTTTGGCAAGTAAACACGATAATTTTTATACCCTCCACCAAAAAAAAAAAAAAAAGAATGGAGGGTATATTAAGTTCGTCATTCCGTTTGTAACTCATCGAAATAATCATTTTAGACCCAACAAAGTATATATATTCTTGTTCAGCGTAAAATTCTAAGACGATTTAGCCCTGTCCGTCCGTCTGTCCGTCTGTTGTAAAATTTTGCACACACGATATCGTAAAGCCCCCATATAACGGTACCCCCGATATTCGGTATTTTGGTGTTTTTAGCCATATTTTTCAACGGAATGGTCACAAGGGGTTCTTTGTACACAAGGGGTTCTTTGTACACAAGGGGTTCTTTGTGAGCACTTTACCCCCCGATAGAGAATTCTCTATATAGGTTAACGATAACGTATAGCCCCCATATAACGGTACCCCCCGATATTCGGTATTTTGATGATTTAACCCACATTTTCCAATCGTATTGTCTGAAAATCCACACACGGAGTTCTTTGTGAGCACTTTACCCCTGAAATGAAATTGTCTATATAGGTCCACAATATATCCCCCATATAACGGTACTCCCCTATATTCGATATTTTGATGATTTCAGCCACATTTTTCAACGGAATTGTCTGAAATTCCACACAAGGTGTTCTTTGTGAGCACTTTACCACCTGACATAGAGTTATCTATATAGGTTAATGATATCGTATAGCCCCCATATAACGGTACCCCCCGATATTCGGGATTTTGATGATTTTAGCTACATTTCCCAATGGAATTATCTGAAAATCCACACAAGGAGTTCCTTGTGAGTACTTTACCCCCAGACATAGATTTGTCTATATAGGTCCACAATAGCGTATATCCCCCCATATATCGGCACCTTCCGATATTAGGTATTTTAAAGATTTTAACAGAATTTTCAATGGATTTTATTTTTTTGAGTATTTTCTAATTCGTTCCAAATGGTGGAGGGTATTCAAAGTTCGGCCTATCCGAACTTACTGCTTTTTTACTTGTTTTTGTTTACAAACTGCTAGACAACGAATGTTTTCTCATCGGAGAAAGCCAAATTCGGCAGTTCACCACTTTCGGCCAAGCGAAGCAACTCTTTATATCTTTTGAGTCTATTTTCTTTCTGTTGCGGTGTACGTTTTTGCACTTTTTCGAATTTTAATGGCTTTACCCCGAGCTCATTTTTCAATATTTGTCGAATTGAATATTGCATTATGTTTAGCTCACGAGCCATTTTTCGGCCACTGTGACGCGGGTTTCGATCCAGTCGTTTTCTTCCGTCCACTTCCTTGACGTTGGGCTACGCTATCAGTATCATGGTAACGAGTGATTGTACGAGACACAAAAGATTTATTCTCATTTAAATGCTGGAGTGCTCTAAGGATAGCCACTTGTGGTTTTCCAGCCACTTGTGGTTTCACACTATCACGCTTGAATTCCTTCACGAATAACTTTTTTTTTTTTTTAAATTCTCAACAAAATGCTTTTGTACGTTTGTTAACAATATAATGACTTGTCACAATTATTGCAATATAAAAATTTCACGGTTTCACTTAATAATTTCAGAATTGTAGTTTTAACTGTTTCTTTCAATAAAAGGTATTCAATTTTTACTACATATTAGTCTTCTCGTACCCTTTTATAAGAGTAGCGATATAGCGAAATAATAACTGATTGATTGAGAATCAACGACCAGTCGAAACGGCAAAAATTAAACATTTTTCACGGGTTTTTGAAAATTCATACTAAAGGTACGAGTTCAAAAATTTGGTAAAAATTATATACTTCTTATTGGACAAACGGATAAAACTACAATTCTAAAATTTGGAATGGAAGTCACTGATGAAGTGCATGATTGATGCACAAGATGGTTTTCGGTTATTCGAACTTTAAGGTTAGGAAAAGTTTTAAAGCCAAGATATAGCTTCCATATGCCGTTCCCATTTTTAATTTGTCTAATATTTATTTACATATTAATTATTTTAGAACATCACTATTGGCGCATTACTCAGAGTAACATTATACTTTGAATTGAAAATTTATTAAGCCTGTCACAAATTCGAATATCGAATACCTTTCATGAATAAGAAAGTTTCTAGTAAAAGTATGTACTTGTTTTACAAAAACTAGCTTTTATAATTCTATAACAACGTTTATTTGGTCAAAACCCCTAGGAATTCGGAACTATTTCAGATATTTTTTTGTTCTTTACCTTTCAGATTGTGGAATGCCGCGATATGAAATATACAATGGTCTGCAAACGGAGTATCGGGAATTTCCTTACATGGTTTGTCAGTGATTTCCCCAATAAGAAATTTATAATAACTCTTTTATAAAGGCAGCTTTAGGTTGGGATTCAACATTCAAAGCGGGTACTTATGATTATAAATGTGGTGGAGTTCTAATAATGAATAGTTACATTGTAACAGCAGCTCATTGTGCCGTATTAAATGGGTAAATGGGAAAAATTCGATTTATATCTAATATATCTAAAGAATATAATCTTCTTTACTTCGTTCAGTCTTCCGCCCAGTGTCGTTCTTGTGGGTGGAACAAACTTAAACGATTCCAGAAATAAACCAATAAAAGTCACACAAGTAATTCGACATCCCCTGTACAAATCAAGAAATTTATATCACGACATAGCTTTGCTAAAACTGGAAAAGTGCCCGGTCGCAAATCCCCTATGTATATGGACTCTCTACGCGTTGGACTCTGTTAATATAACAGCCGTCGGTTATGGTCATACCTTTTTTGGTAAATATATCAAAATTATTTATAATTCAGACATTAGTAATTAAAAACCTTTTCCCTAGCCGGCGCCCATTCTGAAAGACTTCTAAAGACACACCTCTCAGTAATACCAAATAGAATTTGTGTAAGACATTATAGAGGGGACACTTCTTTGCCCAAAGGTATTGCGGACACCCAGTTGTGTGCTAAAGATTTTGTAAGGCAAAGTGACACTTGTCAGGTAATTGGAAGTAAAATCGTTTGAATTTGTGGATTATTTTTACCATATCTTTTGTTTGTAGGGTGATTCAGGGGGGCCACTAATATTGCGTTCCACAAGTCCCCAAGGCGATGAAATAGATTTCTTAGTTGGTATCACATCATATGGCGGTGGATGTGGTTTTGGAAAGCCGGCCGTATACACCAGAGTTTCCCAATATATAGACTGGATTGAATCGATCATATTTTAAAATAACATACGCACATAAATTATTTAAAAAAAAAAAATAATGATGCTTATTATAAGTAATGATGTAGCTACATTTTTAATTCAATGTTTAAGTATTTGATAGAAGTTTAAAAAAAAAGAAATTCTAGCATCAAAGCCCGAATTACCATCGATTTGATAGAAAATTTAAATAGAAAATTAATATAAATTGGATAAGAAATAAAAAACAAATATGCCCTAAATCTTTTCATATTGGTTATTCTCATTGTTATACTCCATCTATGTAAAAACAAATTATAAGGGCGTTTAGAAGAAAAAATTGCCAGGACTAACTTTAAGAAATGTAAGTATCTATAAATGCACCCCTCTACTACTCTTATGAAAATTTTCGTGAGGATCGGACGATAATTGCAATCTGTATATAATAACCACAACCTGTGTTGTAAGGTGACAAAATATTACAAAATATGCACTTCAATATTAAGTCAAATTGAAGAAAAATACTACAAAATCTATATTAACATCATTATTGGCATATTTTTCAGCAATTTTTTATATTTTATTCTTCTATGCCAAGAGGGCATTCTGAATTGACAAAATTTGTCAAAATCGGCCATTCGTGAGATATAAGCATTCTAGCTAATATATCTTTCCTTTGTATATACATATTGTATATATTTCGCTATATATATCCGATATATTTACTATTGGCATCTACGTAACGGTCAGAATTGACCTGTTCGTCTATTTATGATTTCGGCGGTATTAAAATATTCGCGGTTTAATGCAAAATTTGACTTTTATTTGACTTTTATTTAACCGATGACCATCCAAATTAGAAGGCTTCTGCCCAGCCCTAAGCTCTAGCCCCATGTTAACTTTCGCATCGATTGGTCTATAATTGCCACCTGTAGAGCAACTGCCTACATATTAAACGATCATCTCCAGAAGCACTAGGCTTCTATTCTGACCCTAAACCCACCTCCATTTTCAATTTCGTGAAGATCAGGCCATAATTGCGACCTGTGATTACAAATTAACATGGACAGACGGACATACATAGTTAGATCGACTCAGCTCGTCGATATAGGAAGATCCATACATACTTTCCTATGTGAGAAACCAATATTTCGAGGTGTTACATAATTTTTGGCCCAATCAAACTTGTAATACCCCCAACACATAGTGTTGTAGGGTATAAAGGTAAAATTATATGATATCCTAGCCCCACCTTGAATTTATTGTCCTTAAAAGCTGTAAATATTAAAATTTCAGCCTGTTTTTTGTAAAAAAGATACTTTCAATCGAATCGTTCGTATTCAAACGTATTCGATTTAATATGGGATTTCATAAAAATGTTCGTCCATTTTCGAAAAGCTTTGGTATGTGAAGGTTTCCATAACCATTATTTTGTTCATTTTTATACCCTCCACCATACATAGTATGGAGGGTATATTAAGTTCGTCATTCCGTTTGTAACTCATCGAAAAAATCATTTTAGACCCAACAAAGTATGTATATTCTTGATCAGCGTAAAATTCTAAGACGATTTAGCCCTGTCTGTCCGTCTGTCCGTCGCTACAGTCTAAACGAATTAAGATAGGAAACTAAAATTTTGCACAGATCTCTCTTTTGTCTGCACGATATCGTATTTCCCCCATATAACGGTACCCCCCGATATTCGGTATTTTGATGATTTTACCCGCATTTTTCTAATCCACACAAGGAGTTCCTTGTGCCGTACTTACTGCTTTTTTACTTCTTTTATTTAATTTCATTAAGAGTTGTGCTGATTATGGCAACCCCAATAAATTCAATATTTATCACAAATTTGTAAAATGAAATTGAAAATTCTCAAAAAACATGTATATTCTTTAAATGGAAGATATATAAATTCCCCGTCATACACGTACAATTTTGGCGAGATTCTGTAACAAACAGCCAATTTCTGTTTAAAACAATGGGTCTCCTTCTATCGTTTTTTTCTGACCTTTTTTGTTTGTATTTTTTTGTTACAAAAACCAGAAATGTAGGGTAGAAAAGCTTTATTGTGTTTGTCACTCACAGAAAAGAACATGCACTACAAAAACTCAAAATATATTTAATTTTGCCAAATTCCAAACGAAAGGATAAATACTGTTACAAAAACAGATTCTTAAACTTCACCAGGATTTGAAAATTTTCAAAATTATTTTGTTTATTATTCAACACTAAACAAAAACAGTATACATAAATTGGCCGACAAGACTATCAAAAGAATCAATTACATTCTGGTGATTGCTTTGTACTACCTTGCTTTCATTGTACCATGGTTTCTGCCCGTTAAAAGATTTTTGTTTTCCAAATTTTCATAGAACAAGAGTTTATATTAAAAACCCCATAATTTGTCTAGTCTCTACATTTATTGAGCAATTTTGATATTAAACTCCGGGAATCCATATATTCTCAAGACAATATTGAAACATAATTGTGACACAACAGCCCTATTTATTTAAACGATTTTATTTTTTATTGACTTAGCACCGGAAGCAACCAAATTATTAGAACAAGTTGCCTGTGGTTCAATTTTAAAGTTTAAGATAAAATAATTAAAATAAAGATGTAAAGATTATCTTCAATATATAATTATTGCATTCTCGTTTTTGTTTTGTTCTATAATTTAATTAATCTTCCTTCTTTGTGTTTATTTTATTTATTTTATATTTTGTTTAAAACGTGTCAATGCATCGAAACAATTATCAGTTCGAATAGAATACATTTTACTGTATCAATGAATACGAATGACTAAATGTGTCAACAATAAACATTTTGAGACGAGCTTCCAAGAAGATAACATCGGCTTGTCGGAATATTCGATTGTCATTTAAAAAACAAAATCCCCGCTCTAAAATGGTCATGATAAAAATATATTTGTTGTTGGTTCTTTATTTTCAATATGGTGAGTAGAAAAGATTTTTCAGAAATTTATTTATATTGTTTTTCATTCATTATTTCCATTTGTAGTGCTGTCTTCAGCCATAAAATTTCCAACGGTTGATCCGTTTCCAACAGAGTGTACGCTTCCAGACAAGACCCGCGGTACATGCATCAATTTATTTTATTGTCCAGCAGCCTTAACTGCAAAAAATATCACGTTATGTTACACGGAAAAGGATGAACAGTATGTGTGTTGTAAGAACGATCTATGGGGCGATATAAAACCAAGGCGCATAACTGGAGGTAAGTTATACATATTTATGAGACTAAACGACAACATTTTTATATCATACAACACTATGTGTTGGGGTTATTATAAGTTTCATTGGGTCAAAAATTATGTATCAACTCGAAATATTGGGTTGTTAGCTAGAATGCTTATATCTCAAGAATGGCTGGACCGATTTTGACAAATTTTGTCAATTCAGAATACCCTCTTTGGAATAAAAGAATAAAATCTAAAGAAATTGCATAAAAAGATGGAAATAATAATGTTAATATAGTTGTAGTATTTTGTGAGTGTGAGTGTATATTTTGTAATATTTTTTCACCTTGCAATACAGGTTGGGATTATTATATACAGATGGCAATTATCGTCCGATCCTCACGAAAATTTTCACAAGGGTAGGGTTAGGATCAGAAGGGCTAGGATTATGTTTTGCAAAGATGTCCGCAATGTATTTAGGGGTTGAAATGGACGAACAACTAAAAATGTTCCTGAATTTTGCAGCAGTTATGAAGGTTACAAATATAAACCAAAGGACACGAAATCTCGCATGATATCCGAAATATACAAAAGGCGAACTTCAGGCTTTTTATTTAAAGCTGATTTCGTTGACGAATATAGCCAAATATCGTAGACAAGCATATCATATAGATTAATCTAAATTTGGAGATACAGAGGGGCCTCTTGCTTTTCGAGATGATCGAAAAAATATTTAAGGGTTATAAATTTTCCTGATCACACATTTGAAACCAATCGACACGGAATTGTTGACCATTTGATTATATTAAGCTATAAAATGGACCACAACAACTGACAGCACGACAGAGTGCGTAAGAGTTGGTCAAAATTCTAAGGGTAATATCTGGGCTGAGCTTCATGACATAATTTCAAAAGCGAAATCTTCAAAAATGGATGTGGACATAAGGGAGCTTCTAACATATTCTGGTGTTGTAGGGTATCACATGGTCGCCCCGCACAACCTTTGCTCAGTTGTTTTCATAACTCATTATCTTGAGGGATACGTTAATTCTAGTCAACAGGGCTTAAGACCTTCAGAAACATTACAATATATTAAATTCATTTAGGATAACACATGGTCGTCCGACCAAAGCCTTAGCTTGCTTCTTTCAAAATTAATTGTAATTTAGCTTATGAAAATGTACAAATAATATTATAATATTAGACTTATTCTTCATTTTATCGGAATTTCCCGCAAAGATATTATGTGTTATTCTATATTTTCTTCTGGCAGATTTGCATAATATTTAATATTACGCAAAACGATTTTTAAATATGTGTATGTTGTAAACACTCACTCAACCTTAAGAAAATTTCGATTACATTTTCCATCGAATTTGACTATAATTTGGCACTTCGAGTTCCAATTAAAAATGCCAACTCTGTACATAACCAGTAAAGAAAGTCCTAAAGTCGGGCGGGGCCGATTTTATGATACCCTACACCACTTTGCTAATTTAGTTGAGCTCCACTTAATAATTAAAAGTTTTTTTATAGGAGAATTCAATCATACACGCTATAATTATAATTATAATTTAAAATTCGAAGGACTAAATATGCTGAAGCATTTGTATCTTTTAAATTCGGACTTGTATTGCCCATTTGGTGCAAAATTAATTTGAAATCAGATAAAGATATATATGGGAACTATATCCAAATCTGAACCGATCTCGATAAAATTTGGCAAAGATATTTCTGAGTTGTATTTGATATATTTCCCTGAATATCGTTGTTACGGTGTGCATATTACGGCTGTAGGTAACAAATACAACAAATCGGATGAAGAATATATATGGAAGCTATAGCTATATCTGAACCAAATTTGGCATACTACCTTCTAGACTAAATTCGGTCGTATGTGCCAAATTCCATCCCATTTGGGCAAATATTAGACGTTTGGCGCACAATAAAATGTAAATCGGACGAAGTTATATATGGGAGATATTTCCAAATCTGAACCGATCTCGATAAAATTTAGCAAAGGCATTTCTGAGCTGCATTTGATATATTTCCCCAAATATTGTTGTTACAGAGTGCATATTACGGCTGCGGAGGACAAAAATAACAAATCGGATGAACAATATATATGGGAGCTATAGCTATATCTGAACCGATTTCGATCAAATTTGGCATACTTATTTTCAGGCCTAATTTGGTTGTATGGGCGAAATTCCATACTATTGGTGCACAATAAAAGGCAAATCGGACGAAGATATATATGGAAGCTATATCTAAATTTTTACCGATTATCTCCAATTTCAATAGGGTTCGTCCTTGGGCCCAACAAATGTTGTTTGCAAAATTTCATCTCAACCGGATAATAAATGTGACCTGCATTTTGTTCACAAGAATACATGGACAGACCGACGGACTGACATGCATAAATCAACTCAGAAAGTGATTCTAAGCAGATCATCAAAAGGAACTGTGGGTCTATCTCGTTTCCTTTTGCCTGTTACAAACAAATGCACAAAGACATAATACCCTGACCACCTTGTGGTGTAGGGTATAAAAAACAGAGACGAAATCGTTTTAAGTTTTTGTGTTTAGGCATTTTCTGCAATGTAAAAGATGAGAAGTTGCCATTAAAAAAAAATCCAAATCGGTTTACGATTACAAATATTGTGAAGGTTTGGAAAGGTTTTCAAGAACCCCCGGTCAAAAAAGTGGATGGAGTATTGCATAAACGACCGAATTCTAGAAGCTAGAGTATCAAATTTTGTTAAAACCGGTTAAGATATAGCTATATCTCCCTAATATTTGTTTCATTCGATTTGATTTATTTATTTTCAGTTAGAAAAAAAATAAAAACCAGCTCAGAGATATTTTTTCCTGAATTTTTGAAATTGGTTCATATTTGGATATTGATCCCAGATATCCAATTTCATGTGTATTCCACGTAAATGTAGAATAGTAGCCCATATTGAATGGATTTTGGAAAATAGGCCGAAAATATGTCAAATTTTTGATAGGAGCTTCAGTATATGTTTCATCCGATTAGATATTTAAGTGCAATAAAGATATGATAAGCATTCTTTAATTATGGTATTCAAAAACAAGTAAGCAGAGGCTATAACCGTGCGGGGTCGACCATGTGATACCCTACAACACTACAATATATTGGAAAACGTGCTTGGGTCCAAACACATTTTAGTCGATTTTTTGAAACAATGTCATACAGTCTTGTACAAATGTTAGCTTTGGCTTTTGATCGGACCATTTGCCCCATATTTGTCTCTCTTTCGTTTTGATTGGTATTCAAAACAATTTTACATAAAAGTTGTGGTCCAATTTACCCGCTATGTATAATCCAATGACCCGTAGAACGACTGTAAAATCTGAAAAGTTTTAATTTTTTTGGCCTCTTTGAACCTCTAATTATACACCTTTAAAACAATAGGCTTTTATTCTGAACCTAAGCCAAATTTCGTTAGGATAGGACGATAGTTGCGACTTGTACATAATACCTTCAACACACAGTGCCGCAGGGTGTAAAATATATAAAATATTACAAAATGTACAAATCAAAATTGTTAGTGAAATATGAAAAAATCGTTTGCGAAATTTTATGAAAAATATTCGCTTTTTTATAGGCTTATTTTTCCGCGATTTTCTTAGATCTTATCCTTTCCTAGCAAAAGGCCATTCTAATTTGGTGAGAATTGTCAACATCAGTTCAGCGGTTCTTGACTTATAAGCGAAATAACTAGCATAAATTTATTTTACATATATGCATCTTGGCTATCAGAACTGCTGTAATGGTCAGAATTTGTGATTTCGCCGGGATTAAAAATATTCGCGGTTTAGTGGAAATGCTCGTATTTTTATACCCTCTACATTGTATGGAGGGCATATTATGTTTGTCATTCAGTTTGTAACACTTCGAAATATAAATTTTAGACCCCACAAAGTATATATATTCTTGATCGCCATAAAATTCTATGTCGATGTCCGTCCGTCTGTCCGTCTTTGGAAATCACTCTAGCTTCCGAACGAATTGAAGTAGATTGATAAAATTGTACTCAAATGTATATTATGTCTGCACAACTTTTGATATTGAAAATGGGCCACGTAGGTCCACGTTTTGGTATTGCCCCCATATAACGGTACCTCCCAGTATTCGGTATTTTGATTATTTTAGCGACATAGTTCACCAGAATTGTTTCAAATTTGGTATTTGGTTCGTACACGCCTTCGTATAGCCCCCATATAACGGTACCTCCCAGTATTCGGTATTTTGATGATTTTAGCGTCATTGTTCACCGGAATTGTTTAAAATTTGGTATTTGAAGTTCGTAATGGATGCTACAGCTTGTGACAGAATATTGTCTATGCAGGTCCAGATCTTCGTATAGCGCCGATATAACGGTACCTCCTTATATACGGTATTTTGATGATTTTAGTTACATTATTCACCGTTTATTTCAAGTTTCGTATTTGAATATGGTAATAGCTTATGACAAAAAATGCCTATGCAGGTCCACGTCGTATAGACCCCAATACAACGGCTATATTCGATATTTTTAAGATTGTAATAGATTTTTTAACGGATTTTATTTTTTGAAAATTTCCAAATTCGTTTCAAATAGTGGAGTATATTCAAAATTCAGCCCGGTCGAACTTACTGATTGTTAACTTGTTTATACATAAAAGTTATGGTCTATTTTGCTTGCTAAATATTATCCGATTGTCGTTTTTGGTCCATTTCAATCCCTAAATATTATTCGATCATCTTCAAAAACAATAGGGTTCTATTCTTGGGCCAAATAAACTTATAATACCCCCAACACAAAGAGTTGTATGGTATAAAAAGGGTGGATTTTGAAACATGATATTTCATTTTTCTCAAAGTCATAACTTTCATCTCTCACACATATGTATATTGACAGTAGGTAGGTTAAATTTGTAAATGTGCCATGTCACTCCACGTTTTCGTATAGCCCCCATATAACGGTACCTCGATTTGTTCGGCATTTTGATGATTTTAGCGGCATCATTCACCAAAATCAATGAACATTTTCAAGTTGCTTCTAAATTATGGAGTACCGAACTTAGCTGCTTTTTATTTCTTTGCCACTAGTCCTAATGCGATAAAATGAAAAAAAAAAAAAAATCAGAAAATAATGGTTATGAAAATACTGTTATATCATAGCTTTTTGGAAATGGAGGGAAGCTTTCAACATTTTTATAAAGACCCAATTTAAACGAATACTTTGGATAAAGCTTCGAGTAATTTTTTTTACAAGATCGGGTTGTTACTATTCTATACATGTGTTTATTTCGGCCGAATCCCTTTATGAATTAGGAACAGTCTTTACTAAATTACTTCAGATATTTCTTTGTTCTTCACATTTCAGATTGTGGAGTGCCGCGATATGAAATAGTTCATGGTCTGCAAACGGTGTATCGGGAATTTCCTTATATGGTTTGTCAATGGTTTCTCTAATAAAACATTTATAATAACTCTTTTATAAAGGCAGCTTTAGGTTGGGATTCAATGTTTGAAGCGGGTACTTATGATTATAAATGTGGCGGAGCTTTAATTATGAATAATTATATTCTAACAGCAGCACATTGTGCTATGTTAAATGGGTAAGAATCGATTTACATCTAAAATATCGATTTGCATCTCAAATATCTAAAGAATTTAATATTTTTCCTTTCGCACAGTCTTCCGCCCAGTGTTGTTCTTGTGGGCGGTACCAACTTAACAGATTCCGCAAATAAACCTATAAAAGTCACTCAAGTCATTCGGCATCCACTGTACAAACCAAAACTTTCATACCACGACATAGCTTTGCTAAAACTTGAAAAGAGTCCGGCCGCAGATCCCTTATGTATATGGACTCTCTACGCAATGGACGATGTTAATGTAACAGCCGTCGGTTATGGTCACACCCAATTTGGTAATTATTTCAAAATTGTTCATAATTCAGACATGGTTATTTTGACATTTTCTCTAGCCGGCACTAATTCTGAAAGTCTTCTAAAGACCCACCTCTCAATAGTAACAAATAGAGATTGTACTCGACATTATAGCGGGGAAATTTCTTTGCCTGAAGGTATTGCGGACACCCAGTTGTGTGCTAAAGATTTCGAAAGGCAAAGTGATACTTGTCAGGTAATTGGAAGCAAAATCGTGTGGATTTGTGGATTATTTTTACCATATCTTTTGTTTGTAGGGTGATTCAGGTGGGCCACTAATATTGCGTTCCACAAGTCCCCAAGGCGTTGAAACAGCATTTTTAGTTGGTATAACATCATTTGGTAGTGGATGTGGTTTTGAAAAGCCAGGCGTTTACACCAGAGTTTCCCAATATATTGACTGGATTGAATCGATCATATTTGAAAATAACTACATATAATTACCAGAATAAAGAAGTGTAAACATACGCACATAGATTATTTTAAACAATTAATGATGTTTATTTATATAGCTATATTGTTAATTCAAAGTTTAAGTATTTGATAGATATTTTAAAAAAGAAATTCTAGCATCCAAAGGCCGAATTGTCATTGATTTGGTAGAACATTTAAATAGAAAATTAATAAAAATTAAATAAGAGATACAAAAAAAAAAATATGCCCTAAATCTTCTCATATTGGTTATTCTCATTGTTAAACTCTTACTTATTTTAAGAAATGTAAATATCTACGAAAGGGGGTGACCCTGTAAGGTTTTATATTATTTGATACGAAAAATTGTCTGCTTGTATGTGGGCATGATATGGTTCGGTTCACTCTTCTCCATAAAAGTTAAAATAAAACAAGTAAGCAAAGGCTATAGTCGTGCAGGGCCGACCATGTTTTACCCTACAACACTACAATATGTTAGAAGCCCCCTTATGTCCAAATCCATATTGAAAGATTTCGCCTTTGAAATTAGGATTTTGACTAGGGACATTTGCCCATTATTTATGCACTCCGTCGGGCTGTTAGTTGTTGTGGTCCATTTTACAGCTAAATATAATCCAATGGTAATCCAAAATGCTAGAATTTTTCCCTGTCCTTAACTCCCTTCACAGGCGTGTCGATTGGCTTCAATTGTGCGATCGGAAAAACATTTCTGTTTTTGGTTAATTTGAAGCCCCTTCCGTACCTCCAACTTTAGACTCATCTATATGATTTGCTTTTCTACGATATTTGGCTATATTCATCAACGAAATCTGCATAAAAAAGCCAGAAGTTCGCCTTTTGTGTATTTCGGGTATCGCCTGTAAATAATGCTGGTATTTTTTCACACAAAATTAGTGGTCTATTGTACCCGCTGTCCTAAACTCTAACTTTATGCGAGATTTCGTGTCCTTTGGTTTCTATTTGTGACCTTTATAACGGCTGCAAAATCAGCAACATTTTTAGTTGTTGGTCCATTTCAACCCCTAATATATTGCGGACATCTTTGAAAACAATAGGGCTAGCCCTTCTGAGCCCAACCCTACCCCTGAAAAAAAATTATCCCCAACCTGTGTTGTAAGGTAAAAAAATATTACGAAATATTATTAGTCAAATTGAAAAAATCGCATACGATAAAAAATATGAAAAATTAAAAAATGTCACAAAATACTACAAAATCCATATTAACATCATTATTGATATCTTTTTATTCGATTTTTTAGATTTTATTATTTTATGCCAGGAGACCATTCTGAATTGACAAAATTTGTCAAATCTGTACTGCCATTCTTGAAACATAAACATTCTAGCTAACATCCCCTTCCTTTGTATATACGCATTGTATATGTTTCGCTATATATATCCGATATATTTACTATCGGCATCTACGTTACGGTCAGAACTGACCTGTTCGTCTATTTGTGCTTAGCCGGGATTAAAAATATTCGCGGTTCAATGGAAAGTTTGACTTTTATTTAACACAAATGTTGTGGCCTATTTCACCCTATAATTGCGACCTGTAGAGCAACTGCAAAATCAGGAATTTTTTCAGTTTTTGAAAAAGAAATAGGGTTCTATTCTGACCCTAGCCCCACTTACATTCTAAATTTCGTGAAGATCGGGCCATAATTGCGACCTGTAGAGTGATTACAAATTAACATGGACAGACGGACGGACGGACATACATAGCTAGATCGCCTCAGCTCGGCTAGATAGCAAGATCCATATACACTTTCCTATGTGGGAAACCAATATTTCGTGGTGTTACATAATTTTTGGCCCAATTAAACTTATAATACCCCCAACACATAGTGTTGTAGAGTATAGAAATGTTATATTAGGGTCTATACGACGACATGGACCTGCATTACAATATTTAAATGCGAAATTAAAAAAAAAAAAAAAAAAAAAAAAAAAAAAAAAAAAAAACAAATCGGATAATATTGTAGCTAAAGTCATCAAAATACCGAATATCGGGAGGTACCGTTATATGGGGGCTATACGAAGACGTGGACCTGCACAGACAATTTTCTATCTTAGGCTGTAGTATTCATTGCGAACTTCAAATACCAAATTTGAAACAATTCCGGTGCAGGTCCACGTCGTCGTTTAGACCTGATTATGACGGCTATATTTAATATTTTTAAGATTTTAGCAGAATTTTTAACGGATTTATATTTTTTTTTAAATTGCCAAATTCGTTGCAAATGGTGGAGGGTATCCATAGTTCGGCCTGGCCGAACTTACTGCTTTTATTATTAATTTATTTTTATTTGTGCTATTTTCAGGATGCTATGCGATTGAATTTAAGCCGGCAACTATTGCTGACTTTCCTGCCATTTCTCGTGGCTTATTTACGAAATATAATGAGTTTCCTTTTATGGTATGTTAATAAAGTGTAATATTTATGTGAGAAAAATATATGTGCTATGTTTGTAAAATAGGCTGCCTTGGGATGGGACTCAAATGCATGGCCTGGAACTTATGATTATAAATGTGGAGCAGTTTTGATCAAACCTAATTATCTACTAACAGCAGCCCATTGTGCCGATTTGAATGGGCAAGTATTACAATGGCATTAATTTATATTTAAATTATGTTTATAACCTCCATCATGCATATTATGGAGGATATATTAAGTTTGTCATATTGTCTGTAAATCATGGAAATAATTATTTTAAATTAAATTATTAAAAATTTTAAGCCGATTTTGCAATGTCCGTCTGTTGTAATCATGTTAGAGTTCGGACAGCAATGATTGAAAACTAAGATTTTGAATAGAGTTGTCATTTGTCTGCAGGCAGGATAAGTTCGAAGATGAGCTATATCAGTAAAGGTTTTCATATATAGATGTATCTGATCATATTCGTTATTTTAACGTTTTTATCGGAATAGTTTAAAATTCGGTATTTAGAGTTTATAACTTGTTATACCTCATGCAGCTGAACATTGTTTTAACAAGTCCACGTTTTCCTATATCCTTCATATTATTGTACTTCCCGATATTCGGATTTTAAAGATTTTAGTCACATTTTCTAAAGGAATAATTTCGAAATCGGCATTAAGAGTTCATAACGGATTCTGCCTCCTGTTGCAGAAAAGCTCCCATTTAAAGGTGCCTCACCAGTTTGATGTTCCAAGCCTAAATTTCTAACGTAATCGTTTAAAGCTCGATATGCACAGTTCACATTGGGTTCTAGATCCTGTAGCCGATCACAGTCTATACTGGTTTACATTTTCGTATAGTCCCAATATAATTGTACATTTCGATATTCGTTATTCTGCCGATTTAGCCAAATTTTCCAATGAAATAACTTATGAATCGGTATTTCGATTTCATAAATGAGCAATTTCTAGGTTCCTCAAAGTTTTTCTATAGGCCCAATCCTCCCGATGAGTAATATTTTGATTATTTTAATAAAGGAATTGTATGTTTCTATCTACGGAAGTGACGCGTACTTCTCGAATGCTGGATTTTTGGTATTTACAGCCAATCTTACATGAGTAATGTACCAAATGGTGGAGTGTATAAAAAGTTCGATCCAACCGAACACAACTGATGTTTTACTTTTTTGTTTTAATTCTATAGGTCAGCCCCATCTGTGGTTCTGGTCGGAGGTGTAAATTTAACGGACACTTCTATGGCCCCAATAAAAATACTTAACATTACCAAACATCCAAAATATAAACACAATGAACCTTATGACGATATAGCAGTACTAAAGCTGGAACGAAATGCAACAACTCCTTGGATCTGCTTGTGGAATCAATATAAGCTGAACGAAATAATGGTGACCGCAGTGGGTTATGGGAAAGAATTTTTCGGTAATTGGCTTGTAGTGTGTGATATTACTATGGTGCTTTTAGATATTTCTAAACCCTGGTAAACATTACCATTTTTATCCGCAATAAAGGTTTCAAGCTTAACTATGTATATTCTCTAAAGGCATGATGCCACTTCTAACAGAACAGGTGTCTTTTTTATGTCGAAAACCTACACGTTTTAGATGTAATGTTTTCCTATTTGTTATGTATGAAACTTCCATTTAAAAAAAAATTATACTAATAATGTTTATATTCCACAGCTGGTCCTGGATCGGATACTCTGTTGAAAGCTCATTTGTCTGTTATGCCAAATGATGAATGTTCGGATTACTACAAAAACGATACAACACTGTCGCAAGGAATACGCAGCACACAGCTTTGTGCCAGGGACAATGTTCGAAACAGCGATACTTGCCAGGTAAAGAGAGAATATTTTTTCCGATTGAATATGAAATGATTCTTCTTGCTTTTAGGGTGACTCAGGTGGCCCTTTGATAATGAGTTCCGGGTATTTGACAAAGTATTTAGTCGGTATAACATCGTTTGGCCAAGGCTGTTCTTTGAACATACCGGGAGTATATACAAGAGTGTCGGAATATCTAGACTGGATTGAAGAAGTTGTTTATGGAGAACTAAACTAAGAGTTTAATGTGGAAACAGACATTATTTATTTTATTTATTGAAATATTTCTTACCTTAATTTTGTCTAGTAATCATATGAAACCAAAGGAAATAACGAAATTAAACATTATTGCCCTACTAAATATGCATGGTGGTGTAGGGTATCATATAGTCGACGCCTCCCGACTTTTGACTTTTCCTTGTTGTTTTTTTTTCTGTTTTTTATAACCTACAACACTATGTGTTGGGGGTATTATAAGTTTGATTGGGCCCCAAATTATGTAACACCTCGAAATATTGGTTTCCAAAATAGGAAAGTATATATGGATCTTCCTATCTCGCCGAGCTGAGTCGATCTAGCTATGTATGTCCGTCCGTCCGCCCGTCTGTCCATGTTAACTCCATGTTAACTCTACAGGTCGCAATTATGGCCCGATATTTCAGAAATTTAGAATGGAAGTGGGGCTAGGTCCAGAATACAAGCATATTGCTTTTGGAGATGATCGCATAATATTTATTTAAATGGACCAAAGACTGAAAAATTTCCTAATTTTGCATCTGCTCTACAGCTCGCAATTTTAGACCAATCGAAGCGGAAGTTAGCATGGGGCTAGAGCTTAGGGCTAGGCAGAAGCCTTCCAATTTGGTGGTCATGTGCTATTATTTAGTGGGTGAAATATACCATAACATTTGTGTTAAATAAAAGTCAAATTTTCCATTAAACCGCGAATATTTTTAATCCCTGCGAAATCACAAATAGACGAATAGGTCAATTCTGACCGTTACGTAGAGCCGATAGCAAATATATCGCATACATATAGAAAAATATATCAAATGTATATACACAGAGGAAGGGGATGTTAGCTAGAATGCTAACATCCCCTTCCACATCGCATGCGATTTCAATACCCTCCTCCTTGGAAATGAGGGTATATTAACTTTGTCATTCCGTTTGTAACATCCCCAAATATTCTTCGTATACCCCATAATGTATATATATTTATAATCAGCATAAAATTCTAAGACGGTTTAACGATGTCCGTCTCTCTGTCTGTCTGTCACGATACAGGCCACATTATTTGACGTAGAGCGTCAACATTTAGCAGAACAATTTGTATTGTGTCTAGAATGGTTGGTATTGAAAATGAGATATATCGGTCCACGTTTTGGTATAGTCCCAATATAACGGTAAATCCCGATATTCAGTATTTTGATGATTTTTGCCGCACTTTTTGACAGATTTGTCTGAGAATTGGTATTTGTAGGCCATAATGGGTTCTAGCTCCGGTGGCGAAACTTTGTATATATGGGTCCACGATTTGGTATAGCCCCCATATAACGGTATCTTCCGATATTCGAGATTTTGATTGTTTTTGTCACATTTTATGACGTATTTGTTTAAAAATTAGATTTTGTTGGTCATAATAAATTCTAGCTCCGTTGGCGAAATATTGTATGTATGGATCCACGTTTTTGTATATCCCTATATAGCGCTACCTTCCGATATTCGGCTTTTTGATGAGTTTTGTCACATTTTCATACGAATATGTCTAAAAATTTGTATTTGTAGGTCATAAGTGGTTCTAGTGTTTCCATTACCCTAAGGTGGAGGGTATTAAAAGTTCGGCGCGGCCGAACTTAATGTTTTTTTAATTGTTTCAATTTGACTCATAATATTGAAGTGCATACTTTGTAATATTTTTTACCTTGCAACACAGGTTGAGTTTATTATATACAGATTGCAATTATCGTCCGATCAATTTTCACAAGGGTAGGGTAAGGCTCAGAAGGGCTAGGCCTACTGTTTTCAAAGATGTCCGCAATATATTTAGGGGTTAAAATGGACCAACAACTAAAAATGTTCCTGATTTTGCAGCCGTTATAAAGTTCACAACTAGAAACCAAAGGACATGAAATCTCGCATGAAGGTAGAGCTTAGGACAGCGGGTAGAATTGACCACAACTTCTGCGCGATAAAATACCAACATTACTTACAGGCAATATCCAAAATTCACAAAAGCCGAATTTCTGGCTTTTTTTACCCTCCACCATACTATGGAGGGTTTGTAACTCATCGAAATAATGATCTTAGACCAAACAAAGTATATATATTCTTGATCAACGTAAAATTCGAAGACGTCTGTCTGTCTGTCTGTCCGTCTGTCTGTTATAATCACTCTATCTTTCGAACGAAGTGAGATAGAAGGCTAAAATTTTGCACACATGTTTATGTAGGCAGGTTAAGTTCTTAAATGGGCCATGTAGGTCCACGTTTTCATATAGCCCCCATATAACAATACCTCCCGATATTCGGTATTTTGATGATTTTAGCGACATTATTAACCGGAAATGTTTCAAATTTAATGTTTGAAGTTCGAAATGGATACTTCAGCCTAAGGCAGAAAATTGTCTATGCAGGTTCACGTCTTCGTATAGCCCCCATATAGCTGTATATAACTTACTAACTAACTTTAACTTAGGTATTTAAAGTTCGTAATGGAAACTATAGTCTGTGAGAGAAAATTGTCTATGCAGGTCGAGGTCTTCGTATAGGCTCTATATACCAGTACCTCCCTATATTCGGTCGGTATTTTCACGATTTTAGGTACAATACTCACCGAAATTGTTTGAGATGTCGTATTTGATGTTGGTAATGGAAGCTACAGCCAGTGACAGAAAATTGTTTATGCAGGTCCAGGTTTTCGTATAGCTCCGGTATTTTGATGATTTTAGCTAAATTATTCACCGTTTATTTCAAGTTTCGAAAATATACGTCGTACAGACCCTAATATAACGGCTATATTCGACATTTTTAAGATATTAGCAGAATTTTTGGCGAATGTTATCTTTTTCGAAAGTTTTTTCTAAATGATGGAGTGTATTCAAAATTAGGTCCGGCTGAATTTACTGCTTTTTTACTTGTTATTTTTCATATTTTTTATGCTATGCGATTTTTTCAATTTGACTTATAATATGGAATGAACCAAAAACAGAAAAATTTTCCTGATCACACAATTGAAACCAATCGACACGGAATTTAGCCTGCGAAGAGAGTTAAGGACAAGGAAGAAGTCTGAACAAAAACTAAAGGTAATATCTGGGCAATGCTCTATGACCTAATTTAAAAAGCAGAGTCTTTCAAAATGGATTTGGACTTAAGGGTGCTTCTAACATATTGTAGAGTTGTCGGGTATCATATGGTTGGCCCGCGCGACTGCAGGCTTGCTTACTTATTTTTTTTTTTAATTTTATTGAATGAAAGTAAAAAATGTCGGAAATAACATCAAATTTTAGAATAAGTTTAGATATATTCAAATAGGTCACCTTTGACACGAATTATGGCCTTCAAACGGTCAACGAATCCATCACACGCTGTCCGATTGTTGCTCTGCTGTATTTTGGTCTATTCCCGGCGAATCGCTTGCTTGAGGTGATCGAGACGAGCCAACTTTGCTTCTCAAAATACTCCAGACACAATAGTCCAACGGATTGGTATCCGGAGTTTTTGGTGGCCATTGTGCTGGAAATGAAGCGAGGAGCCTTATTTTGTTACCATTCTTGGGTGGCGCGCGCTGAATGCGTTGGTGCTAGGTCGAATGTTGTAATATCCAAGGTCTGCGGCCAAAATGTTTGCATTCCCAAGGCTTAAATACACCCTCCAGAATATTTCCATCGGCTGTAATATTTTATATATATTATATATTTTCCGTCTATTTTTTTTCTTCATTTACGCCGGGCTACGCTACCAGTATCACGGTAAAGAGCGATGGTACGGGACACAAAATATTTATTTACATTAAAATGCCGGGGCTATACCCAACCCCTTTTGGTTTTCCAGCCAAAAATAAAGAAATCACACTATCACGCTTGTATTCCATCACGAATAACTTTTTTTCTGGAAAATTCTAACCAAAACGCTTTTGTACGCTTGTAACAATGTAATAAGCTGTCACTGGAATAATTTTAACATCTGTCGGACGAGGGGCTTAGAAATGATAGCAGGCTGAAGTTGGTTGCAGTTTCTTCATCTCACCCTGTAGCTTTTGCTCACTTGTTGAACTTATTTTCACCAAATATTGAATCTTCTTAATAGAAACAAACAATTAAATTTAAACAAAAATATCTTTATGTGTATTTTAAAATTCATCCCTCCAAACAATTCTCTCTATCCAATCTAAATATGAATAAACTCTTGTGAAAATACTTGGATAACCACTACGGCAGTACAGTCCATATGATGTGATACCAATCAAATGGTAATGTAAACGATTACTTCTACGACGACCACGAATATTTAATTGTAAGGGGCCACCCGAATCGCCTTGGCATGTGTCACGATTGAGAGCATAGTCCTTTGCACACATTTGACTAAAGATAATGCCTTCTTCTGTTTCGGGAATCGGAGGCAGTTCACGATTACATTCATCATTCGGCACAATGGTCATATTGAGATGAGTCAAACGATTTGTACGTTCCTTGGCGAAGGAAGTCGAGCCATAACCCATGGCATAGGCCACAGGGAATGGAAATGATGGATGTATCCACAAACGTATCGGTCTAACAAATTCCGTTAACCTGAAAGAAAAGGGGTAATCTTAAGTAACCTAAACGTACACATTTACGCAAAAAACCTACACAACTTCACTGTGCAGTTCCAGTAAGGCAATGTCATTGTAATATGACGTCGTTCTATAGTCCGGATGGTTGTAGATATTAATAATAGTTCGAATTTGTGGCTCAAGGTAACTTTCTTCTACCTTCAGATTAAGGTCACCAATACGAACTTTTGTTGGAACTTCTCTGTAAAAAGATTTAATCAGTTAAAAGTTTTCAGTTGATGTAAGTGGTGATGTGATATATTACCCTCCAATGTTTGTACAATGAGCAGCTGTTATTACAAATTTATCACTGATAAGGCTTCCTCCGCATTTGTAATCAATTGTGCCGATGGTTGTGACAAAACCCAAAGCAGTCTGTAAGTGTGAAAAATAAAAAAGGAATTTGAAATTTAGATACTGTGCATAAATATTGTCTTTGAAGATAGTTTTTCCTACCATGTGAGGATATTCGCCTGGTGCAGCTAAACTTCTACCATCAAATTTCGATTCGTTTGCATCGCTGGCTATGTCTGAATCATCGGGAAAAATACGTTGTATATATTCGCCATATTCTGTAAAATAAAAGTAAATTGTTATTGTTTCTATTGTCCGAAAAAATATATATCTTTAATAGAACGAAACAAAATTCAAATGGCTTCAGAAAAAAATTACCGCGTAAGATTTAAACATTGAACTTCTACTCCAAGTTTAACAAATATATCTCATTCTCATGTACAAATCCCATTAAAATTGGTGGTATTCCGTTCAGATTTATATAAATCTCTTCATTTGACCAAATAGAATAGATTTTGGAGACGTAATGTAGTCTAGTAGAACATCAATAATATTTGGTACAAGACAGTCGTGCGGGGCCGATCATGTGATAGCCTACAACACTACAACATGTTAGAAGTCTTCTTATGTATATAATATATATATATATAATATTCCCAACCTGTGTTGTAAGTTGAAAACGTATTACAAAATATACACTTCAAGTCAAATTGAAAAAATAGCATGCGATAAAAAATATTAAATAAAGAAAAAATATCACAAAATGCGACAATATTAACATCATTATTGGCATCTTTTTATGCGATTTTTTTAGATTTTATTCTTTTATGCCAAGAGGACATTCTGATTTGACAAAATTTGTCAAAATCTCTCCAGCCTTCTATCTAAAATCCCCTCCTGTTGTATATACACATTATATTTCGCTATATATATCCGATATATTTACTATTGGCATCTACGTACTTTCAGAATTGACCTATTCGTCTACTTGTGATTTCGGCGGGATTAAAAATATTCGCGGTTTAATGGTAAATTTAACTTTTATTTAACACAAATGTTATGGTATATTTCACCCACTAAATATTGCCCGATGTACATTGAAATTGGAAAGCTTCTGCCCAGCCCTAAGCTCTAGCCCCATTGCTAACTTCCGCGTCGATTGGTCTATAATTGCAACTGCAAAATCAGGAAATTTTTCTGTTTTTGGTCCATTTCAACCCCTAAGTATTTTGCGATCATCTCCATTATAAATTTCGTGAAGATCGGGCTATAATTGCGACCTGTAGAGTGATTACAAATTAACATGGACTGACGGACGGATATAGATAGCTAGATCGACTCAGCTCGGCGAGATAGTCTTACATAATTTTTGCGCCAATCAAACTTATTATACCCCCAACACATAATGCTGGAGGGTATAACAAGTAAAAAAACATTAAGTTCGGCCGGGCCAAACTTTTAATACCCTCCACCTTAGGGTAAAAGAAACATTAGAAGAAATGTGGCAAAACCCATTAAAATGCCGAATATCGGGAGGTACCGTTATATGGGGGCTATACCAAATCATGGACCCATACATGCAATGTTTCGCCACCGGAGCTGGAAACCATTATTACCCACAAATACCAATTTTTAGACAAATCCGTGAAAAAATGTGGCAAAAAGAACTAAAATACCGAATATCGGGAGGTACCTTTATATGGGGGCTATACCACAACGTGGATCTATACATGCAACGTTTTTTCACACGCTCAGGGACCCGTTATGACCTACAAATACCAATTTCCAGACAAATCCGTGAAAAAATGTGGCATAAATCATCAAAATACCGAATATCGGAAGGTACCGTTATAGTCTCCATACCAGAACGTGAACCGATATATCTCATTTTCAATACCAACCATCCTAGACACAATGCAAATAGCTCTGCTAAATTTTGGTGCTCTACGTCAAATGATGTGGACTGTATCGTGATTTCAACAGACAAACAGACGGACAGACAGACGGACAGACAGACGGACCTCGTTAAATCGACTTAGAATTTTATGCTGATTATGAATATATATACTTTATGGGGTCGAAGACGAATATTTAAGGATGTTACAAACGGAATGACAAAGTTAATATACCCTCCTTTCCAAGGTGGAGGGTATAAAAACGTAATTATTATAATACCGTAATGCATAAACAAACAAACAGCTCAGTCTACCAACGCGTGAGCATGCGAGGGACAGCTGACCATGAGAAAAGCAGGAACATGACATGACACGAAGGGTTTATCCTTCGGATTTATTAATTGCATAGCAAATGCCAAGCGTGTAGGAAACTGCAATGTTTTGAAGTTAAGTGGAATTTCTGTTGCAATTACAGAAATCGAGACAGGAACATATTTCCCCCTAATAATCGTATCGTATATTGTTGTATATTTTTTACTGTTAGCCTAATACCATTGCAAATATGTGAAATCGGTAAAAAATATATATGGGAGCTATATACAAATCAGAACCGATTTCAATAGAATTCGGCACACACACACATTTTTAGACAAATTCCATCACACATTCCAAATTTCATTGAAATGTGGAGTACACAGCGTGTGTAATGCATCAAAAAAAATGAAATCGGGCGAAAATATGTATAAGGGAGCTATATCCAAATCTGAAACGATTTCCATATAATTTGGCAAAAATATATTTCTGATCAAATCTAGTCAATCATTCCAAACTTGGAGACTGCAGCTGTAATCGATCAATAGATATGTGCATATTAAATCTAAAATTTTGGGATGTACCTGCGATTCTGATGCTATATCTCCAATTCCAAGAGGAATTTCAAAAATTTATATAGCCTATGTTACTTTCAGGCGATGTTGTAGTATACATAGAAATTTGCAATTGAAAAGCTGTGCGGCGGTTTTCGAGTCCATAAATTACAAACAAAAATACGAACATTTTCCTCTTTTATAGATATAAATGTTTTAGAAGAAACATCTTCACAAAATTATAGATTTCATAAGAATATGTTTACAAACAATATTATATGATGTGATATCATGAAATGTTTTTTTCGATCTTGGAAAATATAACTTAGAGCTTATTTCAGAGATAATGGATTCCAAGACTGCGTACAAAGTCTTAATACGAATTAAATATTTTGCACCATTTCCAACATAAGGCTGGAACACGCATGTCTATTTTAGGACAGACGTTAAAAAATGCCTCATAGAATTAACAAATAAATTCTACACTTTTCAAGGGGAGTTCATTATTTTCACTTTGCGCTATTTACATACTTCTTTCACACAGCCGTATATTGTTGTTTTCTGGCAGTGATTGTTCACTTCTTATTCCGGCATTCGATGATGCTGCAATTGGCTCATTTCTGGTTTCCCGTTCAGATACGTTAATTGATGGCTGTTCTCTTGTGTCTTGTGGAAAATTTCCTCCATTATTGAATGTTTGCAATAAAGGTTGTCTCCTTCTGTCGGCATTAAAACCTGATGAAATTTCTGGTTCTCTTCGTCCTTGTGAGAGGAATCCTTCGCTGTTAAGCGTTTGTGATCTTCTCTGGTCTGAAATAAAACCAATATTCGCTTGACCCAATATTGGCTGTCTAGGATTCTCCGCAACAAGTATATTATTTTCGAGAATATTTAAATTGTTGTTAACGACATTCGATAATTGTGATTTTAAATAAACTTCGCGAGCATTTGTTGGACCTGGGAAAATAATGTTATCATTATCGTTATTCCAGTTGCGTTGGGAAATAACCGAAATTATGTGCAATGATAAGAAAAAGATTCCTATTAAATTCATCGTTCTACGATTTGAAAATCAACAAGCCGAAATTATTAATGAGCGTAAACAAAACGAATCATACTTCTTTGGATTTGAAACAAGACTGTCTCGATGAATGTTTCTTACGCAGATCCATGGTGCACATTTCGATGTTGTTCCAACAGTGACGTACGTATGTATTTTTTGTTTTGTTTCGAAATTGAATTTCTTTTTATCAGTATTCCGTCGAACCGGCTACTTAATCTGTGTAATAAAATAAAGGTCAGACCGCAGAACCCATTTGTTTTCAATATTTCGGGAATGTTTTTTTCACCGAATTTCTTTCCGATCAGCCTTAGGCATCCAGTTATGACAATAAAATCGGTTTGTTATTTCAAAATATTTAATCACTTATTAGTACATCTGGTTCTTGTAGACAAAACGATAGATTTTTTGTTTATTTTACCGAAAATGACGTCAAACGTGTTAGGGGCTAACAACCAGATTGGAGTGATTGTCATTCATTTTATATAAGATACAAAAAATATATACATACAAATGACTCGACTACGAAGAATAGAAATATGAAAGAGAGATTAAACCCATAAGGGATTTCCCCCCTCTTGAAATATCTACGAAATGTGTAACATCATAATTAAGAAGAAATAGACAGACTAGATTAGGGGAACAGGTTTTCTACTATTTAATAAGAAAATTGATTTTTGCGGAATTGACACCGCCAAGCACAAGGTTGAGTGACACACAAGAGCAACATTTTCATCGTTGATATTGTAGCAAAATATAAAAAATAGTTGGGACGGCGCTTAAACGAGCTCCAATGTTCACAATACTAGTTTTCTGCACACCCAATTTAATTTACATAATTATGATTCTAGACAGAAGCGCTCTGTAGGAATACTAATAACTCAACTGAGTATACCCTAGACCACATAGTGGTTCAGGGTATTGTGTGATTGTGCTTATGTTTGTTACAGCAAAATGATAGAAGATAGACCCCTTAGTGCCTTTTGAGTTCTCCAGTGAAACACAATATCAAATCGGATGTAATACATTTATGGGAGCTATAACTATGTCTACACCAACTTTCAACAAATTCGATATACCATGGATATAATACATGTTTCTGAAATCGGCTAATCATCATCGGCATCATAAATGCAACTTGTACTTTGCATACCAAAGTATATGGACAGACGGATCGAGTATCGGACGGACGGACGGACATGCATAAATCGACTCAAAATTTAATTATATGGAGATCACCAAAAGCAACTATTGATATAACTCGTCTTAAGCGAATTGTTAAGTACCACAATGTGGCTTAGGGAATAAAAAGCGTTTAGACCGTACGGAACGAACTATTTTAAACTAGTATTGGAAACGTTGATCGATATACAGGGTGAGATAAAAAACTGCAACCAACTTTAGACTGCTGTCATTTCTAAGCCACTCGTCCGACAGATGTTACAATTATTCCAGTGACAGCTTACAAATGTACAAAAGAATTTTGGTGAGAGTTTCCAGAAAAAAAGTTATTCGTGATAGAATTCAAGCGTGATAGTGTGATTTATTTATATTTGACTGGAAAACCACAAATGGCTATCGTTAGAGCACTCCAGCATTAAAATGTGAATAAATCTTTTGTGTCTCGTACCATCGCTCGTTACCGTGATATTGGTAGCGTAGCCCGACGTCAAGGAAATGAACGGAAGAAAACAGCAATATCAGCAGATATGGTTCGAAAAATAAAGAAGCGACTTGATCGAAACCCGCGTCGCTGTGGCCGAAAAATTGCTCGTGAGCTAAACAAATCGCAATATTCCATTCGGCAAATATTGAAAAATGAGCTCGGGGTAAAGAAATTCCAACAAGTAAAAAAGCAGTAACTTCGGCCGGGCCGAACTTTAAATACCCTCCACCATTTAAAACGAAACGAACTTTTCGAAAAAAATGAAATCCATTAAAAATTCTGTTAAAATCTTAAAAATATCGAATGTCGGAAGGTGGCGATATATTTTGGGTGGATTTACGATATTGTGGACCTATATAGACAAATCTATGTCTGGGGATTAAGTACTCACAAAGAACTCTTTGTTTGGAATTTCAGACACTTCCATTGAAAAATGGAAAAATAACGAATATCGAAAAATAACAATTTACTTTCACGATTTAAAGTGCTCACAAAGAACTCCTTGTGTAGAATTTCAGACAATTCCGTTGAAAAATGTAGCTAAAATTATCAAAATACCGAATGTCGGGGGGTACCGTTATATGGAGGCTATACGATATCGTGGACCTATATAGAGAATTTTCTTTCAGGGGCTAAAGTACTCACAAATAACTCCTTGTGTAGAATTTCAGACAATTCCCTTAAAAATGAGGCAAAATCATCAAAATACCGATTATCGGGGGGTACCGCCATATGGGGCTATACGACATCGTGGACCGATATAGTCCATCTTCGAACTTGACCTGCCTGCAGTCAAAAGACAGATCTGTGCAAAATTTTAGCTTCCTATCTTAATTCGTTTTGACTGTTGCGTGATTACAACAGACGGACAGGGCTAAATTGTCTTAGAATTCTACGCTGATCAAGAATATTATACTTTGTTGGGTCTAAAATTATTATTTTGATGAGTTACAAACGGAATAACGAACTCAATATACCCTCCATACTATGTATGATGGAGGGTATAACAAGTGCAAGAATTTACACCGCAACTGAAATAAAAATAGACTCAAAAGAGCTAAAGAGTTGCTTCGCTTGGCCAAAGTGGTGAACTGTCGAATTTGTTTTACTCCGATGAGAAAACATTCGTTGTCCAACAGTTTGTAAACAAACAAAATGATCGTGTTTACTTGCCAAAGAGGTCAGGTCAGATAATGTGCACCTTCGTATGGCCACCAGAACTCAAGCGCCAGCCATGGTGATGATGTGGGCCGCCATAACAGCCGAAGGTCGCCCTCCGCTCGTATTAATCGACCTTGGCATCAGAATAAATGCCGAATATTATCGCGAAATATTCTGGAGGGTGTATTATCGCATTGGGCACGCAAACATTTTGGTCGCAGACCTTGGACATTCCAACAGAACTCAGCATCATGGCACTCGCCACCCAAGAATTGTTACAAAATGATGTTCCCGCTTATTTTCCAGCGCACAATGAACACCAAAATCTCCGCATACCAATCCGTTGCACTATTGTGTCTGGAGTATTTTGGAAAGCAAGGTTGGCACTAAAAAATACCAAAGTGTCGATCAAATTACCGCAGAACAACTTTCAGTCAGCTTGTGACGGTTTCATTGACAGTTTGAAGGCCATAATTCGTGGCAATGGTGATCTATTCGAACAAATCTAAACTTATTCTAAAATTTGATGCTATTTCCGACATTTTTTGCTTTCATTCAATAAATTTTAACATAAAATGTAGAAATTATGGCATTTGACTTTGTTGCATATTTTTATCTCACTCTGTATATATTTAAAAATTTTGTTTCAAATATCGTGAAGGACTGGGAACATTTGCATGCAAAACCAAATCGTCCAGATCGATTTAGAAGACGTAGATAAGATTTTGTTTTGATCACGACTCATTTACTCATAAATAATATTAGACTAATTTTGTTTAATAACATTTTAAATGAATTCAATGACCCTGTACCAAACCACAACACATAAATCACAATTTTTGTTTCGACGTTTAAATTTATTACGTCACAAATCACAATTATTTTATTAAATTAAGAAACACTCAACAACGAAATACAGTTCATGCAGCAAATCACAGACTAATTTTGATGTTATAAGGATCGACAATAGATGCACTCTGCACTTGGTGGAACTGAGAAGTACCGCCTAAATGATCATATTGAGCTGTAAGGAAAATAGAAATAAATCAATGAGATATTCAAAACGAAAATTCTATTCAATTTTACCAATAATTTGTCTTTGAATTTCTTCGAGATCCTTCTCACTGTTGTACTTAATGAATTGCACCGAGTTACTGTTTTCAGCTGGCGCGGGAGCTGCAATAGCCAAATATAAACAGCAAACGAGGAGGAGACATAAAATCTAAAATATTTTCCATAAAGTTATATTTAAAATTTAATAGTTTTTTTTTATAAATATTTTATATAACTCACCATAAAAGATTTCATTATGTATATTTCTTTGTCTGTGCAACCGAATGAAAGATACTAAAACGTGCACTTGATGGGTATTGTTATTTTATATAGCCACTAATTTCCATGAACTATTGTCGGAAAACCAGTTTCCGTTGACAGTAGTGCTAAATGTTTTTTCGAAGATGCTAAATTGACAACATAAACATAAATTTGAATAAATCCTCCATTGGCTACTTGTTTTTTATGCTGTTCAAAATAAAAAGTCAAATTTATATTAAATGCCACATTATGTTTTTATTAGTATATTTGCCTTTGGTTTGTCTTTCCATATTTATTTAATTTACATATTGTTTTTGAACAGTGGTATCTATTGTTAAAACTGAAATTTAGCAATAATTATATTTTTAAATAGATTTTCGCTTTGTGTATTATTTATAATGTAACACCTCGACATATTGGTTTCCCACATAGGAAAGCATATATGGATCTTCCTATCTCGACGAGCCGAGTCGATCTAGCTATGTATGACCGTCCGTCCGTCTGTCCATGTTAATTTGTTATCAAGATACAGGTCGCAATTATAGCCCTATCCTCGCGAAATTGAAATGGATCAAAAACAGAACATTTTCCTGATTTTGCAGTTGCTCTATAGGTCACAATTATGAACCAATCGATGCGGAAATTCACATGAAGTGAAAAGGAGCCTACCAATTTGGGTGATCGTCGGACAATATTTAGCGAGTTAAATATACCCAATATTTAGCGAGTTAAATATACCCTAACTTTTATGTAAAAAAATAGGAAAATTTCCAATTAACCGCGAATATTTTAAGTCCCGGCCAAATCACAAATACATTAAAAGGTCACTTCTGACCATTAAAGTGATTCCGATAGCCAAGATATCGGAAATATAGCAAAATGAAGGCAATATATATGTAAAAGAATATATCTTATTTATTTTGCTTATAAGCCAAGAACCGCTGGGCCAATCACAATTCTCATTAATTCGGAATGGTCTATTGCCAATATCTCTAATAAAATCGCGTAAAAATATGACAACAAAAAAGTGAATATTATTTGTTATTTTTTTTCAATTTTTGTCATATTTTTTATACCCTCCACCATACATAGTATGGAGGATATATTAAGTTCGTCATTCCGTTTGTAACTCATCGAAATAATCATTTTAGACCCAAACAAGTGTATATATTTTCTGATCAGCGTAAAATTCTAAGACGATTTAGCCATGTCCGTCCGTCTGTCCGTCTGTTGTAATCACGCTACAGTCTAAACGAATTAAAATAGGAAGGAATAGGATTTTGCACAGATCCCTCTTTCGTCTGCAGGCAGGTCAAGTTCGAAAACGGGCTATATCGGTCCACGATATCGTATAGCCCCCATATAACGGTACCCCCGATATTCTGTATTTTGATGATTTTAGCCACATTTTCTAATGGAATGGTCTGAAAATCCACAAAACAAGTTACTTGTGGGTACTTTATCCCTTGGAAGGGTATTATCTATATAGGTACACGATATCGTATAGTCCCCATATAACGGTACCCCCGATATTCGGTATTTTGATGATTTTAGCCACATTTTTCAACGGAATTGTCTGATAATCCACAAAAAGAGTTCCTTGTGGGTAAATTATCCCTTGGAAGAGAATTATCTATTTAGGTCCACTATATCGTATAGCCCCCATATAACGGTACCCCCCGATATTCGGTATTTTGATGATTTTACCCACACTTTTCAACGGAATTGTCTGAAAATCCACACAGGGAGTACCTTGTGGGTACTTTATACCTCGGAAAAGAATTATCTATATAGGTCCACGATATCGTATAGCTCCCATATAACGGTACCCCCGATATTCGGTATATTGATGATTTCAGCCACATTTTTCAATGGAATTGACTGAAATTCCACACGAGGAGTTCGTTGTGAGTACTTTACCCCTTGGAAGAGAATTATCTATATAGGTCTACGATATCGTTAGCCCCCTATATAACGGTACCCCCGATATTCGGTATTTTGATGATTTTAGTTACATTTTTCAACGGAATTGTCTGAAATTTTATACAAGAGGTTCTTTTTAAGCAGTTTACCCCCTGACATATATAGGTTAACGATATCGTATATCCCCCATATAACGGTACCCCGAAAAATCTGTGTGAAAAATCCACACAAGGAATTCTTTGTGAGCACCTTAACCCCAGGAAAGTAATTGTCTATATAGGTCAACAATATAGTGTATCCCCTTCTGATATTAGATATTTTAAAGATTTTTTGAAAATTTTCTAATTCGTTCCTAATGGTGGAGGGTATTCAAAGTTCGGCCCGGCCGAACGTACTGCTTTTTTACTTGTTATCGCATGCGATTTTTCAATTTGACTTAAAATTTTGAATTCTACATTTTATAAAGTTTTTCTACATCCCCCAAGACTATGTTTGGAAGGTATTATATACATGTCGAAAGTATCTCTGATCCTTACGAAATGTTGCATAAGGGTAGCTTTAGGGTCAGAATTAAAGTATAGGGTCAGAATTAGATGTAAATTTAGCTGTTCAAATGGACCAAAAATATTAACATTTTCTTCATTTTGCAGTCGCTCTACGTGAGGAGAAGGTTAGGGACGTGGAAGAAGTCGAGCATTTTGGATGACCATTGGATAACATTTAGCTCTAAAATTGACCAAGACTTGTGTGAATTAATTTTGAATACATATCAATACGGCGGAATGCGTAAATAAGGGTAGCATCTGGGCAGGGCTCTATGATATTATTTTAAAAAACGAAATATCCAAAATGAATTTTAACATAAGGGGGCTTCTTACATATTGTAGTGTTGTCGGGTATCACATGGTCGGCCGCGCCCGTTTGCTTACTTCTTTTTATTAATATTTGCAATTAATGTATATAAAATCAGTTGTGAGTGATTCTTATCCTCTTTTACCAAAATCCCTTTAAAGCAACTTAAAAAATATCAGTCGGTTTGCGACCCAATATTCGATTATTTAATTATATTTTGACTTCTGTTATGATTATTCAAACAATTGACCCTCTATGGAGGAGGTTTCTTAGGAAGGGGCCAATATTGTCCATTTATATATAAATATTACAACGTACCACATTTTCCTACACTTTATATGAGATACCTGTTTGGGTTCCAGATATAGTGGACCGAAGTATCCCATTTTCACACTTCATCTAAAAATATTAATAAGGACAAAATTACAAGAAAATCAAACATTTATACCCAATTTTATGCAAAATCATAAATTCCGACAAATTCCATTATCATATCAGATTTCTGCTTAAGAGAAATATTTGGATATAGCAAGTTGCATAGAATATCTGCTTTGTTTCGCAAATTATGAGAGATATAAGTATCGAAAATCGTGACGCTTTGTGGGTTAGGTACTAGATAGAGGTTGGCAGATAGTTTTTATCTTCACAACAGATCTTGCGTTAGCAAAAATATTTGAATGTGTAAAGAGAACCGGATGCTTATTTCGTATTTTATAATCGTTACGGTTATTAAAAATTGTAACTCTTTGTGGGAGAGGTACCAGAAGGAATGGTCCGATCTCCAACATCTTTATAACGGATCTGGTGTTGATAGTAATCTTGAGATGTGCCAAGTTTGAAAGGATTCAGATGTTAATTTTTTATAAGCTTAATGGATATTCAAAATTTTAATCCTGTATGGGAGAAGTACCAGCAAGAGCAGACCGATATCTCCCATCTTCACTCTTTAACAAATATTATGATGTGTGAAATTTGAAGACAATCGGATTCTTTATCATATTTTATAAGAGTTATAATTATTTAAAATTTTGACCCTTTGTGGGAGTCGCACCTGACGTAGCACTTATGCAAATATTAGCATTTGCAAAGTTGGAGGAAAATCGAATGGTCCTTCCTCTTTCTGTGCAGTAAGATATTTTTTTTTTTTGAAAATTTCGACCTTTTTTGGGGAGGTACAGAAAGGAGTAGACCGATAGTGCCCATCTGCCAACTTGATCTAAGCTTTGGCAGAACATTGTCTATATGCGTCCACGTTTTCTTATAGCCCCTATATAACTGTACCATCCCACAACATTTTCAAAAGGAGTTGGGGTTCGTAATGGGTTCTACCTCCTGTGGTAGATCGTTGTAGTTTGGTATTTTTTCTTAACCTCATGGTGGGGGCTGCAGGAAAACCGATATACCTCATTTATCAACCTACCATTTTGTCAGATTTCAAAGCTCTACCTCAAATAATGCGAGCGGTATCATAATTTCAACAGGCAGACAAATGACATCGTTATATAAACTTACAATTTTATGATGACAATGAGTATATATATTTATGGGGTCTACGACGGAATCAACAAAACAGATTTAATATCCATCACCAAGATGGATGTGAAAACTAGTACTAGTTCTAGTACCTCCGCCACAAAAGATCACAATTCTTATAAAAATATATTTTCTGCAAAGAAGGAGAAACGATAAATCGATTTTGCTCCAACTTTGCACATCCTAAGATTTGCGTCAGTTCTAGGTCAGGCACGACAATAGACAATATCGGTCCACTCTATCAAGTACCTTCCCACAAAGGCTTAAAATTTTGAATAATCAGAACTCTGATGTATGTGATGTAAGAGTCCATTGTCTTCAAATTTTACACATTCCAATATTTTTAGTAACTCAGGGTCTGCTGTTAAGATGGAATATATCGGTCTACCCCTTCTAGTACCTCCCCAAAAAAGGTCGAAAGTGCTTCCCCGAAAAAGGGTCAAAATTATGTATAATTATAACTATATAAAATGTGATGTAAGAATCCGATTGTCTTAAAATTTCACACGTTCCAATATTTTTATAAAATTAAGATCTTGTATTAAGGTGGAATATATTGATCCACTCCTTCTGGTACCTCCCCCACAAAGGCTCAAAATTTTGAATACCCATAAAGCTCACAAAACGCGAAATTAATATCCGATTCCATTCAGAATTGGCATATCTGAATATTTCCATCAACACTGGATCTGTTATAAAAACGGTAGATATCGGATCATTCCTTTTTGTACCTCCACTACAAAGGGTCAAAACTTTTAATATCCACGAAAGCCATAAAACTCGAAATAACGAAGGCTCAAAATTTTTTAATATCCATGAAGCTCGAAACTAACATCCGATTCCATTGCAGACTTCGTACACCTCAATATTTAAATCTACACAAGATCGGTTATAAAGATGGTAGATTTTGAAAAACAAAACGCTCAAAGAAAGCGAAATAAGCATCCAACTCTCTTCAAATTTTGCACACACAAGCATTTTTGCTTATACAAGATCTGTTGTGAAGATGATATATATCTGCAAAACCCTTCTAGTACCAACAAACTGTCACATTATACTTTTATCTGTCATAACTTGTGAAGCAAGTCAGCGATTCCTCACAACGTACTATATGTAAATATTTCTCTCAACCAGAAACCTGAGATGAATATGGAATTTATCGGAATTTATGATTTCGCATAACATTGGATATAAATGTTATATTTTCTTGTAATTTTACCCATACCAATATTTTTTATGTATTAGATGAAACATTTTCTTATTATTTAATAACATTATCCTATAAATTATTATAACATGTGTCATGCAAAGTGAAGGAAGTAACCAAGATGTTACCAAGTTACCCCATATTTATATCGTATTTATTTAGGTCGATACAAAATAGACAATATTGGCCCATTCCTTCAGAACCCACTCCATAGCGGGTCAAAAGTTTGAATAATCATAACAGAAGTCAAAATATATTGAAATAATCGAACAATAGCTGAGGGTATACGTCTGTCGGCAGAACCGATTGATACTTTTTAAATTATTTCTCGTACTCGTACACTAACGACTTTGCCATAATCTGGAAGAAAGTTATTTCTTTAGCGTCTCCTTTCTAAATTGTTAGAGCAACTCCATCAAATTGTGCCTTTCAATTAACCAAACAAATGGATTCTCAATAACAATACATTTTTATTATAGAAATATGTCTTACAAGCTATTAACAAATAAACAACAACAATGACATGACAACAAACCAGGATGCAATTTAAACTAACTTGTTGAGAAAATTAATTTTTTCTGGTTTAATGACGAAAATAAACTGATTTATCGTATAGGCCTTTTCGAATTGTTCTCGCATCGGATATAGGGTTTCAACAGCTGATGGTTTTGAAATCTCTGCAAAGGAGAATAAGAAAAATATTTTAATAAAAATCTTGATGACTCAAATCCGTTAAACACCCAGTAATCGTACCCTTCCTCAAATGCGTCGGTATAATGTAGGCTTTTTTCTGTGACTTCACAATATAAACATCTGACGAATTGACAGGAGTTTTATTTGGTTCCAATGGGGCTTCACCACTGGCCTCCAATAAAGTGGTGGCCAATATCTTGGCTGCTTCAATGGTTCGGTTATGTTGAGGTTGTAGCAGTAGCGAAGGTGGCTCTTCAATCATGAGCATTTGTGTGGCAGCCGAATCGTTGTTGTCGGGCAATGTAGCCGATGTGACATCGAAACCTGGATGTTTAGTGTATTCATTTTTGGGCACAACAAAAGGAATTTTCAATGTGTCCGAATTTATAGGCAGCTGGTAATTTTTATATGGAAATGTACCAGAGGGTGGCGGAGCATACGATGTAAACAACGGTCTAGCATGGGAAGATCCAAACGAAGCCTTAGTGGCTTTTAGTTGTGGATGAGTATTGAAATCATCAATACTTCGTGTTGTTTTACTGATATAGGTTTTCGAGGGTGTAGCTGGAGTTGTGGAATTAACTGTAAGAAAAATAAGGTAGATTATCAATCTTTGCTGAAAAGAAATAAGCCAAAATTTTCAATGTTGTTTGAACAATAGTTCCCATTGCGACACCTTTTATCTTTTGTCTAAGATAGGTACTAGTAATCCAGAATGTAATCATTCCATATTTAAAAATCACTCAAAGAGTGGCATAACGCCACTCCACTAATTATAGGTACTGAGTTTATGAAGTACCTAAATACCAAACCATGCTTAATCTTGCACAAAAATTTAGCTTTGATATCTGGTGACCCCTGTTAAGCCAAAATCCATCCTAGTATACTTTATATCACACATATGGTGCACATTACACTTAAATAGGACGAAAATTAATATATGACATTTATATCCAAATCAGAACCGACCTCTACGCAATGATAATTCTAACCTGGGGAATTCGGTCGTATATGCCAATCCTCATCATAGCCTGAAACCGAAAGAAGATATATAGTTAGTTGAAAAAACTGCAACCAACTTCAGACTGCTGTCATTTCTAAGCCACTCGTCCGACAGCTGTTAAAATTATTCCAGTGACAGCTCATTATATTGTTTAAGAGCGTACAAAAAAATAGCTCGTGAGCTGAACATATTGCAATATTCCATTCGGCAAATATTGAAAAATTAGCTCGGGATAAAGTCATTGAAATTCCAAAAAGTACAAGAACTTACACCGCAACAGAAACAAGAAAGACTCAAAAGAGCTAAAGAGTTGCTTCGCTTGGCCGAAAGTGGTGAACTGCCGAATTTGTTTTTCTCCCATGAGAAAACATTCGTTGTCCAGCAGTGTGTAAACAAACAAAATAATCGTGTTTACTTGCCAAAGAGGTCAGCTGAAAATGTGCACCTTCGTTTGGCCACCAGAACTCAAGCGCCGGCCATGGTGATGGTGTGGGCCGCCATAACAGCCGATGGTCGCTCTCCGCTCGTATTAATAGATCGTGGTATCAGAATAAATGTAGAATATTATCGCGAAAATATTCTGGAGGGTGTATCAAAGCCTTGGGCACACAAAAATTTTTGCCGCAGACCTTGGACATTCCAACAGAACTCAGCATCATCGCATAAGAATGGTTACAAAATGAAGTTCCTCGCTTCATTTCCAGCGCACAATGGCCACCAAAATCTCCGGATACCAATCCGTTGGACTATTGTGTCTGCAGTATTTTGGAAAGCAAGGTTGGAACTAAAAATACCAAAGTGTCGATCACCTCAAGAATGGGCCAAAATACCGCAGAGCTATATTCGGGCAGCGTGTGATGGTTTGGCCGATTGAAGGCCATATATCGTGCCAAAGGTGACCAATTCGAACAATTTAATTCTAAATACCCACTGAAAACTAAATTCAATTCTTAAGGGATCAAAAGGGTTTTTAATTATATTTTACCCACAATTTTACAAATTATTTCACTAATATTTTCCTTCCTTATTAAGCCTTTGTCCTCATTCATTATTTCGTTTTATGTTTTTTGCGTCCACCGAAAAATTTAACACTTAAAACTCAATATTTTAACATGCAATCACTATATGAGTTATTTTTAAATTTCGGAATGAAATCCTTTTTCGTACCATTTTTTGTATTCATTACAGTGGGCGGTGGTGGTAAATAACCATTTTTTCTTGTTACTTGAGTATTTAGTTTTGTTAGGTCAATAGATGTTGTTGCCGCATGAGACTCAGACCACAGGATGAAGCTGAATAAAACTATTTTCCAAGTTGTTGTCTGAAACATTTTAATACAGTATTTTTTGTTTAATTTCTGGAACTAATTCGAACACACTTTTATATTTTTTACCATATTTGAATATGTAATTTTCTTCAAACAGTTTTCTTTACACGTTCTGTCAATTTGAATAGTTCACCGTAATAATAACAACTAAACCACAATTGTCTGTTAACATTCTATTTATAAATGTTGAAGACTTGTATGTTTTTGCACTTTAAGACAATGAGCCCAACACTAATGGGCATATTTCTTCTTAAGAGGTGTGTGTGTTCCGTTTTTTTTTTAATCACCTACAGAATGGTGGCTAGCATTTCTGGTTTATTGAAGCGCTTGTTAAAAGCTAACAGCAAAACCTCTCAGTGCCAAATAATGGATTCCCGTTGGAGCCGCCTATGTAATACCACAATACCCTCCCGAACATGAATCTACAAAATATAACAGAGTTTGGGAAATATGGACAAACAGTAGAATATAACGAGAGTTTTTTAAACTGCTTTCGCACGTTTTGAGTTCATAGCACTTTTTCCATTGAATTGTGTCTAGCGATTTAAGCTCAATGTCTGCGAAATTAAGCCGAATTGGCGATTTTAGAATAAAGATCAGCCAGAAGCAATGAGTAACAAGCAAACGAAGGCTATAGTCGTGCGGGGACGACCATGTGATACCCGATAACACTACAATATGTAAGAAGCCTCTTATGTCCAAAACCATTTTGGAAGATTTCGCTTTTGAAATGATGTCACGGAGCACTGCCCAGATATTACTAGCATTTTGACCAGGGACTTTTGCCCAATAGTTCCGTCGTGCTGTTAGTTGTTGTTGTCCATTTTACAGGTAAATATAACCCAATTGTCATCCAAAATGCTAGAATTCTTCCCTGTCCTTAGCTCTCTTCTCAGGCGTGTCGATTGGCTTTAATTGTTTGATCAAGATTTTTTTCTGTTTTTGGAAGGCAAGAGGTCCTCTCTATATCTCCAAATTTAGACTCATCTATATGATTTGCTTGTCTACGATATTTGGCTACATTCGTCAACGAAATCAGCATAAAAAAGCCAGAAGTTCGCCTTTTGTGTATTTCGGTTATCATCTGCAAGTAATGTTGGTATTTTTCAAACACAAGGAGTGGTCCATTCTACCCGCTGTCCTAAACTCTAACTTCATGCGAGATTTCGTGTCCTATGGTTTCTTTTTGTGACCATTGTATATTTTTGTTCTGACTCACCTGGTTTCTCTTATTTAAGGACTTACTTAACTAACTAACTAACTAAAATAGAAGTATAATCAGAAAAGCGTGAATTATAGCGTATTTGAATTTCGTGATGGGTACTGTCTTATATGATCAAAAATTTTTCCTTAACAGAACCACGTTTTCCTATAGCCCCCCTATAACTGCACATACTGATATTCGGTATTTTCACGTAATTGGTCACATTTTCAACGGAACTGTTTAAAATGTAGTCATTGGAGGTTGTAATGTGTGCTCCATTCCATAATAGGTCAACGTCTTCGTACATCCCCCATATAACTTTTTCTCTCGATATTCAGTACTTTCTGCCACATTTTCACTGAAATTATTTCAAATTTAGAATTTGGTCTTCTTATTGGGTAATGACTTCTTATAACAGAAAATTACCTATGAGCGTCCACATCTTCGTACATCTCCCATAGCCACGTTTTTCAACGGAAATCGCCTTATTGTATATTGACTTTGTCATTCCGTTTGTAACATCTCTAAATATTCATCGTAGACCCCATAACGTATATATAGGGTGAGATAAAAAAAAACTGCAACAAAGTCAAACGCCATAATTTTTAATTTTTTTCTTAATTTTATTGAATAATAGCTAAAAATGTCGGAAATAGCATCACTTTTTAGAATAAGTTTAGATTTGTTCGAATTGGTCACCTTTGGCTCGATATATGGCCTTCAATGAAACCGTCACACGCTTTCCGAATATAGCTCTGCGGTATTTTGGTCCATTCCGGGCGAAGCGCTTGCTTGAGGTGATCGACACTTTGGCATTTCTTAGTTCCAACCTTTGCTTTCCAAAATACTGCAGACACAATAGTCCAACGGATTGGTATCCGGAGATTTTGGTGGCCATTGTGCGCTGGAAATGAAGCGAGGAACTTCATTTGGTAACCATTCTTGGGTGGCGTGTGCTGAGTGCGATGGTGCTGAGTTCTGTTGGAATGTCCAAGGTCTTCGACCAAAATGTTTGCGTGACCAAGGCTTTGATACACCCTTCAGAATATTTTCGCGATAATATTCTGCATCTTTTAAAACAATAGGTCTAGCCCTTCTGAGTCTAACTCTACCCTTGTGAAAATTTTCGTGAGGATCGGACGATAATTGCAATCTGTATATAATAACTGCATCCTGTATTGTAAGGTGAAAAAATATTACAAAATACACACTTCAATATTTAAGGTCAAAGTCAAAGAAAAAATCGCATTCGATAAAAATATAAAAATATAAAAATATGTCATAAAATACTACAAAATCTTTATTAGCATGATTATTGGCATCTTTTTGTGCAATTTTTATAGATATTATACTTTTATGCCAGGAGGGCATTCTGAATTGACAAAATTTGTTAAAATCGGTTCAGCCATTCTTGAGATGCCCAGCCGTAAGCTCTAGCCCCAAGCTAACTTCCGCTTCGATTCGTCTATAATTGCGACCTGTGGAGCACCTGAAAAATCAGAAAATTGCTCTGACCCTGTATGTAGTAAGTTTATTGCAAATGTATGCATTCACTTTTTCAAAACAAAACATCTATATTAATGTAAACAGGGCAATATAAACGTTACGGAACCTGGAAAATTATAGTCCGAAATACCTGTCATTACCACACTTCAATTTGGAACAAATATATTCTCAAAAAATTGTTACTGACCTTGAAGAAAATTTGATGATTCTGCCAAATTGAATTTCAAAAAATGCATTTCAATTCGTTACATTCGTCTTTAAATTTGAACTATTTGGCATAAATTAGATTTTCTTTCATTTGCAGAAATAAATAAATTATTAATTAAATTCATGGTAGAATCAAGAACGTTAAGTCATTTCAAACAAGCATTCCCATCTCTGCAGTTTCTGTAACTGAGCTTATCAAACTCAATCGTCCCTGAAGTGTCACAACAAAAAACAAGACTTATTTATTTATATATCATGTCCAAAAATCAGTGAGTGTTGAATAAAAATTGTGTTGATGAGACAGTTCAATGATACTAGGAAAATACGAGAATATGGCAAAAATTCATAATTGTTCAATGTATTACATAGTAGACTTCACGGGATTTTTTTCATATTGTTTATACCCTTGTCCTTACGGCATCGGAAGATATATACAGGGTGAGATGAAAAAGCTGGAACAAACTTCAGACTGTTGCTATTTCTAAGCCACTCGTCCGGCAGCTGTTAAATTATTACAGTGACAGCTCATTATATTGTTTACAAGCGTAGCGTAGCCCGACGTCAAGGAAGTGGGCGGAAGAAGACAGAAATATTAGTAGAAATGGTTCGAAAAGTAAAGTAGTGACTTGATCGAAACCCGCAAACAACAAGAATGAAGATGTCTTTACTACGATAACCGATTTTTCATTTATGATATCAGAGAAATTTGCAAAACTAGTAGCTTCTCGCAGGTTCTGGAACAGACCCTTTATTAGTTGTTTGAATATGGTATTGTGTATTCAGTAAAGTTGAATCGTAAACATTTATACCAAGAACAAAGACCTAAAATGGTAAAGACTAGACAAAAAGCATTTTGAGCAAAGGGTTTGTGTCTACAATACATAGAGTAACAATTCATGGCAGAGACATGTTAATATAAAAACCACAATTACAGAAACGAATAACAAATCAAAATTTGAAAACTCCAAAATTCCAATATTTTGGTTTCAAAATTCTATTCTATAGACCTATCAAAAAAATTGCATATCGCCTTAGCGGTTTAACCCTTTCAGTGTCAATGAAAATTTTTGTCGAGATAAAAATCTGAAATTCCGTACTAATTTACTAAAATGAGAATAGAACTGCAATATTTTTAAATAGCGAACGTGTCTGTTATTAAAAAATATCAAAAATAACGGTTCGTAAGAAAAACAAAAAATGGCAAAGAAAGAGAGTACTTTTAAATGTCAAATATATTTGACAAAAACACTGAAAGGGTTAAATCTGTTAACATTAGTAACTATGTTGTTCTGATATCGTAACAACAGAGGTATTTTCTCAGGGTTGCCATATTTTGACTCTGTCTTGTCCTATCTTTACACTTCTATGTCTTTGCCAAGAATATACATAGGACTTCCGGTACTGCAATTTAATTCCAAGAGAATTTTAAAATAAAACAGTTTCTTTAACCAATTCTTTCTTTGCATTTCTGTCCTTAATAGAAGTTTTCATATCATATTTGCATAAAACAATAATTGAGGCTTATGGGGCCAGACTGTTCAAATTGGATAATGTTTCCCCTTTTTATTTAAAAACAAAATCAGTACACTCAATAAGAGTGTTTTTCATCAAAATTCAATCCTTCATAGTGCAAAAAAAAATTCTAGGGATGTTTACTGACCATCATCGAGGTAGCGTTCATTCAATTCTGCTACAACCTTATAATGCATTTTTTCCAATATTGTTACTACACTTAACCGTCATTTAAATAAATGAAATTGCCATATGACCCTGGCAACATCAATAACCTCAACGACGCCAAAAATAATATTGATTTGCATGGACAATCAAATATGTTCAAATCCAGCAGAGCAGCACTTGATACAACAAAAAAGGTCTACAAGATCACAATAGAAGTTCAGTGTCGAGATCATCTATATTTGTTTAGACTTTGAATAATATTCATGCATACATTCATTGTACTTATGGTGTTACTTACACTACTCCACTTAAGACGACGCGAAGTTTCATGTACTTCATATTCAATCTACTTAAGTCGAGCGAAGCTTACTTTTCCGTACGCCTCTTGAAAAACAAACTCCGCATAAATACATCACGTAAAGTACGCAAACCAACCTGATGATGGGGTCATTTCGTCTTCATTCATTGAAATGCCGCGCCAAGTTTTTTGGCGTCCACTGATTCATTGATCATTTTGTATGGACACGCGCTAGTATCTAGTATCTCGTGAGATACAATCGTACAATGGTATACAACATAATTGTAACATTCATCATCATCAGCATCAACTTGTTTGGTTAGTGTTGTCTTTTCTTGTTAAATGGGTGCTTATTAATCTTTCGTTTATGGAAATATTGTTTGGTTTGTACGGCAAAGATTTCAATGGTCACCTTCTCTTGAAAACAAGAATGTGTCTGAGATAATCTGGAAACCACATCTGTTACACCAAAGAACTTGTATTTTCTGCCCTAATTATATAATGAGATTTTTAATGGGCTAATCTAACGTTAATGATAAATTGTATGTGGAGATGTTTTGCAAGAAGGGGGATCTACATGAGGAATGTATTTTAAAATTTTGAAGGGGATGATTTAAATGTTTTCAATGACATTGTAGTGTAGTCGCACGTGCAGGATCTTGAACAAAACTCAATTATTATTTCGATTATACTTTCGATATTCTTTTATCTAAAAAAAAACAGTAAGGAAAGGTCAAAAGTCGGGCGGGGACGACCATATGATACCCTACACCACTATGCGTAACAAAAAACTCAATCCATTTCTGCTGATACTAGCCATTTGGTGTACCCTAAACTTGATATAGGATAAAGATATATATGGGAGCTATATCCAAATCTGATTCGAACTCAATAAAATTTTACAGAGTTGTTTTTGAGCTCTATAAGTTATTTGATACCAAATATTATTCTTGTGGAGTGCATATTACGAATGTGAGGGCCTTCAAACCCCAAATCGGATAAAACACACAGGGTGAGATAAAAAAACTGCAACAAAGGCAAACGTCATAGTTTTTACTTTTTTAATTTCATGGAATGAAAGCAAACAATGTCGGAAATAGCAGCAAATTTTAGAAAAAGTTTAGATTTGTTCGAATTGGTCACTTTTGGCACGAATTATGACCTAAAAACGGCCAACGAAACCGTCACACGCTGCCCGAATGTTGCTCTGCGGTATTTCGGCCCATTCCCGACGAAGCGCTTGCTTGAGGTGATCGACACTTTGGTATTTTTTAGTGCCTTGCTTTCCAAAATACTCCAGATACAATAGTCCAACGGATTGGTATCTGGAGATTTTGGTGGTCATTGGCGCTGGAAATGAAGCGAGGAACCTCACTCTGTAACCATTCTTGGGTGGCGAGTGCTGAGTGCCATGGTGCTGAGTCCTGTTGGAATGTCCAAGGTCTGGGCCAAAATGTTTGCGTGCCCCAAGCTTTAATACAACCTCCAGAATATTTCCGCAGTAATATTCGGCATTTATTCTGATGTCACGGTCCATCGGCCCACAACATATATAACGGCACTTTTTGATATTATGTATTTTAAAGATTTTAAAAGAATATTCAATGGATTTTATTTTTTTGAAAATTTTCTAATTCATTCCAAATGGTGGAAAAAACATTTAAATCAAAGTTTGTTTGAATTTGGTTTATAATATTCAATTGAATATTTTGTAATATCTTTTCAACCTACAACACTATGTGTTATGGATTTCATATTCAGATGACAATTATGGTCCGATCTTCATGAAATTTTGCATGAGATTAGGGTTAGGATCAGAATAGAAGTCTATTGTTTTGAAAGATGTTCGCAAAATATTTAAGGTTTAAAATGGACAAAAAACCTTAAAAAAATCAGTCGCCTACAGTTCTCAACTTATGACCAATGGACATGGCTAGGGTGGGGCTAGAGTATAGCACAGCGCTGAAGCTTAGCATTTTGGATGGTCATCGGATAATATTTAGCTGGTGAAATTAACCACAATTTTGTGTGAAAAATACCAAAATTTACGAAATCATACATAAATGAAAGGTGCACCTCTGACATCCACGATGATGCTGATTTCTTATATAAATATAGCAAAATGTCGGAAATACAGGAAATCATATAGAGGAATCTAAATTTGTAAATATTGTTCCCTGTAAACATATAATGGATTTGGCTGATAACTACAATAGTTTTCAATAAAAGATGTAGCAGTTGTTGCAAATTGTTACTTGAAAACCTCTTTAACACAAAATTTTTGCAAAATTATTCAAGGGTGTCAAATTGCTGCTCCGAGGTAGCCGATATCAGCTCTGCAGTTTATAATACAATCTTCAAAAACAGGACGCAATACATAGAGTGAAGCATCGGGTGTGTTGCATGTATCCAAATGTTGTCAATATCCTCCTGTTCAATTTCTGTGAACAAAAATTCGTTCAACACGAGCCGATAACGTTTCGGCCACTAATTGCTCATTTTCGTAGAAAAATTGTTTTGGGTGCATTGACTTTTCAATGTATAAGTGCAGGTTTTCTGTGCTTCAAGTGCAATAATTTTCTTCCAAAATTCATACCTAATTTTCGTACACATTCTGCAAAATTAACATGATTTCCTAAGTAATGTCGCAATATTTCCCCATGTTGTTCAAACGTAGGCACAAGCGTATTCGTTTAGTGGGAGGATAAAAAAATTAAAAAATACCATTCACTCAAAAAGAACAAGCAGAAAAAAAACATTAGATGTAGGACCCTCAATATAAGATACTAGCTAAACTAGGTGTTAGCTCACAAGCGTATTCGTTTAGTGGGAGGATAAAAAAAATTAAAAAATACCATTCACTCAAAAAGAACTAGCAGAAAAAAACATTAGATGTAGGACCCTCAATATAAGATACTAGCTAAACTAGGTGTTAGCTAGTAAAAAATTGGGGGGTTATATCCAATTCTTAAACGATTTCTAATTAATTTGTCAAAATTATTATTGCAAACAAATACCGCAACAGATTCTGTATTTAATTGAAGTCGGAAATGCATATCGTGATTGGTGCATAACATACATGAAATCGGCCGAAATATATATATGTGAGCTATAACCAAACCTCAACCGAATTCAATTATTATTTTCTGATCCAGCCTTCCAAATTTCATTAAAATAGAATATACATATCGTGTTTGGTGTTTCAAATAAACGAAATCGGTCGAAAATATATTTGGGAGCTATATCCAAATCCGAAGCGATTTCAATATAATTTGGCAAATGTATCTTAGTTTTAAATTACGTTACACATTCCAAATTTCATTGATATTAGAGATACATAGCGTGTTTGGTGCATCAAACACATGAAATCGGCCGAAAATTTATATGGGAGCTATATCCAAATCTAATCCGATTTCAATCTAATTTGCCAAACAAATTTTTTAGACAAATTCCATTATACAAAATTTAATTGAAATTTGGCGTACATAGCGTGTTTAATACATGAAATCGGAAGAAAATATATATGTAGCTATACCCAAATCTTAGCCGAATTCAATATAATTTGGCAAATTTATTTTTGTTCCAAGTTCCATTACGCATTCCAAATTTGGAGACTGTATCTGTAATAGATCAATAGATATGTGCATATAAAATCTAAATTTTTGGGAGGTACCTCGGATTCTGATGCTATATCTCCAGTTCCAAATGGAATTTTAACAAGTGAAAAAGCCGTAAGTTCGGCCCTGCCGAACTTTGAATCTCTCCACCAACTGAACGAATTTGGAATTTAAAAAAAAAAATCCGTAAAAGTTCTGTTAAAATCTTAAAAATACCGAATATAGCTATTATATTGGGGTCTACACGACGTGGACCTACATAGACATTGTTGCCATGAGCCATTACCATATTCAAATTCGAAGCTTGAAATAAACGGTGAATAATGTAGCTAAACTCATCAAAATACCGTATATATGAAGGTACCGTTATATCGGAGCTATTCGAAGACCTGGACCTGCATAGACAATTTTCTGTGATAGGCTGTAGTATCCGTTAATAATTTCAAACTATTTGAAAAGGGTACAAGTATACCAATGTTAATGTTATTCACTAATATGGCAACATTAATATTTGAATATATGGATGCGCCTGAAGGTATATTACAAATTCCATACAACACTAAATATAATAACAAGATTTATTAACAGTAAATTTAACTACCACTCCAAAATTGTACATTTTCTTGTTAAAAAAAAACAAAGACTCAATAAATTTGAATTGAATTAAATTGAAGATGGAATATTTATTTTACAAATTTTAATGAGAAGACGATTTTCATTAATTAACGATTAACCTAAAACCGCTTGTTAGCTGGTAAATAAGTATTTGATGGTTCAGCAACTTGATATTGATTTCCGCTGGAGGCAAATTTCAATACAGGTGCAATACCAACATTGTAATTAGCACTCTTGCCAGCCAACGACTCATATTGTGATTGAATGGTGCGTTGAGCATTTTCAGCATCAGCTGGTGTACGGTATTTCACAAAGTGTACTTCAGGACGGCTTTCACTGCTGTGAATCAAATTATTCAATTTGTTGGCCAAATTGCCGATATCAGCCTGTTTGGTAAGCACATAAATGGCTGTCTTTTGTTCGTTGACAGATTTGGCCAATTGAAGAGCAGCATCATCAAGTCCGTTGTTTTCGGGGCCCTTGATGAAGATGACACGAACACCACGCTTAACGGAGCCGCCCAATTGATCGGCACCAGTATTATCATTGAAAGCGCCCTCATTCCAAATGGTGGAAAAAACATTTAAATCAAAGTTTGTTTGAATTTGGTTTATAATATTCAATTGAATATTTTGTAATATCTTTTCAACCTACAACACTATGTGTTATGGATTTCATATTCAGATGACAATTATGGTCCGATCTTCATGAAATTTTGCATGAGATTAGGGTTAGGATCAGAATAGAAGTCTATTGTTTTGAAAGATGTTCGCAAAATATTTAAGGTTTAAAATGGACAAAAAACCTTAAAAAAATCAGTCGCCTACAGTTCTCAACTTATGACCAATGGACATGGCTAGGGTGGGGCTAGAGTATAGCACAGCGCTGAAGCTTAGCATTTTGGATGGTCATCGGATAATATTTAGCTGGTGAAATTAACCACAATTTTGTGTGAAAAATACCAAAATTTACGAAATCATACATAAATGAAAGGTGCACCTCTGACATCCACGATGATGCTGATTTCTTATATAAATATAGCAAAATGTCGGAAATACAGGAAATCATATAGAGGAATCTAAATTTGTAAATATTGTTCCCTGTAAACATATAATGGATTTGGCTGATAACTACAATAGTTTTCAATAAAAGATGTAGCAGTTGTTGCAAATTGTTACTTGAAAACCTCTTTAACACAAAATTTTTGCAAAATTATTCAAGGGTGTCAAATTGCTGCTCCGAGGTAGCCGATATCAGCTCTGCAGTTTATAATACAATCTTCAAAAACAGGACGCAATACATAGAGTGAAGCATCGGGTGTGTTGCATGTATCCAAATGTTGTCAATATCCTCCTGTTCAATTTCTGTGAACAAAAATTCGTTCAACACTAGCCGATAACGTTTCGGCCACTAATTGCTCATTTTCGTAGAAAAATTGTTTTGGGTGCATTGACTTTTCAATGTATAAGTGCAGGTTTTCTGTGCTTCAAGTGCAATAATTTTCTTCCAAAATTCATACCTAATTTTCGTACACATTCTGCAAAATTAACATGATTTCCTAAGTAATGTCGCAATATTTCCCCATGTTGTTCAAACGTAGGCACAAGCGTATTCGTTTAGTGGGAGGATAAAAAAATTAAAAAATACCATTCACTCAAAAAGAACAAGCAGAAAAAAAACATTAGATGTAGGACCCTCAATATAAGATACTAGCTAAACTAGGTGTTAGCTCACAAGCGTATTCGTTTAGTGGGAGGATAAAAAAAATTAAAAAATACCATTCACTCAAAAAGAACTAGCAGAAAAAAACATTAGATGTAGGACCCTCAATATAAGATACTAGCTAAACTAGGTGTTAGCTAGTAAAAAATTGGGGGGTTATATCCAATTCTTAAACGATTTCTAATTAATTTGTCAAAATTATTATTGCAAACAAATACCGCAACAGATTCTGTATTTAATTGAAGTCGGAAATGCATATCGTGATTGGTGCATAACATACATGAAATCGGCCGAAATATATATATATGTGAGCTATAACCAAACCTCAACCGAATTCAATTATTATTTTCTGATCCAGCCTTCCAAATTTCATTAAAATAGAATATACATATCGTGTTTGGTGTTTCAAATAAACGAAATCGGTCGAAAATATATTTGGGAGCTATATCCAAATCCGAAGCGATTTCAATATAATTTGGCAAATGTATCTTAGTTTTAAATTACGTTACACATTCCAAATTTCATTGATATTAGAGATACATAGCGTGTTTGGTGCATCAAACACATGAAATCGGCCGAAAATTTATATGGGAGCTATATCCAAATCTAATCCGATTTCAATCTAATTTGCCAAACAAATTTTTTAGACAAATTCCATTATACAAAATTTAATTGAAATTTGGCGTACATAGCGTGTTTAATACATGAAATCGGAAGAAAATATATATGTAGCTATACCCAAATCTTAGCCGAATTCAATATAATTTGGCAAATTTATTTTTGTTCCAAGTTCCATTACGCATTCCAAATTTGGAGACTGTATCTGTAATAGATCAATAGATATGTGCATATAAAATCTAAATTTTTGGGAGGTACCTCGGATTCTGATGCTATATCTCCAGTTCCAAATGGAATTTTAACAAGTGAAAAAGCCGTAAGTTCGGCCCTGCCGAACTTTGAATCTCTCCACCAACTGAACGAATTTGGAATTTAAAAAAAAAATCCGTAAAAGTTCTGTTAAAATCTTAAAAATACCGAATATAGCTATTATATTGGGGTCTACACGACGTGGACCTACATAGACATTGTTGCCATGAGCCATTACCATATTCAAATTCGAAGCTTGAAATAAACGGTGAATAATGTAGCTAAACTCATCAAAATACCGTATATATGAAGGTACCGTTATATCGGAGCTATTCGAAGACCTGGACCTGCATAGACAATTTTCTGTGATAGGCTGTAGTATCCGTTAATAATTTCAAACTATTTGAAAAGGGTACAAGTATACCAATGTTAATGTTATTCACTAATATGGCAACATTAATATTTGAATATATGGATGCGCCTGAAGGTATATTACAAATTCCATACAACACTAAATATAATAACAAGATTTATTAACAGTAAATTTAACTACCACTCCAAAATTGTACATTTTCTTGTTAAAAAAAAACAAAGACTCAATAAATTTGAATTGAATTAAATTGAAGATGGAATATTTATTTTACAAATTTTAATGAGAAGACGATTTTCATTAATTAACGATTAACCTAAAACCGCTTGTTAGCTGGTAAATAAGTATTTGATGGTTCAGCAACTTGATATTGATTTCCGCTGGAGGCAAATTTCAATACAGGTGCAATACCAACATTGTAATTAGCACTCTTGCCAGCCAACGACTCATATTGTGATTGAATGGTGCGTTGAGCATTTTCAGCATCAGCTGGTGTACGGTATTTCACAAAGTGTACTTCAGGACGGCTTTCACTGCTGTGAATCAAATTATTCAATTTGTTGGCCAAATTGCCGATATCAGCCTGTTTGGTAAGCACATAAATGGCTGTCTTTTGTTCGTTGACAGATTTGGCCAATTGAAGAGCAGCATCATCAAGTCCGTTGTTTTCGGGGCCCTTGATGAAGATGACACGAACACCACGCTTAACGGAGCCGCCCAATTGATCGGCACCAGTATTATCATTGAAAGCGCCCTCTGGAGCGGTGAAGGTGTAGAATTCCTTGGTGAGTTCAGTTGGAGCGGTGAAACCACTGCCGCCGTTGGAGACAAAGCCGTTTCCACCGAAACTGTTACCAGTGAATCCAGTGTTACCCAAACCATTGCCAACGAAACCGTTCCTTCCAAATCCGTTATTGCCAAAAGCACCTGGAGCAACATTGTAATCCCCAATGCCTCCACTAGAGAATCCACTATTGCCGACAAAACCTCCATTTACACTAGAACCAAAGGAAGTACTACCCTGTCTTTCATAGTCATATCCAAAACTAGCAGCATAGGCTGTGGCAAGAAAACAGAGGACCTGGAATTAAAACAATACTAAGTGTTCATCATGGAATATCTCTAAACCAACTTACGATAAAGGCGCGCATTTTATTTTTCTTTATAATAATGTAAGAAGTCTCGATTTGCTTCTGATTTGTCAATGCAAAATATGCCTATATTTATATAAAAAACTTTACTTTTCCTTCTCTACCTTACTTTTTCTAAAGAAAAAAATTAACTTAACATAGGGTAAGTGTACCAGTAGTCGGCATTTTTAGGATTTTCGCGTTTTTAGTCGCTCACAATTCTGAATGGAACTTTTCAACTATTACAAAGTTAATTTATTCAGATCCGAAATTTTGTATAGTTTTTGCAATAATAAATAAAGTTTTAATGACTCTTTATTAAATTTCATAAATTTGTAGTTTTATTAAAATAATGCTTTTTGCCAGTAGTCCGCACCACTTGCCAATTGTCGGTATGGCATGTTCCAACAGTCGGCATACCAATTTTTTTTTGTAAGCATAATTAATAATAATAATAAATTAATTCATTAAAATATAATATATTTGTTTAGTTAAACTGATTCGACGTCTTCATTATACTTTTCTTAAGAATATGGATTGTTGAGGACCTTCACAGACAAAAATTTAATTTTTATAAGAATAAATCATCTTTTCTTACCGAAATTGTACACAAAGATAGCTGACAATATATTTGAAGTAAACAAAATACATTTAGTTATAATAGTTTCATTTATTTAGGCTTAAAAATAAAAAGTGCCGACTACTGGGACATGCCGAACTTAGGCACACTTACCCTATATCCTTGATTTGTGGACTAGTTGCAATCTATCTTTGCTTTGCTGCGTTTGTTGGTGGAGTTTGTTTAATGCTTGTTTAATTTAGAATTGCATTCAAATTTGGTTTTTATTGATCCCTGGTTTGGTCCTTAATTAGTCGATAAAATGTACGCGCTACTGTTTATTGCAACCTTGTGCTAGTGCCTTTGACATTTTAACTACTAATTACTAGTCACTTGTTTTGCCGCCTCCTTAAGACATCAAGTAGTATTTCGCTGTCATTCGGACAGACAACACCCGCAATATCGTTTGCAAAGCACATATCGTTGTGTGTAGAAAGGCATATTGTTGCCACAGGTAATATTGTTACCCACTAACCAAACTAAGAATAAACAGATCTACTTTATACTAAGAAAAACCCTTGTGTTTTATTTATTTCTATTTTATATATCCCCCTACGGTCCACTGCTCCACGTATTCAGCGTTTTACTCCCATCGGCGGAGACCCTCTGAGCTAAACATTGGTCCAATCGAACCGGATATTCCAGCCCTCTTGAACGCATTTGGAATCCAAAATTTACAGTCCATTAATCCTGCATTACAAGGTACGTATAGTGCAGTGTTTTAAAGTGAGCTCGCGTTAATAAATTGCCGCGACAATAAAAAACAATCGGTTTGTTTAGGTACAAAGGTCGTTTTACAACGTCACCTCTTTGCCTCTTGTTTTGTTTCCCGCCAATCGTCGGCTTCTATTTTGGATGCTTACATTCGGCAGCATCATAATCAAAACAAAACTCCAACAGAAAATTATTGCAAAAATCGTTTGCTAATATTCTCTTTGTTTTGGTTCATTTAAAACAACAAAACATTAAACATCTCGTTTCGTTGATACCAACAAACACGTCGTCGTTGTTAGTTCTTAATTTGGTGTGCTTTACTACCTAAAACAAAGATCGCAATATTATTCTTTTTGTTTGGTCTGTCCGCTTTAGTATTGCATATTGTTGTTGTTACACCTATTGTCTTTTTCTCGTTGTAACAACAGTCAAATTCATTTTCTGTTTTGTTTGTCGCAAACAACAACAACACTGTTGGATCATCCACCAACATCACTGCTTGCTTTGTCGTTGTTCTCTGATCAGCGCGTGTTGTTTGTGCTTTGTTAGATCAGTAAACGAACTTAACAAACGAAGGAAGAATATTTTTGTTGATTCCTCTTTCTGTCGTGTCCGTTTAGGTTGAGTAGCTACACTACGTTGGTCGGTCACTTTGGTTTGTTATATTAGTAGGCATTGGGTGTAAAATGAATGTTATTATTAAAGTTAGATTAATATAAATACTATAGTGTATTTAATTTTTGTTGTTGTTTGCGATCTTTTAAAAATTAACACACCCTATATGCGGTCATTTTGCCAAGTTAAATAAATAAATAAATAAATATAAAATTGTTATTTTATTTATTTTTCTATTTTTCCCCAAATTGGTTCGGTGTTTCTTGCTATAATTATGGCCTTCGCTCCTCTGCAAAATGTCATAAGAGACTCAGACGCTCTGATAGAATTTGGTGCACAAATCGGTGCAGTAGAAGATGATGGTATGGATATTAGTTTTTTAGAGGAAAGGAAGAGCAAGTTAGAAAAACTATGGCAATAGGTAAATAAATCGTTGCGTCTTTTAGAAAATTCGGAAAATGTAACAAAAGAACATCTGCATTTGGCAGAAAATAAACACAACGGTTCTTTAAACATTTATTCGAGCACTATGGCCACAATTAATAGAAAAATTATAAAAACTCGTTGTGTATTAAAAAATTTGATCAAAAACGCGGATAAAAATCAAGAGCAATCGGCTCAATCTCTTTTGGTTCCTGAATCGCAGGAAAATATTGCCGCAAGTATTCCTTCTGGTTGTGATATCGTTCACAATTTGGCACTGCCCCCTATTGATATTGATATTTTTGAGGGAGATTTTTCTTCTTGGCCTTCCTTTCGGGATTTGTTTAGCGCCATTTATATAAATAACTCTCGCTTGAGTGATGTGCAGCGCCTGTATTACTTGCTGCAAAAGACTGCTGGTGATGCAAGGGAAATAGTTTCGCAATTTCCTTTAACAAATCGTGGATTCGCTTTCGCTTGGAAAGCATTAAATGATGAGTACGACAATATTCGAATTTTGGTACATCATCAGTTGTCGTCGCTATTTTGTCTTCCGGTTCTCGACAAGGAAACAATCCCTAGTTTGAAAGAGATTAGATGTGGAATTAATCGTTGTATCTCCTCAATGTCGACCTATAACGTTCCCACAGATCAATGGGATCCGATGCTGGTATATCTTTGCCTTCAACGTTTACCGAAAGAAACTCAAACGCTGTGGGAACAAGGTATTAAAAACAAAGCGGCTCTTTCTTCGTGGAAAGATTTAGACACCTTCCTCTCAGAAAGGATAAACACGCATGTGTGTTTGAAAAGTTATCAAGAGAAATCGATTCCTTCGCCTAGTTCAGATTCGTTAAATACTGCTAGGAATTCCCATTCCAAATGTTCATCTTCCCCTTCAATTGGAAAATCATGTTCTCTTTGTCGAGATAAATGCCATCGACTTCATTTTTGCTCAAAATTTAAGGAATTATCCCCCGCAAATAGGTTTGCATTCGTCAAGCGTCACGAACATTGTATAAATTGTTTGGTAAAGGGGCATAGACTAGTAAATTGTACTAGTAAAAATAGTTGTATGAAATGTGGTCAACGTCATCACACGTTATTACATCGCGAGTCATTAAAACCGAATAGTTCCTTTCCGGTTCTGACTCCAAAAGCTCAGGTAAGCTCGTCAAAATCGTTGTTGTCAGCTTCAGCCCCAGTTTTTCGTTCCTCGAAATGTATATTCTCCACATCGGTTGGAGTCGAAAATCAAAAATCTAATTTTGTTCGTTCAAAATCGCTGTACAAAATGTCTAAAAGCAACCTTATTAAGTTTATAAAAATGCATTTTTCGGAAGGCAGTCATAAAAAGAAATTGAAAGTTGCAAACAATATTGTAGGACGACCTTCGCGTAAAATCGGTCCCGCGACAGCTGCCGATTTATATACCGACATTGGCACAGGGTCTCAATTGGAACCCCCCTCGAATATCGTTTCGGGAAACACTTAGCTCGATTGAAGTCCGAATCTGTAACTGCAGGTTCATCTGCGGCTTCAAAGTATTACATATCGTGTATTAACATAGCTTGATTGAAGTCCGAATCTGTTACTGCAGATTCAACTGCGGCTTCATATTATCGTTGTAGCGGAGATGGATCCCGAATCTGTTACTGCAGATTCATCTGCGTTTCCATTCAATACATTTTGTTCGAAAAAAAGCTCACACTGCACTATGCAACCGGTACCTACTACTGGAACTAATTTAGATTAAGTTAATTGTGTTGAAACAAAATTGGTTTTTATTGACCCCTGGTTTGGTCCTTAATTAGTCGATAAAATGTACGCGCTACGGTTTATTGCAACCTTGTGCTAGCGCCTTTGACATTTTAACTACTAATTACTTGTCACTTGTTTTGCCGCCTCCTTAAGACATCAAGTAGTATTTCGCTGTCATTCGGACAGACAACACCCGCAATATCGTTTGCAAAGCACATATCGTTGTGTGTAGAAAGGCATATTGTTGCCACAGGTAATATTGTTACCCACTAACCAAACTAAGAATAAACAGATCTACTTTATACTAAGAAAGACCCTTGTGTTTTATTTATTTCTATTTTATATATCCCCCTACGGTCCACTGCTCCACGTATTCGGCGTTTTACTCCCATCGGCGGAGACCCTCTGAGCTAAACAATGCTCATAAAAGAAAAAACCTAAACACGTTCGACGACGGTTCGCATCAAAACGCTAAGCCATTATTTTAGATATTTATGATCGCTATATGAATATTTCATGTTGTCTTGGAATATCTGATTAGTTGATTCTTTTTGACTCAGTTATTCCCTATTAAATAATTTTATTAACTCGTTACTTCAACTTTTATTTTTGACCATTGCTTTAATCCGGTTAATGATATTAATAAAATTATAATTAGTTGGTTTGAAGATAATAATGATCTAGTTTATAAATTGTCACGTGCTAGAAAGTAAATCTTTTAACAGAAAATTGTCTGTCTATGCTGATCATGCTTCCATGTACCCTCCAATATTCGGTATTTATAAAATTTCAATCTTTTTATACCCTCCACCATAATATGATTGCTACATACATTTTAGACTTTGTATACTTAGACTCAGCATTAAATTCTATGTCGGTTCAACAATGA